CTGTAGATTCGTACAATAGTGATAAAGGTAGCCTACTCCCACAGAATAGACTGATCCTTGAGGTATCAGTAATCTAACGATAGGGACCCCTATCAAGCGTACAGGACCGCTGTCGATGACCTCACGACTCCGATAAGCACTATACTATGTCACCCTGATGATACTAACCACCTGGCCAACTTATTCTGTCACATTGAAAGAATGTGAATTCCAGCCAAGAAGTATTATATGTAGTATAGCTCCTGTTATAATGTTTATCCTTAAACTATATATTCGTAAAGTATACGTATAGCTTCAACTGAAGGTGGCCGACTCGCTTCCCGGTTACCTTACGTTTGCAGACAAATCCGGGTAGCTTGATACGGGCGCTTCTGTCAGAGGAGAACTGCCGCACCCACGGTACGAAGAGAACAACCCTTATGTGGCAAATTGTGCAGCAATCGCTGGTGAGTGACATTGTCGTGCGGCCATAAGCTACCCAAAAGCAACTTCTCTACTTTATTACCGTATTGCCAGACTCAGATGTCTGCGTGGCCGAAGGAGATGCCTTGACGATTCTGCAACACGTACTCGGCAGCGGATTGATTGATCTCCACGGCCCACGAGAAACATCCCACTATCACCGCTTCAAGCAGCTTCCTGAGCATGTTAATCAAGAAAAGTAGTCCGGTACGATTTCGGCCTCCGGAAGGTTCCGAAGGCCCCCAGCCTCTTCCTGATCCGGCTAATCCTGCAAGCCTGGCACCTCATCTCTGCATCTCGGCCTGAGTGAAAGGAGACACGGTATCGTATTCAGGGAGCCAGCCAAGTGTGCTTTTGAGGAGACCGTAACCAAACAAAACTGCAGCAAGCTGCCGAGTACCCAGTCTCTTGGTGTGATCAAGCCCCTTTCTTGCATGTATTGCATATACTTGAGGCCGATAAGAACAATTTTTAGCACCACTGCTGTAAGCCCAGGGTTGTAAATGCTACCAAGTTTCATGTTGATTATGATACCATGGAGCCACACTTGAGCGAAACCGAAAATAACAGAGGACAGTCCAAGCCAGACGACTTGGTGAAAGAAACTCACAGGGAGATAGAGTCCATAGGTAGCCACGACGTGGGTAAGCATAGCAGACCGCGCATTGGAGGGATAGCGAACGGGAGCACTGCTTTCCTGCATGGCTATATTCATGATAGCTGGGAAGCCTCTAAGGAATCGATATTCTTCTAATTGATGGAGAATGAGGGCGAGGAAGTTGTCATACAGTGGTAGTTGAGAAAGTTCAGCATTTGTGGCGCGAAATGGATAATCTCCTGTCGTATTGATAAGGATAACGTTCAGTGTGATAGTAGAATTCCCTGTCCAAAAATAAGGTTTAACATTAAGTAACAAGGTGCACTTTCATAGCCTACTCTGGCGGAGGTGAAAGAAATCGGAAATTATCTAAGGGACACTGCTGTGTTGCATAACGGAAACTCAATCTGCCAGTCTGCTGGCCCAATCTGACTCAAGACAAATTTGTAAACGTTCTAGAGCATGTGTAATAGGAAAGCCAGGGAAGATCAGCCCTGCTCGCCCCTTTTTCTCGGTGTTCGGTACTTCCTCTAAGCGAGACTCAGTGGGACTCTCTCTTTTTATTCACTTATGTCATACTGTGGTCATAAGTTATCTGTTTTGCCCGTCTTCCCCATATGGGACCCATCGGTTTGTCCCCTCCCAGTGCCAGCTTCGCGGGGCAGCTATCGTGGAGAAGGCTGACGCTATGCCCAAACCGGACATCCCCCACTAATCTGGGAATTGATCGGGATTAAGATAACTATCACCGAAATCGGTATACCTAACTGTATATTGTCATCATATTTTCGTACGCGTTCCTTAAACGGGATACTATCTTTCCAGAAGAAAACAAGTATAGTTTCTCACCGTCATATGCCGGAGGCAGAAGCCGGATTGCAGATAAGACCTCATTATCTATAGCTTTGAATATCAGCTCATCCGTCTCAAATTCGCGTCAGTCAGGTTCAATTGATTGTTTGAGACATGCAACATGTCGACCAGGCTGACTACATCCAAAGTGTTTGAGGCACAGTCTTTGAATATCCCTCATGCCTCCGACATATGTGAGATCTCTCTTATCAAGATCACAAACGATCTCGTGGTTGTTCCTCTTCTATGGTTCTGCCTCAGATTGAGGGCCATGACTACTTGAGTCTTCCTACTTATGCATTCTATATTCACCATCAGGGCTGCGGAAGCAGATCCTGTTTGATATGGGAGCGCGGAATTATTGGTGGAATCTTCCTCCCAGTGCTTTTCATGCCATCAAGTTAAAAAGAGCTCAGGGCATGCGCATCGCTAGCGATATCGACTAGATTCTCTCAAAAGGAGGTGTTAACCCTATGACCATTGATGCTGTTTTATGGAGTCATCACCACATTGGCCATACTGAAATTGCTCACAATTCAACGCTGGCCTGAGGTGTGCCCAGCAGTTCCACTTAGGAACCTGAATGATTGAAAGACAAAGAAATGGAAAGTTTGGGTTCATTGGGGATTCCTGAATGAAATCCCTTCTGACAGAAAACCTGGTCTTCCTAAGGTAGTTGAAGAAAGGCTTAGAAATGGGAAGCGTTGGGTGAGCTCGATAGGCATCAACGTCAAGGCTTAAGACCAATTGGGATGAGCCACGAATATCTTATTCTTCATATGTCAGCTTTGGATACTCGATGTAGTTTTTCTGACAGCATGCAGACCCAATTCTGCGTGTTCAGGTCTCGGCACTCTTCGGCAGTCGTAAAGCCGAGGAGTCAGTAGTCGCAATAGGCAAGCATAAGGTAGCCGGTAAGCGGGCTGCGTACCTGACTCGAATACCTGCCGGCAGCGCAAAATACTAGCGCCTTGAATAGCAAAAGTATTTCATTATTGTATGAGATATAGCTAGAGACTCTACGAGGATATTGCGATAGCTTATGTCCAGGAATATGGCAATTGTTGCAGCGCGGCGTGGTTGTACGCATGGCTCAATGCTGAAAGAGTAGGATTTATAGACATCATACCCTAAGCTTCATGGACTTGGTTCTTGTAACGGATTTGCTCCGCTAACTGCCTATAGCAAGCTTCGCTTTTGGATTTTCTTTCAGTAGAACTACGTGTCTCACGTATTCCTCCACGCGCCATGATAGGCTCATCAAGGTGTAATTCATGACCCTTTATAAGTTTAGGTATTCGCGTTTCCAGTGAAGATGAAGGGCTTTGTCTATTAGATCCGAGGTAGCCTTTTCATTCTAAATGCCTACTTTTCTAGGCTTTTCTGATTCTAAATTGGTTGAACGACTGCCTGGTGGTGTAAGGGTCTTTTAGTTGAACATTCAATTGACTAAGCAGCCTATCTGATTCAATGGGATTAGACCCGCACCTGCGAAGCTGGCCTTGGCTATTTTTGCTTTGAAAGCACTTTTGCTTAGGCTTACATCTATGGAGAATGTGATGGCAATATAGTTGGATCAAATTGTTTTTCAAGCTCTTTAAGAAGTTCCACTAACAAAATTATGTACGTCGTCCGTTCGTTTCTAGGCGTTCGTACAAGGCAAATCTGACATTTAGATAGGGAATCGATGCTCCCCTTCGCCAACAATAGTGACCACTCTATCTTCAGTGAACTCGTTGATACACGCGGTACCCCCAAACTTCCCGTACCCGCTAGCCTTCTGGCCTCCCAGCGGCAAGTGAGGTTCATCATGAATAGTTGGTCCATTGATATGGCAAGAGCCACTCTTGATCCGTCTTGCGACCTTCAAGGCCACCAAAATGTCAGTGCTAAAGATAGATGAAACTAGACCATACTCTGTATCGTTGGCCAGTTTGACAGCTTCGTCGATTGTATCGAACTCGAAAAGGGTTACAACAGGACCAAATGATTCTTGATGATATAAATCCATTTCCTTTGTTATGCCTGAAAGAGCAACGGGCTGTACAATTGCTCCAGAAACTGAGACCCGTCCGGCGGATACGATGGCACCATGTTGGACTGCATTCTGGAGCAGATTGTGAATGCGAGTAGCAGCGGCGGCATTAATAAGACTGCCAAGCGGAGCAGATGAATCCGACAAAGGGTCACTCGCGTAAAGAGAATCGACCTTGGCTTTGAACAACTCCTTGAACTTGTTTGCAATGGAGCGATGGATAATGATTCGCTCAGTGGACATGCAAACCTGGCCCTGGTGCTGCATGGCACCGAACGCAGCTGCTTTGACAGCTTCTTCCAAGTTCGCATCTTCCAGGATGATCATTGGAGCTTTGCCACCCAGCTCCAAAACGGCTGGCTTCAAATACGTAGCACAAATTTGCCCAATTTTTCTACCAACCGCGGTGCTACCCGTGAAGTTGACCCTCGCTATAGCGTGATGTGCGACCATTGTCTCCGTCACCAGACCGGCCCTTTCTCGAGGGCAACAAATGAAGTTCAAAACTCCAGCTGGAAGGCCTGCCTGACGAAAACAGTCCACGATGAGGTATTGAGTGTAGGCACTCGATTCAGAGGCTTTGAGAATACAGGTATTGCCACAAATAAGGGGCGTAATGAAAGCGCGAATGCCCAGAATGATGGGTGCGTTCCATGGAGCGATACCCAAAACCACACCGCAAGGTTCCTTGTACACAAGACACATAGTGCCTATCGGACTAGTTAGCCGAAGGAAAATACCTTCTATAAGAAAACTCATACATGCCTTTGTCGTTGCTCGGCAACATTTCACCCTTTATTTGTGTGACCATCCCCGCGGCCTCCATCACAAACTCCGTACCAAGTTTGATATTGAATGCAGCCCAGGTAGGCTTTGCTCCTGTTTCTAGTACCATAGCTCGCACTAGCTCATCCTTTCGCTGTTGAAGAATATCCACTGCTTTGTTCAAGATCTCGCGGCGTTGAATGGGAGTTGTTTCGCGCCATTTCTCGAAGGCTCGCTCAGCGCTTTCGACAGCCTGAATAGCTTGCTCCTCAGTCGCTGCAGGTGCTGAGTGTAATTCCGCTCCAGTGACGGGATTCAGAACAGGAAATGTTTCCCGTCTGGGGAGGTCAAGGTTGTCGATGATCAACCCAAAGTCACGTGAGGTAGCTGGTGCGGACGACATTTTGTGTTCGGAATATGCAATAAAGCGAGGAGGGTAAACAAGGCAGAAGTAAGATACTTTTATATGCACTTCTGCGTCACGATTGGAACGTGGCCAAGCCGAGGGAACCTTCGCGCAAGGAACACAAGAATACGGATGTTTCCGGCTACCCTCCCCACATTGTGGGACGGTCGTCGCATGACAACAACTTCCCCACCTTCTCCGCATGGTATGTGCGTCATATTCGTTGAAGTCCCCGGACATCGACGGGAAGGAAAAATGATAAGAGACATCCTTCAGCGCATGTTTCATGAACTAACCCAACCAACTGCAGGCATTTTATCCATCTCTAATTCACACGTCATCATGCAAACCCCTTTCTCTCCCATTGGACGACTGTCCGATCCCCTTGGAAATGGCTATGAATCGTGAGACCACCCGAAGCATTCCGGTTGTTCGGCGGACCGGAAAGATTGCTCTGGAGGAAGCTATGGGAAGTCCTCTATTCGCCGCACATCAGAATTATCCACCTCGTCCAGTAATCAAAGATCTGGATGGACTGCCGTTTAGTACCGAATTCCTCGCAGATGTCGAGAGCAGATTAGATGATGTCGAGCTTCGGCTCAAGTCCATGGACCATAGCGGCGTGCAGTATGCCATTGTATAGTCTGACATCACCTGGGATTGAAGGAGTCAGTGGTACAGAAACAGCCATCTACTTTGCTCGCGAGACCAACAACGCAATCTATAACAAATACGTGCGAACTTATCCGGACCGCTTTGGCTTTTTTGCGTGCGTTGCAATGCATGATCCAGAGGAAGCTGCCAAAGAGCTTGAAAGAGCTGTGTCACAATTAGGCGCTAAAGGCGCTCTGATCAATGGTTTTACCAACTTGGACGACCGCGACGAGAAAAAATTACGGTATCTTGATGCGCCAGAGTGCGAACCGTTCTTGAAAATGCTTCATCAGCTTCAAGTTCCACTCTATATCCATCCACGATTGCTTCCAGTTCATCAGCAAGTTCTGTACAGCCAATATCCCAATCTTGTCTCCGCATCTTATGGCTTTGGTGCGGAGTGCGCAGGCCATGCTCTTCGAATTATGTGCTCTGGAATCCTTGACAAGTATCCTGTAACGATTATACTGGGTCTCTGTGCCGAAGCACTTCCCTTCATTATTCATCGAGCGGATCAGCGAATGAAAATTGGCACTCCAGGTACCAATGGTGCACATAACCATTCTTTGATGCACTACTCCCAGAATCATTTCCATGCCACATTGGCCGGTGTTCGTCGCTACAGCACAATGAAAAACACAATTGAAGGGCTTGGCGAATCACGAGTGATGTTCAGCGTGGATTAACCTTATGAGAGCAACGAGGATGCAGTAGATTGGTTCGATGGACTCGAAGTTAATGAAAGCACCCGAATGGCTATTGCTGCTGGAAACGCCACACGGCTCTTTGGCTTGCCTACCATGGCCGACTGATCTTTGGCACAGGAGCAGTAACAGCGATGCTTTCCTTGCTCTTGCCCTGGTCTCGTCCCATCTCAATACGTCCTGGTTAGATGCCTGTACATGATTAGTATGATGTGAGAAATGCTACATCAGTCCTCATCTGTGAGCGTCACTACATAAGATTAACTGAGTTCCCTTAGGTTATGAGGAGAGAATTTCATTGGATAGCCAACATATATATGATAGACTTTCGGATCTGCATAAATAAATGTATAGGATATAAGGGCAACGTGATTATTGCAATACGTAATTCAATAATCAGGATGGTGGTCTAAATTAGAGTGGCTTAACCTGACCGTTATACCTTAACCTTGACCTGACCATAACCATACAGTCAGGTTAAGATATTGTAAGGGCTAAACCAACCCTTCCAACCTTGGCGTATAGCTGCGAAGGGAAATCTATATAGTATGCCTCAGGCACCAGTCATATGATAGCTAAGCGAGCTGACTGTGATCTTCCATTTAGGGGGCGGGTGACTCGCGGACTAGGCAGATCAGTAACAATACCTTAAGACAATAGATTGGCACCTTTGGTCTTGCAAGAGCTATTCGTTCATCATGCTATTTCACCACTCTAGCCTTTATAGATGTAAAAAAATCTTTAACTGTATGATTAAGATCTGGTTAAGATATAACTACTACTTTAACTATTTATACCTGCCGGTTAGGAAGATCAGATATAGTAGATAGATTATTAACATATAGAGTAGTTAGTAATATATATATTATAAGGGCTAAGGTAACCTACACTAAAGCGGAAAGGGAAAGTGGCTCGATTTCCGCAGCAATCCAGTTCGTTAGTATCCATGTAAGGATATCTATATTAAACCCCCAATACGTTCACTACATACACGGCGGGTATAGGGTACTTCAGTAGACAGAAAGTATTGTACAGTACACTACATACAAGCCCGTCTCCAAAACTTCCTTGATCCAGCCGAGAGACGTTTACCGATCTGTTTCTGAAATCTCACTCTGGCAGAGCGCGGTCCCAGGCTCCTCATTACCTGCAAAATCCTTAAGCAGAGATGAAGCGACCAGGGTGGCTCAGCCACTTGTCCATGAAGTTGAAAGCAGTCTTGACCGTATCACCGTACTGACCAGGATAGCTCTCACAGGCCGTGCAGGTGTCGATCGTGTGCTGCGCGCCCTCGACGAAAGCGATCGACTTGTCAGCGGTGGTAGCAGCGAGGTAGATCTTCTCCGCGTTGAGGTACTCGTAGTGACCGGTGTTGCCCATGGTCAGCAGGGGCTTCGAGATACCAGGAACACTGCCAATGGGAGCAGTCTGCGAGGAGGTCCAGTCCACCCCGGTGATGTTGTCGGCGGTGACCCGGAAGGTGTCCGCGTCGACGCGGATGGCAAAGGTGGACAGGAAGCGGGTGATGGTCGTCTTGAGCGCCCCGTCGTAGAAGGAGTCGGCCATGGTGGGGATGCCGGCGGACGCGACGCGGACGGTGGGGACGACCTGGGTGGTGTTGCTGCCGTCCTTGTGCAGGAGGGGCCACTTGTAGATGGTGTGCGCGAGGTAGCGCACGTCCTGGGTGATGAGCTTGTTGTTGAAGCCCAGGTAGTTGGCATCGGGGATCACCAGGCCCTCGTCGTCGCTGTAATCGCCGTTACCCGCGGCAATCAGCTCGTTGCGCTCCCTCGCGGAGGCCAGGATGCGGTTCCAACGGGCCGCGACGCCCGCCAAGAACTCCTGCACGAAGGTGGAGGTGTAGTTGGCGCCGTCGGCGGTCCAGCCGTTGGCGGGGCTGTAGAGGTTCAGCTTCGAGTTGATGTCCGCCCCGGTGGTCTCGTTGGTGATGGCGGGGTTGAGGGAGAGCAGAGTCATGGTGGACAGGCCGTAGTTGGCGTCGATGAGGAGGACTCCGTCCGCAGCAGGCAGTCCATCCATCGCACTGGAGCAGGGGTACAGCTTCTCCGTGCCGTTGCAGGCAGAGGCGCCATTCTCCGCCACGTTCTGGTAGGCGGCCATCATGGCACCACCACCGGAGTGACCCCAGATGATGACCTGGTCGATCTCGGTCAGGTTGCGCAGGAACTGCACGCCCGTGCCCACATCGGTCATCATGGTCTCAAAGTCGAGGTCGTTCATGAGGCCGGTCTTGCTCTGGGCGTTGTTGAGGCAGAGGGTGGTGTAGCCACGCACCGGCAGCTCACTGCACGGGTAGAAGGTGGTGTAGTCCTGCTCCGCATGCATCACGAGCACACCAATCCGGGCTTTGGCCGGATCAGCACTGGCCAGGGGCCGGAAGAGACCACCGATGACTCCCGTGCCAAAAGTCACCAGGGAGGGAACGGGCAGGCTGAAGTTGCCCAGCGAGGTGTAGGTGTGCTGAGTCGGCCATTGGGTGGAGGCAGTGGCGGTGGCGCCGAGACCCGCGAGCGCCGCGAGGGCGGAGTGCTTTATGAGCGAAGGCATTGGCGAGTGGGGAGGACAAGTGAGACTCAAGAATGGATTGCGACGGGAATCTGCTTGCTGCCTGTCAAGCCTGTCTTTTCTTCAGGTACACCCGTCTCTATACTTATAGTGCAGAATGAGACACTATAACTGAATTAAAGTCATCTCCCCCGCGGCTCGATTGCGGAAGCTTTCCTGCTTTGAGGTTAATCTCTAGCGATCAGTGGAGCCGCCCGCCTAAATGCTTTTCCCGTCCACTCGACTTGGGTCTGTGCCGCTGCGTGCGCGTCATCTGTTCCAAGAAGTCGATGTAGATTACCTTCTGCAGCCCCGATGCATGCTGATCCCTCGCGACCTCACTGGCCCACGTCATCAACTGGTTTCCTGCTCGGGTCGGCAGAATCTACACGAGAGAAGAGCGTTGTGATTCTGCGGTGGTCTGACAAGCAGCAGCATGTATCCTCACCTATAGCGGTACTCTAATATGTTCCCCATATCCTTGCTTGAAATGCTGGTAGACTAGGATCCAAACATGGACAAATTGCGGATAAGAAGCGAACTGTTCTCGGATTTCAGGCCCGCCAAAGTACAGTTTCTGAACACCAAACTTGCGCCGATATTCCTGGCTAGGGTGCTGGATTTCTTCTCCATGATATCACTTCTTGTACTGCTTCCGCGAGGAAAACGATCATTTCAGAAAGCTGATATCAGAGCTTGACACTTACGATGGAGACGATGCAGACCTGAAACACGGGGCGGATGATTGCCTGATCCATGAATGTATCAGCACCAAGCATTAGAATATATCCACATCATGATCTATTGACCGGTTGCTTGGAAAGCATGGAAGCTCGCATCCAGCTCTGCGCTGCCTTGAGCATGTCAGATTTACCTTATCGGACCCCGCCTGTGTATTTGAGGTGTCTACATCCGACCCGTGACTCTGATAGGCTTGTTCTGGGTGAGATCTGGGAAGGCTGCAAGGCATGTGGCAAGCTGTTTATCAAGGATGCTGGGAGTGGGGAGTGACGGAAAGGACATATTTGCTTTCAAATACGTCTAGCACATATACCCATGGGTGAAGATCATTGGAGCATTCAATGGTAGGCTTGTGAGGCTCATGTACAGCAAGAAGGAGGGCAAACAAACAGATGGGGCGTGATGTCAAGGTACCAGGGCAGGTATGTGATGACGAGTTAACGGTGGATTCAATGTGCTTGTTGACAGATCCGTATCAATTCGATCCACTTTTTCTTGGGCGCATGTCCTTCTTGGCTACTCTCCGGGTTGGGTATGAGGTTTTGCTATCTTATGATCATCTGAGTTGCACCAGTCGCTACAGAAAAGGATACACTAATTGGCTTGTTGACAACTTGGTCAAACATTCTGTCTAAAACATATAAAATGTCACAGTCCGTTTTAGAGATAGATTTCTCATGTACGATCTCCAAGGTCCTGATTCACGCGAATCGCATGAAATTGAGTCTTTGTTGGTGTTCCCAGAAAGTTGCTTATTGTCGTTTACATTGTCATAAAGAGGTGTAAGTAGCTGTGTTGAAAGCGAAGGGGCGTTGGTTTTATGAAATACATCAAAATACTGCTTTGTCCATTGCCAACTGGCTGACGATTTCCGCAATAGCAACTGTGCAAAGTGTTCCAACAATACCCAATGAGCCAGAAGGCCTAGACTCTGGATGCTTGCAACTCACGAGATATCCTAGTCATGGTGTACTGCACGTATGGTCAAGCTTTCTTGCTCATCGAGTCTTTCCGTGCAGTACCAGTCTCGTGATGACTGTTACCGGCGAGTAACAGTCATAGTGTAGGCACTAAGCCGACGTTCTCAGTGCCAAGTGACAGTCACTGGCATCACCTTGAATGCTTCAGCTTTAGGCGGAACTATCTAAGTGACTCGCGTTGCCCACCGCTTGAACCTCTCGTCATCGTAACCCGCTTCATCCACCTCCCACTCCCACTGCGACTGAAGCACGGGTCCAAATTCCCGTTCTATCGCCGGTGCCTGTGCAGAATTCATCACAATCAACACCTCGTACACAGTCACAACGTGGACAAAGTCCAGATAAAATCGATGTATGTCGACTCTCCTGCCATCCAACACCTCGCGAGGAAATGCAAGGCGTCTCGCGGCCACGCGGTCCCCGTTTGCCGTTATGCAATTGAAACCATTTTCCGCATAATGCAGTGCAATATGGCGCTTGGTTACCCGGCTGAGAGCCATGTAGATCGCATCGGTTGCTGGGTCGAAGGTTCTGATACAGAAAAAGAAGGGTTCAGGCGTGGGCTCGCCGAAGAGGTCCAGATCTTCTTTGTCGGCCCAGTCCAGCACGACACTTCGCGCTTCTTCGTTGATCATCATCAAGGTGGTGACATCAATCTTCATATCGTTACCATGGTACAGTGGGTCGTGACGTTGGATTCGATGCGCGTGGTGCAAGCGCCAGCGGCTTTCTCCATAGAGGAACAAGCCGTGGCGGACAACTCGGGGAAGGGCACGCTTCCAGATCATTAATCGCAGTTCCACTGGTAGAAGAGGAAAACATGTGAAGCTTTCGGTCGGAGAGGGCTGTGCCATGCTTGTAGCATCCATCTTGGAGCAGGAAGTAATGTATCAAAGCTTGAGATAATGGTGGTCTTGAAGAGCTTGAAACGATAGGTCTTAAAGTCTGCATTCAGTCTGTAGTGTAGAGTAGGCAATTTTCCAGAGCTCTTGTTGTGGTGTGTAGACATCTTTAAATATCGATGTCTCTGGGTGTCCCCAGAAGACAAAACAAATCACGTGATGCGCAGCTATTCACATCGCACTCTCTCTGTTCACTTTTTCCATCAACATCCCCCACCATAATTCATCCTTCCTGCAACTAATTTCAATTCCTGAATCCTTTGTTACCATCAAAGCATTCACACAAGCCATCTTTCTGGAAGCGACACATCCCACTATTCTACTCCACATCATTTTCCGTATTCACGACGAGTCGGAGTTATACGTCGAAGCTCGACGACAATGACGCAGATATGCTTGTTTCCCCTGCACCGCTGATATCGAGGTGATTGCCGGATAAACCGGGTTATGTACAGCAAAGCAGCATGCAGATCAAGAAATATCCCTGTCTCGTGTCTGTGGCTTTTCCTCTTCTAGCCATAGTATGATTCACTTCTGCTACCTGCACAGTTTCCCCAACTCTTTTCCCAATTTTACCTCTTCACATCCATGTCTATCAAATGCGATGAGACCTCAGGGCAATGTGGGAATTGTTCATCGATGGGGAGGCATTGCAATGGCTACGACACCCACCGGTCTCTGGTCTCGGCGAGATCCCAGCAGCCTGAGCGCAAAGGAGCAGCGTGGAGCTGACCTGCTCGAGGTTTACCTGCTAATTGTTCGTCTTGGGGCTCAGGCAGGCCCTCTGCTGAGAACCGGACGGCTCTGCAGCAGCTTACCCCCCTGTACCGCCAAGTCCTGCGCCGCAGACAACGCTTTCTTGCCCGGTGGCCCGAGCGACCTACTCTGACGATCGATATGGGTGTGTTGCTCATTCTTTACAATGTCGGAGACGGCTGCCAGGACCTGAATATGCGCTGGGAGTTTATCTGGGTTCTTCACGCCTGACCTTATCAGGAAGGCCCGTTCAACGCCCGGCTGCTGGCAGTCAGACTGGAACATCGGATCCGCGTCGAGTTGAGACCCCGAGTCCGCGCCGAACTGGTGGCATCACTTGGACTGAGCCTTCATGATAGTGATCAGCTGACGCCCTTGGAAAAGCGCGCGGGAGCTGGGGTTGACATAGCCTGGAAGCACATGCTGCCTGCCAGCTTCTATGTCAGCCAAGAGGAGCGCGGGAGATGCGAGCAGATACTGACTCGGTTAGATCAGACGCACGATTACTGGGGGTCGGCAGCGAGGGCGAAGAGGCTCGAGGAGTCAGCAATGTAAATTGTTGAATTCACTTGCAATATCGAATTCAAATCGGACCGAGTTTCTGGAACCTCCGTCCCGATCCGCCTCTCCGCGATCCGTCGGGCGTTGACCCTATATCTGGTTGGTACATCCTTATTCACCAACTGTCCAAATGGTATTCCAAATCAAATGCAGTCGTGCCTCAATATTCCTCTCGAATAATGACACTCAAGTCACGTACGGGTATGATATCCGATCCTCCTTTGCTGCCTGACAGCCCTAATCGACGAGGGGGTGTATCGGCTAATCCTTCCCGCGATCCCGTATTCGATGCTTTTTTTTTCAGCTGCGGTCAACGGCGCAACGCCACAATTGCCGACTATTGGAGAATCCCTCCCAATCTAACTCTATTCGGCATCTCTCGGCTGTCGCTTGCACTGTGGCATCGCAATGGCGTAGCTGAACACGCTGCTAGCTGACCTTGGCGAACTGTTCATCGAGGTGTTAGACACGGAGTCGCCGGGCCCAACAGCTAATATAACGATTTGACCGTTCTCGCCTGCCCGGCGACGAGGACCCTTCACCAAGACACATCTCAGTCATCCGACATATACGAGGGAATCAGACGAGATGAATGTCTTCGGTACCTATACAGACAGCATCTCCACGCCGCTGCTGGGAGGAGAGTGTGGGAAGCGTCTGATTCCCAACGTGATCGACGCTACAGCCAAAGCCACGCCGGATGTTGAGTGTTTATCCGTCCCACGAAGCAACGGCAACCCCAGCGCCGGATGGAAGCCTGTCAGCTGGGCGCAAGTGGCCAACGCGGTCAATTATGTAGCTCACATGCTCATTGCTGAGGCCGGGGTCCCGACCCCTGGGACCTTTCCCACAGTGGCCTACATCGGCCTGGAAGACCCCCGATATCCGATCTTCGCGATCGGTGCGATCAAAGCGGGCTACAAGGCTCTGTTCATCTCACCACGCAACTCGACCGAGGCGCAAGTGAACTTATTCAACAAGACAGACTGCAACCTGCTCTACCACGAAGCAGACTTCGCCAACATGGTTCAACCGTGGGTGGAGGGGCGTCCAGGAATGAAGCGCGTGGCTGCCGCTGCTTGGAAAGAATGGGTGTACACGGAGGTCGCGCCGTTTCCTTACAACAAGTCCTTCGACGAGGCCGAATGGGATCCATTTGTGGTGTTGCACACGAGCGGCAGCACGGGGCTGCCTAAGCCTGTCATCATCAACCAGGGCATGCTCGCCTTGAACGACCTGCATCGCTATGTCCCCGAGTACGAGGGCAATCTGCCGTGGCTGGCGCATTGGGCCAAATTCCCAAATACGCGCTACCTGTGCATTTTCCCCCTGTTTCACACCGGCGGGATCGCGCCGACCATTCTGATGGCTTTTTATTACAACGCGGCGATTGCGTTTAGAGATCCCTCAGTTCCCATTACGGGTGATAATGTGGTCGAGTGGCTGCGGAATACCGGGGCGGGCTGGACATTGATCCCGCCGGCCATCCTGGAGCAGATGTCGCGGTCGGATGTTGCGGTCCAGGAGTTGAAGAAGCTCCATGCTGTGGGTTTCGCAGGAGGTCAGTCATCATCTCCAAGGTATAACTACGTCTTGCTAATTGTGCTGCGTCTGTAGGTCCCATAGCTCCCACGCCAGCAGAGAACCTGTTAAAACATGAGGTGAAGCTGGTCAATGCTATTGGAGCGACTGAGTATGTGAGATATCCGCTGTGTGCAGACCGTATGCTTACCCAATTGCCTCAGGTACATCTACATGCCCTATTACAACAACCCTGATCCCACCCTGTGGCCGTGGTTTATCGTTCCCTCGGATTTGATGGGCATTGACTGGCGTCCTTCGGGGCAAGAGAACACGTACGAGCAGGTCATTGTGCGCAAGGACAAGGACCACCCCGGCCTGCAGGGCTGCTTCTACGCTTTCCCCGAGCTGCAGGAGTTCAGTACGAAGGACTTGTACCGCCCACACCCAACCCTGGCCAATCACTGGACGTACGTTGGCCGAGCCGACGACATCATCGTCTTCTCCAACGGCGAGAAGCTCAACCCCACAACAATCGAAGGCGCCGTGATGGGCCATGCGGGCGTACGCGGCGCGCAGGTCGTCGGCACCAACTACTTCCACGCCGCTCTGATCATCGAGCCGGCCAACCACCCGCAGACTGAGCAGGAGAAACAGCAGTTGCTCGACAACATCTGGCCGATTGTGGAGAAGGTCAATGTCGAGACAGTCGCTCACGGGCGCATCTCCCGCGACTATATGTTCTTGTCTGATCCAGAACGCCCTTTCCCTCGCGCCGGTAAGGGCACCATTCAGCGAGCCATGGTCGTCAAGGTCTACTCCGAAGACATCGACCGGATCTTCACCACCACCAGTGACGCGTCCGTTGTCGCGGTGGATCTGAACCTCACCTCGAAGGAGGGCTGGGACGCGACGATGCGCAAGCTCGTGCAAAGCGTGCTCAAGCTCCCCACCCTCTGCATGGACCAGAACTTCTTCGCGGCCGGCGCGGATTCCCTCCAAGCCATCCAGCTCGCCCGCTCCCTCCGCGCAAGCCTGGGAAAGGCGACTGGCGTGTCGAGCACCTCCACAGTCGACGCACAAACCATCTATAGCTACCCCACCATCGACCAGCTCGCCAACTACGCCTACTCCCTCACCACCATCACCACCTCCTCGCCCACCGCAGCAGACGCTGACGACGTAACGACCTGCACGACCTTCCTCGAAAAATACACCCACTCCCTCCCCGCCGCCAACCCAACCAAACCCCCCGCACTCACCACCGCCCAAACCATTTTAATCACTGGCACAACCGGGACCCTGGGTCCCTACCTCCTTTCCACCGCGCTCTCCAACCCCAACATCGCACATATCATCTGCCTCAACCGCGATCCCCAGGCCGCAACCCGCCAAAAGACCAGCCACGCCACCCTCTCCCTCCCCACCGACTTCTCGCGCGTCGAATTCCACACCGCCGACCTCACCCACCCGACCCTCGCCCTCCCCGCCTCGACCTACACCTCCCTCCTCCAGCGCGTGGATCGAATCGTCCACAACGCCTGGCTCGTGAACTTCAACCTGACCCTCCCTTCCTTCGAACCCAGCATCCGCGGCGTCCGCCACCTCATCGACCTCAGCGCCGCCTCCCCGAGAACAATCCCTATTACCTTCATTTCCAGCGTCAGCTCCGTCGCCCACTGGCCGTTCTCCGAGCAGAAGGTCCCCGAAGGCGGGCTGGAAGAATGGACCCTCGCCGCCCCGGGGTATGGCCAATCCAAGCTCCTCGCCAGCCGCGTGCTGGATGCAGCCAGCAAGGTCTCTGGGATTCCGTGCTCGGTGATCCGGGTGGGACAGGTCGCTGGCCCGCGCGGCGACAAGGGGATGTGGAATGTGAAGGAGTGGGTGCCGAGTGTGATTCGCAGTTCGGTGTTTTTGGGGGTGTTGCCGGGGGAGTTGGGCGGGTTGGGGGCGGGGTTGGCGTGGATGTGTGTGGAGGATGTGGTGAGTGTGATTCTGGAGGTTGCGGTTGATCTGGAGATCCGGCACGGGTCGAGGTATTTCCACGCGGTGAATCCGTGTGTGGTGGATTGGGCGGCGTTGGTGCCGGGGTTGTGTGAGTTTTATGCCGGGAGGATTCACCGGGTGGTTTCGTTCGGGGAATGGGTGGGGATGCTAGAGAGGAGTCTGGAGACGATGGGTGAGGGGGATGTGGAGCGGAATCCGGGCGTCAAGTTGTTGAGTACGTTCAAGAAGGCTGCAGGTGGTGTCGGGGTGAAAGTTGGGTTTGAGACTGCGCGCACGGAGATGGTCAGTCCTACATTGCAGAGGGTTGGGCCGGTGACGCCGGAGTTGATGAGGCATTGGTGTGAGCAGTGGCAGTTTTGAGAGCGGGATTCAATACAGGATGTCTCTGGTCTAGGGTCAGGCAATAGACAGTACTCATCCCCCAGTCCAAAGCACTTCGTCATTTCCTCAGACAACATTTCAAACCGGGGTAGTACAAAGAAGACATCCCAGCGAGTTCTGATTGATCCATTATGGACTTCGTGTTGAGGTACGCGGGCGGAGGATGAGAGTCGCGGTGGTTTATCCTCCTGGTACGCAGGAGCGAGGCAGTACCCAGCTTATAAATAGCTGAGTCGAGGTGGTTTTTTCCCAAGCCAATGCACTAGAGCTCCCTCTGTTACCGGTTGCTACGGTCATCTTTCCATGATTCATTGATAGGCGTTTTTGTCCTCTTGCCTGAAGACTTTCTCGGGCGACATCAAGAGAGATGGGAGGATGAGGTAAGGCATCGGACAATTCTCTCACTCATAAGGTCTTGACTCACTGCCTTGTTCGGTGGGAGGCGGTGGTCCTTCAGACCTCAACATAAGAACAGGTTGATGATCATACGCCTATCATAGGACTCGTATATTAGCAAGATATTTATCGACGGGGCCAAGACTTGCCACCCCTCACCTCGCGCGAAGTGCAATCCAACAACTTGAATGCTATTCATAGGGATACTCCTAAGTAGAATGAAAGTAAAATACCGTGGACATATCCACGAACCGACCGAGCTAGCAGATACTACCGTGATTCTCCGGAGTAAAAGAAGTATCAGAATCACTTATCTCTGACTATCGAATCATTTCTCCCGCACTCGAACCTCACTGCCGAGCAACTCTCACCCCCTCTGGACCGAACGACCGCGCAAACGTCTCCTCGCCCATATTCCTCTCCGCCCACGTCCGGTACGCACTCCAATACACCACCTCGCCATCCGAGCACAGCTCATCCCAGCTCATATTCTGAATACTCAGATTTGTATGAGCTATCTCCGCCTCCTCAAGGTTCATCCGACCATAACCATACCCAGTCGAGATATGCCCGAACGCACGATTCTTATCGTCATCGAACCAGACATCACCGCCCTCATTTGAAGCGACGATGATCGCCTCCCAGTCCTCGCGCTCGTCGGCTGGCTCCAGCGCCACCTCGAGCGTCTTCCGATCAATCGCCAGAAATTCGCGCGGCGGGGGGTGTTCCTCAAACTCCTCGGATTCAAAGTACGCCAGCAAGCCCTGCATATCCGGCGAAGGGAGACGATCGGAGACGTCGACCCACATGTACTCCTGGTCGGGAGCGGGGAACAACTCCGCGCGGATCTTGCGAAGCTCGGAGGGGGTCATAGCTTCGAGGATGAAGATGAGGTTGTGGTCAATGCTGCCGGCGATATCGTCCGGGTCGACGATGGGCTCCCCGCCCCAGTTGCGCATCGAATACATGGCGGGGTTGTAGCGATAGGGCCCGTCGGGCAAGAAGGCAGGGATCTGGCTCGTTGGATGGAAGGCGGCTGTCCAAAAGTCTTGGACCTTGTCAAAGGGGCAGACCGCCAGCGAGAGTCTTTTATCTCGGGGGTCTGACCGGTAGGCGCTGGCGCCTTCGGCAGCGACGACGTGGTAGCCCTCGCAGTCCTCGTCGATGAAGAGGGCAAAGGCCTCGTCGATCCCGGGGTGGGAGATCTTGATCGCCTGGAACATGCGGTAGAGTTGGGCGTGGGAACATGGCTCTGTGTGCTCGGGCCAATTGCGGATGGTCACTGCATGTGGCATCAGGGCTTTGAGGTTCTCCTGGACAACTGCAGGGAGGTGAATGAGGGAGATCAGAGTCGGAGTGGATGAGTCGAGGCGTAGCCCTGCTAAATGAGGGGGGAGGGCGGCCTGTGGTGGCTATGGTCCGCTTTAGCCGTGACTATCTCTAGTTGGATTTCGTGAGACAATGCTGGATTACCTTGATGGCCCGTTCTGGCTTGATCTCTGGTACAATCCGAGGGTACTCTGATGGTATTGTTCCACCACCAGCGACGACACTTAAAAGCAGGTTGGTCCGATTGAAGGGCACTCGCGCAGCCTCGGGGACGGAGTCCTTAGATGCCTTCCAGGCGATGATAGCCGTGTCGTCTTTGCGCGATTGGTCGTCAACGAAGATCAAAGGATCATTGTTGATGATGTCAAAAATGACTGATACTTGCGGCAGACGATCCATCAGCCAGGGGATCTCTACTAGACGTCGCATTCTCGTCGAGGGTCGATCTACCCAGTCTTCATCCACGGAGCAGAGCTTGGTTAGGGCTGCCACGCGTTCCGCGTCCTCCATGGGACAGATGAAGACCACATGCCATGAGGGAGGTGCGGAATCGTCAAATCGAGAGGCCGAGTATATGTTAGGTAGCAACCACGATGGAATGGTTGGAGCTACCATCTTTGCATGTAGCTGAGAGGAGAAGAAATGGCGATTTGGAGATCCACCAAAACAAACTGAGTCAACTACTGGCTCCGCGAGAAAGGATTAGTAATCTGGCTAAGCTTAACGTTAAGCTTTCTCGAGTCGAAATCAGGTTGAGAATGGATAGAATCCTTGCACAGCTCGTATATCCGGCTCAGCGCACCCATTTAAGAACAAGCTGCTTCCTTGTCAGCCACGGCTTCGGTTGTATATGATGTTTTCTGTATTGATTGATCTGATATCTTGGTGGAGGCAGCAGCTGTTCTGCCTATCTCGATCCACTCTTGCCAAGGCTCGTGGCAATGTCTCATATTTCACTCCGACACAACAATCCTGTAGCGCGAGCAGCCGTCCATACTAAGCCAATTTCGGATGTCATGTCTCATACGATTTGAGGATTCGGGGGGTGACTCCAGCTGCCTTCTAGCCATTTGCCCCTGCTGCATCGAAAGATTAGACGAAGCAGTTTCTTCATATCCCGCTGCAGGACAGCATTTACACTGGGGACAAGTCAAATTCCCGAACAGGATGATATTGCTAACGTTCAGAGTAGATATAGTGTGGCTCATCTTCTTGCAGAGAGATAATTCATGCATTCTCCTGGCTGATAACCGGGGAGCCACCGACTTTTAACAGTATGATTGATATCCGTCTGTAGATAGCCATTGTGATGGATGTGGAAGAAACAACAGCCTTTCTCTGCGTCAGTATCAAGGTTCGAAGTAGTACACGGAGGACTCAGGCCTGCCGTACAACTTGCGCGAAAAGGGTGTAGGAGTAGGGCTGCGAAGAGCTTGCTTTGTGAGAAAACATATAACATAAGTTACCTTCTCCTGTCAACAGCTGGCCTGCTGGCCCAATGGTAAGGCGCTTGACTACGAATCAAGAGATTGCAGGTTCGAGCCCTGCGTAGGTCAATTCTTTTTTGTCCGTCTACCCACTTTGATATGAACTTTTTTGCCGTGCGGTCTCGGGTATCTCTTATCAGACGGTCCAAATCAGTCTTTATGCCAGCCCTGGCAATGTGCTGGCGGCGTTACTCCCGCAGTGAATTTTTCTCCCCTATACATCGTTGCTATTGTGGGTTCCACATTTATGGGCCGTATATACAGTCCTCAATCTTGATATTATTCATACATACTCTGGACGTGATACGAGGCTGGACAGTTTGCGTCAACGACAAAGGCCCTTTTCCTGGATAAACATATCTTCAGTGTGAATTGGAACGACAGACAAATGCTATATATCTGCGACTGAACATTGCCAACATTCCAAAGCAACGTCAACTTCACCACCCCAACTCAGTCGGCACCGGCGTGGCCGCCGCCGCTGCTTCGCCAGGAACAGCCGCAACCCTCAACACCCTCTCCCCAGCATCCGGCTCCGGGGTAGCCGGTCACGGTGATCACCTCGCGATCGTCTGACCTCCTCGAGCAGCAGCACCCGGGGGATGTAGTCGTCGCGGATGGTCGTACAGCTCGGGTCGTAGAGCGGACACTGCTGCCCGCCCCGGTACTGCGGCCAGGGGAAGAGGGACTGGGTGGCATTTCCCTCCGCGCCCTTCGGGTTCTTGCGGCATGAACTCGGCGAAATTGAAGGGGTAGGCGGTGCCGACGGTCGGGATATTTGGCGTTGCGGTGGTAGCGGACGGACGACAGCGTGGAGGGGTGGATGGAGAGGATCTCGTTGGAGTGGGAGCCGCCGCACTGGGAGCCCGGGTGGGCGCGGCAGTTGCTCCAGGCGTAGATGGAGGTGAAGGAGAGGTAGACGGTGGGGGAGATGAAGGTCTCGCCGTTGACGATGGCGGTGGTAGGGCGGGAGGCGGAGACGGTGGTGCCATTCTGGAGGCAGAGATCGCCGTCAGCGGTGGTGACGGGCCAGCAGAAGAGGGTGGCGGTGCCAGGGAGGAAGTGGTAGGCTGAACAGGGGTTTTCCTCGGGGTAGGACCGCGCGGGGGACGGGCAGGAGTCAGAGGGGATGGGGCTGTTGGTGTCTCCGGGTGGAGCGGAGGTGATGGTCGCATCGTAGGCGTCTTCGAGGCTGGAGTAGGCAACCCAGATGTATGCAGCTAGCCCTCATTTTCAGCTCGTATATCAGATGAAGGTGTGGTAGGTGTCGTGGTCTGACCTGCGTAAAGAAATCCCTGCATGCTTTTGACTTTGGATTCTCCTGAGGCTAAAATTCCGTCTAAGCCCACTGCAGAAAATGCGTAGAAGTCATGGGTTCATTCTGAATCAGGTTTTCATCGCAACACTGTCATCTTCTCGAGACGGGGCTCACTATGCGGGAGATATTTTGCATGGTCTGATGCAGGGCAAATCGCCATGCCGTATAAGGCTTCAAATTACTCCGGCAATTGTCGATGGATGCAAATGATTGTAACGGACATTCTATGCTGCAATCGTCAGGGCTTTTGTATGATTAACCTGTCTACTGGCAAGATAAGAAGTCACCTCAACTCAATTCAAGCGGAAGAGTCTCAGTTGCAGGGACAACAGAAACCTGGAGCACAGATACTAGACATTATGCTACAAGCTCAGCAATTGAAGAGGCCCGGGTACATCCCATCGCTATTTTCATTGACTCTGGTTCAATCTTAGTTGTATTTGGCCTTTTTGATAAACTCAGCTCATGTCTTTAAACCGGACTGCGGACAAAAGGCGACAAAAAAGAGAAAGAGAACGTTCGCATCTCAAGATAAACAGAGGATGTTTGGCACACAAAGAAACCTGCACGCGCTTCCATTGTCAGTCGCGGCTGGATTTATCATCTGCACAAAGACCCATAGCATTGGGTGAAGAACCTCCCGTCGGCTGCTTTGTTGCTCAAATAAATAGCACAGATCAAACGTCCCAGAGCCTCGCGGCTTGTCTTCTATATAAGCACAATAGACTCTAACACGAGTATCTGACACTTCAAGCATGACCAACACCGCTCAGGCAAGTCCCCGTGCTATCCAACATCTGAACCGCCCCCGGATCTAGCGACAAACCCTACTAATATATCTACACACCAACCCTCCAGATGCCGTCCCTCACCACCAACTACAAAGGGCACAAAAGATACGCCACCGGTGGCGGCGGCAGCAGCAGCTGGGCCCGACACAATCCCCTTGCCTGGGCCATGGGCCTCATTACCCAGACCTGGCTGGTCCTGAAGCAATGCACCACCCTCCACAGCAACAGCCCCCTGCGGTACGCCCACCTCGCGTTCCAGGTCTGGTGGTCGCTGGAGCTCGTGCACCGCACCACCTTCTACGGCCGCACGCACCAGCTCCTGCAGTACCTTACGCCACACAACAACCAGTTGGTGCGGTGGGGCGCCTGGTCGCTGGACCTGCGCTACACGCACAGCATTCTGCCGACCGAGTGGCGCAGCACGCTCTGGATCGGCGGTGGGCTGCTGCTGAAGAATCTGGTCAATCTGTACCTTGAGCAGCCGCAATACCGGCTGGCGCGGCGCCGGCTGCTGGCGTATCTGGATACGCTCGGGCTGTGGGTGTTCCTGGCGAGCATGCCGCTGGTGAACACCGCGATGATCGTGCAGTTGCTTGGCGTGGTGTGTGCTATGCAGTTCTTCGGTGGGTATGCCCTGCTCGCCGTGTTGGAGTTGGCGCGATGGACGGGGTTGACTAGGGTTATTCCCTTTCACGGGGCGTATTGGAGATGAATGGGGTGAAAGCTCGTTGAGCCTGATGGGAGAGTAGCTGCGGGTGCAGTCTCTCTTCGCTATTTTCTTTGATTGTGAATTTGGCACTTTTGACGTGTCATGTTACGAGGAGCTTTTCAGTTGCTGATTGCCTGAGGTATTGCTTCAGATGTGCGCTTCTCATATCAAAAAGTCCTCCGCTTCGATCCCATGAATAATTACTTCATTCCAGCCTCCGCACAAGATTGCTTGTATTTGTAATTCTGTATCTCTGTATAATTGGTTTTCTCCGTGTCTTCAGAGAAGCAACGAGTTACTCTTGTACAGAGGAATCGTTCCAATGCTACGTAGAATACCCACATGAAACCTCCTCTACCGCGATCGCCGCATTGGTTGCGCGCAACGCGTCCGTCGACGAGGTGGCCGAATAGCCGCCCGTTGGCGTGGAGGGTCGAGATCCGGGTGGTGAGACGCGACATGGACAGCCAGCTGAGGTAGAGCTTTACTTCGTCTTGAAAAGAGAGGCGCGACGTGAGCATGATGTACTGTATGTCGAGTCCTGGTGCAGTTGTTCGGAGAGATTCACTGAGTATTACAACCGAACTTGAGTTCGTACTGGTAGAAAGCGAAGCAAAGAAGAGCATATTCACCGGGCCAGATGTCTCGAATAGAAGTGCAATTTCTCATAGGCATGAAACAAAACCTGACCAGGCGCTTTGTCACATCCACAGTTGCTTTTTGCATAGAGATGAGTATTCAGGCAGCAGTAAGCTTTTGTTCCATTGTGATTGACTCCCAACCGCTCCGACACAGAATGCATGTCACCCAGAAAAAGAAAAAAAAAAAAAAAAAAAAAAAAGAAAAAAAAAAACAAAAAAAAAAAAATTGCCAAGATTTCTGATCAAGCTGCTCAGCTTGGGATTTTGCAGTACAACACAAACTATGCAATCCCCCGATAGATTGTTGCTCAGATTCACGAATGTGAAACCAACCAAAAATCACCCATATCGACCCAAAGTACAACACGCATAACTATTCACCACCATAAAGAACATGCACAGACGAACTCGGCGTAAGATGACCATTGCCCGTACGAATAATAACCTTCACTTGCAACGCGCGCGCTTCCCTAATACAGCAAGAAAGGCAGGTCCGACCAGCGCGCCCAATGATAGCATGGTATCCCACCGATGCGCACCATGCTCGCACGAATGCTTCCTTCTCGGCGGAGCCACGCGCGTCCAGAATCAGGGTCTCCTCCAGGTCGAATGCCGACCGAATCTGGTCGTGTGCGGAGAATTCTTCCACCAGGGAGGGAAGATGAACCCAGCGGTACGCGTAGCGGCAATGTAGCGGGTGGCCTGGGAGACGGTGATGACGGTGCCGGTCGGACGAGGAGCTGGATGGAGAGGGCGATCTCCCGTTACCGCCACTAGTAGACTGGGCGCGAGGATGGGTAATCATGCCTCCCGGCGGGCGGCATTCATGGGATGAGATGAACTGCACGTTATACTTCAGTGGGAAGAATACCTTGGTAGGAGTGGCGGTCGTGTCGGAGGACAAGCAAAAGTGCGCAGTGGCCAGATCCACAACTGCCATTTGATGCTCGGCTGAAGGTGGGTATTGCTCCTTGACCCGGAAGATCAGGTCCTCAAAGGTGATTTTCACCTTCAACGCGCTATCGCTCTGGTCGTCCAGCGGCAATGTAAACGCCCCACTGGTTAGATCCCCAGGACCTAGGGGCGTGGATTCAAGCGAGACCTTGGATCCCTGCTTGATTCTCGGTTTCCCAGGTCTGCTCTGCGGCTCCTTGACCTCGACCTCAAACCAGGTATCAACCAAAGACCCCAAAGTCGCCGATTCCTTTGGTAGAATCGGACTGGATTGCCATCCTAAGCACGCTTTGGTACCCTCCAGACAAGCCAACACTCTGCTAACCACACATGCTTTGCTCCACCAACTCCGTCCATCGTAACAGAAGCCACCATAGAGATTGGCCACCGGTCCCAATTTGGCCATGGCCTCGGAATCGTTCTCCAGGACAGTACTGATGAGGAAGTGGCTGATAGACGATCCAGGGATCACAAAACCAGACAGCCAGCTTCTGGTGGCCCATCCGCCGATGTGAATACGGTTGCTGTCATCACTATTTCGATGTAGAAGCAAGAGACGTCGAGACGCATTTCTGCTATACATGGCTTTCCTCAGATCTGGCACCTTGTGCCCTGTTGGGACTGAATTAGGCTCCGGACTAGTGAAGATGGAGTTGACCTTTTGAGCAGTCTCCTCTCCCTCCAATTTTGCCTTGAGAGTCTTCTTGAACTCCTCCAAACGCGGCCAACCTAAGTTGTCGGCAAAGACAACAAGACCCTTCAGTTGCTGCGTTACACGACTGGGGAGGAGATGACATCTCCAGGCCGACTCATTGTGAGGCGTGCCGGAAGAGGAATGGTGGGTGATACTAGAGAAGAACGACCGATGATGATGTTTCTCATGTGACGGGCCGGCCTCCATAGGAGTTGCTGGACCAGGGCTGCCATCTTCGAGACGATAGTCGAGATCGAAGCTATCCATAAATCGCCGGACCGTAACCAGATCCCAGTTTAACTTTCCATTCCGCAACCTGTCAAACTCAAAAATATCGCGCAGCGAAATGTTGATATCCCGCGATTCTTGAAGCATTCCGACGCGGACAGTCGCGTCCAAGCGCATAAGAAGCTCAGCAGCAAGCAGCATCTGAACCAAGAACCACTTGCGCTCCAGGGTTGAATGTACCCATGGCTTGTCCGACGCCAACACATCAATAAAGTCGCCATCTTGATGAGGGGGCTTCTCCCAAAGAAGTTGGCCGATATGGAGTCGCCAGTCGATGAGACTGAAGTCCAGCCATGCGCCAGGCGTGGCCAACACAACGGTCAAAGCCTTGATCTGAACTTTCAAACTGTGGGGATCGCCCATGTCGGCAAGCAGGAATCGGACCGGGGGATAGAGAAACTTCGTGAAGAGTTCGGTATATAGCTCGCGTGAACATTGCATATCGAGGATCGTCTTTGGGCGATCACCATGGAGAATTTCATGGCGCAGCCGCTTCAATGTTTGTAGTCGTCCCACCAAAGTTGGCAGATCGATGTCGCGAACACCAATCCTCTTCCAAAAATTCGGTCCTTCGCGCAGCAGCTTCTTACGGTCATGGACCGTGCCGTCCGAGCAAAGAGCGTATGGCTGGCCATAACGCTCCAGCAGCTCGAATGACTCGGTCGCTGGCAAGCTGGACAGGTGCAGATAGCCAGGCGAAGGCCGTGGGACTCCTGGCCCTATGTAGCGGGCGGCATCGGCGACCGGCAGCTCCAGATAATAGCGGAAGCCAACTGTTCCAGGATCCCTGCCATTCAACGCGAGCATATTCGGAATCTCCTGAACCCCGACGTCGAATGTCGCTCTTCTGGGCGCGTCGCTTCGTTTCCAACTGCTGAGATGCACGGGCGCATCGCCCTCAATAACCCAATCATCCGGCACGGGTAAATGGGCATGAAGAGTGCACAAGGTGTATGAAGCATGGGGCAGAGGTCTCCTGTCCCAGAAGCATTGTATGGCTGGATCGTGGTCGTCAAACGGGAATATAACTTGCGGGAACCAGCGGTCACCTTTCCCTTTCTCAAGCATAAAATATGGTGCGCCGGAGAAGATGATTTCCACATCTTTCATGGTCAGATGGTGCTTATGAGGGGAAGACGCGCCATTGTCATGTTTTGGAGAGTGGTGAGGTTTGGTGGCTGGGCTCGGGATATTTTCGGCGGCTGACTCGTGTGTGCCGCTCTCATGGCGGGTATGCGACTTGGAAGGGACATTTTCCGATGAATGAGATGGCGGACTATCCGTCTACAAAACAGTTAGATACAGCGACTGCACACGATTCATCGAGGGCGCGATCACGCTAGCATCTTACCCGATTGGGAGATCCAGGGTCCGAAGGCGAATTCGAGCTGTTCGAGTGATGCTTATGGAATATCTCATGGAGCACTCCTTTGGCATGAAGACCATGGCTTTGTTCCGAAATATCCGGAGCCGATGACCTTCGGCCACTGTTGCTCCGCGGGATGGCATCTCCCTCGGCTGATGAGGTAGATGCGACTGAATGTCGTCGTCCGAAGATAAATGACATGACGGTTGTGTATATACTTTCAGGTGTGGATTTTTTTTTTTGTTGCCGTTCAGTGACTCTGCTGGAACATGTTGCTATGTTCGCTCATGGCGGTCGGAATGCGGGTCGCGTTCATAGGCGACGGGATAGGTGGCGGCTCACATGGGGCCTAAATAAGGTATACCAAGCAGTCAGACCACTACAACCGGCATGAGCCACTCTAAGAATAGAAAGGAAGAAGAATAGAGCAAGATAGAGGGGAACAAATGTGCGGTGTAGGAAGAGAGAAAGTGAAGCAGTCGAGGATGGGTTGATGACGTTGTCTTGATTTTCCCCCCGCTTTCACTTCCTGCTAACCCGTTTAGGTAATCTCGCATGCCAGCTGAGCTAAGAATTCTATACGGATTAGTCAGGAGACATAGTTGATTATGTACACAAATGCCAATCAACCATTCTCCTTAGGAGAAAGTAGTCGCAGAGGAGAAGTATCTGAAATTCAAGCAGACCCTGAATACCACCCCACGGTAACCCAACACAAGGACACGCGATAGTGGTGAGACAAGTCACCGCAATCGCATCTCAGGGGTGGAATTTGGCCGTATGTGTGCGGGCTCACGGCGTCAGGAATGGGAACTGAATCTTATCAAATAGGCGTTGACGAAGGCCAGAGCAATATTGAGTGCGGAGAATAATTAGCACTTCTTTGCTGGTTCTACTGAACATGTCCAGACGGGTACCAGCCGAGGCGACGCGGATACAGTGTGTTGCCCTAAGTGGGAGAGACTGAACGACTCTTGCAGCTCACCATACACAGTTTATACATCTAACCCACCAGACAACACCATCGCTTCATTCTATCAAGCGCCGGAATACAGTAAATGCATTCAGCTCGCTTAGGTGCCAGGGCCTAACAATAGAAGAGCCGATCCTATCCATTCCTAACTCGGGGTCATTCCGCATGGCGGGATTTGCGCGTGGGAAGCACTAGCAGCCCTAGTTTTGTGCATCAGGAAAATCGGATGGCATGTTGTTCATGAGTGATCAACGCCCGTGAAACATACATTATAGCCTCCCACCTGGTCTAGCTAATGGTTTTCCTTGCTCTGGAATGAATTTGGTTTGGTACAAATGATACATTGTGTTCACTTTATTTAGGGCATGAGTTCTCTGGCAAGGCCCAACCAGATCCAAGCGATCGTATATCCTACAACTCCGGTGTATCGGCAATGCGAACAACGTACTTGACCGCTGAAGCCTTACCAGCCTGCAAATCCTTCAAAGCTCCCTGAAGTCCCGCCAATCCATTGGGCCGCACTTCATGAGGATGACCCCTGAACCAACCCTGGGCCAACCCCCTCCCGACGAAGGCAAAGAAAGCAGCGCCAAACTCGGCTTCCCCAGCCATCTCTCCCGCAGCCGCCGATTGATGGACAGACCCACAGTATGTTTTTAATATCTGGACACCCTCTGGGAGGCCTTTAAAATCGCTACCGGACAGCACCACGTTGATTTTTGCGGGAGCAGTAAGCGCCGCACCCAGGTTATGGTAGGAACCCTTCTCAGAGACTGCGTCGTAGGCATGATGGATTGGCCGACCGCCGGCAGCAGCCTGGATCTTCTGACGGACTGCCTCGTCCCCTTCGCGGTAATCGATGATTGTATCGCCCTTCGAGCGGTCAATCAGCGTCTCGACATACGAGGCGCCTTTTCCGGCTACCACAATGAGAGGATGAATATTGGAGAGACAAGCCAGCTTGATGGCGAAGGCGCCCACGGCCGTGGATCCACCATACACAACCAGCGGCAGCGGTTCGGTGGCAGGATGCCAAGGAAGAGGCAAGCTCAATTGCTGGTAAAGTCCGACCGCAGATGTCGTGGCCGCGAGAGGGATCGTGGCGGCCTCTGTTTTCTAGGTCAGTCGCAATTGGCAGACCCTGGAGCACTGATGGAAGAACTCATTTACCTTCGAAGCTGATTTCATCGGCCAGGTGGAAGGTCGTGTGCGCCCACGCAATTGCGTACTCAGCATAGCTACCCCCAGCCGTCATCATCTCATGGAATGCAGCGACTCTGTCGCCCTTTCGAAAGTTTAGAACGCCTGCGCCCACAGCCTCCACGTAGCCCGCAATATCATCCCCCTGGTTTTCAGCCGGCGTATCGGGGCGCCAGGTCGGCACTTTCCAGTCTTTAGGGTTGGTGCCGGAGACAACCACCTTGATCAGCACCTGACCGGGCTGTACGACGGGCGTGTCGACATCGCGAATTGCGACAGTGACCGTTTTGTCAACGACAGCTTCCTTCATAGCTACGATTTGAGATCGACAATGTTCTGGTTGCAATCGAGGTGAATGGCAGCGAAATCCCGCGTTTTTAAAACTAACTATCGCCCGGAGGCTTACGGAAAACCCCACTTTGATTTGTAAGACGGTGGGTAACTAACTTACAAGTAAGTTATTCGTGGCTACGTGTTTACAATACATTATCGGGCAACGGACTGACTTATGACAGATTTGTGCAAAGCACAAAGAAATAGCTTTCTTGGAGGAGAAGACTTGCATTAAAGCTGTTTTCAGTGTATACATTCTTTCAAAATCAATTTTATCATAATCCCTATCTCTGACACGCCTCTCATAATATGACCTGCGAACACTGACAATATCAGCCGTACTGAGTAAATATAACCTCAGATTGACGTGGAGTAGTAGAGTATAGTTGTTCCGTGAGGGATTGATTGACAGGAAATTTCTCCGATTCTACAGTACATCATAAATTGCATTACCAATGCCCAGGATCGAACTCTTTGCTCAGAGAATGTATTCAGTTGGTTCTGAGTGTTGATTCTTCTTCGTACGCTCAAGGGAAAACCTCTTGCATGAATTGCGCCAGCTGCTGAAGCAACTCCCGCCACCTTGGGTGATGAAAGAGGTCAATAGTTATATAGGAGATATTCCTAAAGTGCAAACAAAGCTCCCACTCGCGTATCCTCTGGTCGTCCGGACCAGACAGCGTCGCCATCATCTCGTATAGCCGATGAACTATCTTCCAGGCGCCAACGTGATAGCGAAACCAGGCAGTATCGTTGATCAAAATCACTTCGTCCTCGATGCACTGGCGCAGTCGCTCCAGGGCATCGACCGGACGGAGATTGGGTTCGCCACCTCGTTTCCTCATGGACGCGGCCAAGCTCGGGCACAGGCGTGATTCCTGCAAAACGCGCGAGATCTCAGCTGCGGTCCAGTTGAACATGTCGAGACTATTGAGCAAGCTCACCTGCAGGGTAAACTGCCAGACCTGCCGCATCTCACGCCCTCGATCGGCGGGAAACCCGTATACCCTGCGCAGAGCATCCTCGTATTTCCGGCGCGATCTGGGAGGCCTTCTCTCAACAAACATATCAGGATATCTCGCCATCAGCCGTTGCCCGGTGGGCCATGACCACCCAGGCGGCAGTATATCCTCCTGTTTAGCTGCGTTATACAGCTGCACAAGACTAACCAGGGCGCCAAAATCATTGGCCCATCGGATGCCCTCGTAATAGAAGCCGACCTTCCAATAGGTCAAGAGCTGTTCGCTTAACTCAGGTAGCGCGGTCAACAGCTGGCAAGCCTGAGTGAGGTCGGGGCTGGTCCAATATCGTAACTCCTCCCGAAACTTCAGCGCCCCAGTCTCGAGTTCCCGGTATATCTCGGGCATAACAGGGTGTCCCTCAAGGAGCTCAGAGATCTGTGGCACCGCAGAGTCGGCAAAGGCCTGGAGCTCAGCATATGCCTTACCATGCTCCGGTCCCAAGGCCGATCGCACTTCGATGTGTGCCCAGGCCGCGATAACCATATTGATTGAGAGTTCGAGGCTACGGTACAGCTGATTTGTTTCATACGTAAGGATGTCCCACACTGGCAGGTCTTGCGGTGCTTGTGATTTCTGCCACAGGTAAAACACCATGTGTTGCAAGAGGGCCTCCTCGACCAGCGTGCGATGCCGTTCCTCGGAACTCATATCCCCGGTCCAGTCACACTTGGGTAGCTCTGCAAGCAGAGTAGCAGCATTATCTCCAGTTACATTCCGGTGTGCGGTGAAGTCTTCAATCAACGATGGCAGGCTGGACAAGTCTGTGAGGAAGCGGTCGAATCCTTGGAAATCCTCGCCATCTGCTTCGTCTCCTTTGGCTGCCGCACGGCGGATGTCACGGATCACAAGCAGCGATCCGATCCAAGCATCAAAGTCCACGGGAATAAAGATCTCCTCCTCCCTCAGCTCTGTCATTGAGTTCATGTGTATCCCCTGAGCCACCATTCCTGCGATTGCCGCGGCCGTGACGGAAAGCCGTCCCTCGCGGTACTGCTGCCACGATTCCCGCACGAAACGCATCATATGCCACAGGTCCTGCATGACCATCTCGAGCGCAAATAGCCCGGTTGGCTTATCCGCAGCTGCCTGCTCGAGCGTGCAGATCACGTCTGCCGGCGTCTCAGGCGTAGGGGTTGTCGCCGCTGTGCTGCTGCTCGACGAAGGCTCCTCCGTCTCCGGGGCCGTCTCCTCGAGCTCCAACGCCTCGAACATGTTCCCCAGCGCTGCAGCGTCGGAGCTCGGCTGCTCCTCCTTGCGCGTGTTCCTGGGCAGGATCGGTTTGAGGATCTCCTCCATCTCTTCCAGTACACTCACAAAATGCTCATGGCTGGCGTTCGACGCGGTGTCACCGTCTTGCGCGTAGTACCGTCGCTGATATCTCCGCCGCACGATCGAACGACGCAGTTTGATCGCAATCAATGCCGGCACCTCTTGGACCTGGCCGCCGGCTACAATCCGCTTTGCGCGCTCGACCAGCTCCTTGAGCGTCAGCACGTACTCGGTAGGGCCTTGAGGGGATGGTTTGCCTTCTTTTGCGTCCTTTCGCGCCTTACCCTTGAGCCTGCCGGGGCCCTTGGGCTTGAACTCCGGGTCGGTTGTCAACAGCCAGGTCGCCACGTCTTGAGTATCCTGCTTGTACTGCAGATACTGCGTAATCTGCGTCGGTTGCTTCATTTCTGCATCTGGCAGATAGTAACCGGTTCTGCGTAGGGTTCAAGTCGTGCGGACATCTGGTGTAGTGCTGTGTTGGATGCACATATATGTGTTGCTGCGGCTTTGAACCCTCCTTCCCTCTCAAAATCCTCCGGGGATCTTCCTGAATCTTGATACTAGTCATTGTTTGGAGCATGTTATTCTTCGAGCTTTTGTGTTATACAAAGCAGAGAACAAAATACGAATCCATGGATCCGATAACAATGCTGCCTCGATTGAATTGCTGGGGATCTCCATCTTAGTGCAGCTCCAGCTCGTTCTTGACTTGACCGCTCGAACGTGCGGTGTTACTTACTTCTGGGCCTCTCTATGCCTTTGCTACAATGAAATGACATGGAGCGATTGATCTAACACCTCTTTGCAATCAGCGCTCTTTGTTCGCTTCTTGTAATTTTTTTTTCTGTACCTATCCTTGGCAAGATTTGTCTTAAACACCCCCCACTAGCGGTCCCGGCAGCGCCGGGCAATATAATATATTCTTTTCAATACTTAGAACTAGTTAAAGTTACTATTATTACTTTTTTAATTTAGAGTAATAGAATATTGAATTACTAGTCTATAGACTTAATAAACTAGAAATAACATGTATAATATTTGAGATAACTATTAGTATTAATATTACTTATTTAGTAATTTATTGTTAATACTAGCTATATACTATCTTAAAATATAGCTTTTTTTCGAATCTATTATTAACTACTATAACTATATCTTAACTTATCTCTGAGATCAAGGGGGGTTTAGCCCCGATTATCTCCGACCTCCTGCGACGTGCGCCGATGGTCTAGAAACTGCATTGGTAGATCGTATCGCTCGGCAGCCAATCAGGAAAGGTGATTCATACATGATTCACCTAGTCGTAGAACTATTCTTCCGAGTCATCATCCTCCCCGGTTTACAAGATGGAATGATCCCAAGGTGCGGACTAGATGCGTATTGTACAGTAATGGTATTAGCGCGTTACGTCAAGAGCGGGCTAGTAGGCGTAATTCATCGCCACCAAAGGGAAGGTGGCAGTGCAAGTCGTGGTAACGGTACTGTAACCGAGGGTCAGGGCAGCCTCCCGAGTTCCTGGCTCCGAATCTTGACACCAGCCCACACTCCACTGTCGGGTTGCAAGATGCCAGTGAAACAGCAGCCTTACTACCGACTCCGCACCTAACATGCCTCCCAATGGCATGACTACGACTAATACAAAGCCAAGCAAGATAACTCGGAAGCACTCAGGGTGCAAGTCATGTCGGCGGAGAGGTAAAAAGGTGCGTCTGCCGTAAATTGTGCTCCATGGACCGCCAATCTGATGGATTACCAGTGCGATGAAGCTAAACCTCACTGCCGCGCCTGTGTCCGGTTATCGCTGGAGTGCAGTTACGGGGTGAATTTGACTTTCCGACACATCGGCCAAGCTACTTCTCAGCGACATACGCAGGTGATTGTCGCGTCACCTGCGGCGGCAATTCCCGCCCCTGCCTCGAGAAGGGCTCGTAGTGAAAACGGTCCGCCGGCCAAACCCCGTCTCTTCAGTGACTTCACCGCAGCTGGAATTTCCCCTTCTCCAGACCTTGGAGATGGCCTGGAGGTCCGCTATCTGAGCCACTTCCAGGATCATGTACGCCATCTGCTGCCCGCGTTGTCGATGACGTCTGTGGAGGAGATCTTCGACGCCTCTTACCTTCGTGCTGCCGCTGTCTGCATCTCGGCCTCCAGCCTTTCCATGCTCAACGCACAGATCCAGAGTCGTCACCGCGTGGGTGACCATCAAACTCCTGTGTTTAGCCCTCTGGTCGATTCCCGCCATCATCGCCAAGCACGCAATTACCATGACCGCGCACTTCAACTCTGCCGCACTGCGAGTGCAAGCGATGTTTTAAACAATGCAGCCTCGATCCTGCGGACCCTCGTTCTCCTCGCTTACTACCACCACGCCTCGACAAACCATCTCAATTTTCGTCTAGCAGTCTGGGACACCCTCCGGTTTGTGTCGCAATGCCGGGAGCACATCATGCGCTCCCCTGACGGGATCGGGGCCTTGCAGATGTGGCACCGCTTGTGTGTCTCCCATCGCCTGTCGAAGCCACCCTCGCTGCTCCTCGAGGGCGAGGGGGTCAGCTCGTTCAGCCCGAACTGCTTTCCAGATCCCACCGATCATCTGTATCTCAGCTGTGTGTTAGGGATGAGTACAGATGATCTCATTTATGATATCTTGGTCAAGACTATGGAGATACGCGCCCGGCTGATTGTATTCCGTTCGGTAGCCAGTACGTACCGGATCCAGGACTCGTCGAGAGAAATCGGTCCTGTTGCGCATAATGTGCTGAATACAATGCTTGGGAGATGCTCTGCACCGGACGAGTATGAGGAAGCACAAGAGGGCTTTGTGCGAGGTCCCCACTTGCTGGGCTTATTGACGGTTCAGAAGGAACGGCTGGAGGTGTGGAGGTCGCGTGTGAAAGAGAGCAGGCCAATCGGCAAAAGAGGTGTCGGTGCAGCGACGGAGGAAGTATCGTGTGTTGATATCTCGATTCCCTACCACTGGGCATACCCTAGCCATCGTGATGCGATGAACGCGGTCTACTGTATCCTTTGCGAGATGATGTTCGAAGAAGCCCACGGGGCGTTCATGTCTGATGGGTCTCCCACCGACCGAAACTCAGATTCTTCTACAGCTAAGCTTGACGACTTGGCGCATGGCGCATGTCAAATTATAGGCACGCTGGACTTTACGACATCGAGCACGGCGGATGTTTACACATTCAGTCTGGCAGAGTGCCTTCTTCAATTTGTCTTTCTATGGCGATCCGATACCCTGTTCGACTACATCCTCACCATTGTATGGCCGGAACTTGAAAGAAAGACCAGAGGCTTCGAGCATTCGCACTATCCCACCCATCTCGCCAAGCGCATCATCTCGCAGATCTCGGGATACTGGTCCCAAGGACGGGCGGTGACGTTGGTTATGCCAGCAGTGCCCGAAGACATCTCGAAATTGAAGCTGCTGGACATCAATCAGCCAATCGATGTGGTGGTGTGCGGACATGATGCGGATGGCACGGCATGGATAGAGAAAACCCCGCTACGATGAACTGGAGAATTGAGGGTCATCAAAACCGACGGTCGATCAATCCGATCAATGCCAAGACCATGGCTCTAAACCCCATCGGGGCAAATTTTACGCCCGTATCAGCTTTACGGTGATACAGAGCCGTCAGACCCACCCCCAGCGGCATACGAGTTCGACCCAGGGAGTATCGCCGGCTATATATTCGACTTCACAGGCCACCGTTCAGCCCTCAGTAGACACCCGTCCCCCTTCACATCATTCCAAAACCGGCGACAACAAATCCAGTCATCATGGTTCGCGCTGTCTGGACCCAGCTTCTGTCCGATACCTCGATCAAGAGGTCATCGCAGACCTTCACCATCCTAGGCGACAACGCCTACATCTACGGCGGCGAGCTGCGGCCCCGCGAACCCGTCGATTCCGCTGTGTACTCCCTCCATCTGAACTCCAGTAAGCATGCTTTCAGTCTAGGCTCGAATCTCCAAAATGTACAGTTCAGAACCCAAGACTCACCCCAACCAGCATCACCCACCACCCCCACAGACCTAAGTCAAACCTCCACCTCCACCACTGCCCCGCAACCCAGAGTCGGCTCCGCTGCGACCGCCCTCGCCAACAAACTCTACATCTTCTCCGGCCGCGGCGGCACCGCCATGGCCCCGATCGAAGAGAACGGCTCCTTCTGGGTCTTCAACTCCATCGATAGCGTCTGGACGCAGCTCACCCCATCGGATCCGGACGCGCCCTTCCCGGTAGGCCGAAGCTACCACGCCCTGACGACCAACGGCACGGACACCCTCTACCTCCACGCAGGCTGTCCGGCCACCGGCCGCCTCCGCGACCTCTGGGCGTTTGATGTGGTCACCCGCCGCTGGCGCGAGTGCGCCCCGGCCCCCGGCCCGGCCCGCGGCGGGGCGTCGATCGCCTTCGCGGAGGGGAAGCTGTACCGGATGAATGGGTTCGACGGGACGAGCGAGCAGGGCGGGGCGGTGGACGTGTATGATCCCTTCGCGGATGCGTGGAGTACGATTGCGTATGTCGCGGATGGGGTGTCGGGCCCTAGTGCTAGGAGCGTGGGGTGTTTGCTTGCGATGCGGTTGCAGGGGCGGTCGACCTTAGTGACGATGTTCGGGGAGCATGATCCCAGTAGTTTGGGGCATCAGGGGGCCGGGAAAATGCTGGGAGATGTCTGGGTTTTTGATCTCGAGGTGGGTCGGTGGGTGCTGGCTGAGGTCGAGGGGGACCAGCCGGAGCCGAGGGGGTGGTTTGCTGCGGATATTCTGGAGGCGAGCACGTTGAGTGTTGTCGTGCATGGAGGGCTGGCGGAGTCGAATGAGCGGTTGGGAGATGTGTGGCGATTGGAGTTGGAGGGGTTGGCTTAGGATGACTCGCTTCTTCACGCGATGGTGATATTGGGGAAATATGTGTTTTGGAGGATGTCTGAGGCGGTTAGAGGGGTTGCGGCTTATATTATACACAGCTGACTGGGTACCAGTAGCGATGGAGGAACTTGAAAGAAGTCCAAGAGTTTCTGACAAGACCAATGAGTTGCATGGGTTCATCTTCAAGTTTGTTTGCTTACTGTGATAACAAGTAAGTAGGGTTGTTTTAGTATTGGCAAGGGGCACAAAGAAGCAAGAGGCAGAGGCCAGAAATCTCTGGGCGTGTTACATTCACCTGAGAACCTCCTGGCGCAGACCAGTCATTGTGCCTGAGGCCGTCAACTCTACCACATCACTTCAAGTTTCTTTGCCCACTTTCGCTTCTTCTTCTCTTACTTACTTTGCTCACCTACTTCTCCACTTTCTCTCCACTCTCTGTTCCTGTCTTTCGTTCACTGGAGAAGTTGCGTCTCTTGTCATCCATCTTCGTGTCAACAAAAGGCGAACGCATTATTCTGCACACCTCTCATAGTTTGACCTTGACTACTGAGGTTGACTAGAAACATTAACATCCACACCAAAGCCTCATTCCCCACACTCTGACGACGCGTCCAAGCCTCGAGTTCCCACCTTGCCGGCCCGGTCATCTTGCAGCACTGTCTGACCACCTCAATTTCGGTTCGAAGTCACTCCTCACCTCTCAAAATGTCCACCAATTCTGGAAGGTTCGAGGATGCCAAAGCAGGGGAGCTATGTGACTTGGAACTAGAGTGTGAAGGGGTAAAGCTTACCGTGCACAAGATCGTGGTCTGGAATAGATCTGAGGTGATCAAGACTTGCCTGCAAGAGCAATTTCAAGGTAAAGCCCGCCACTCCCACTGCTTCCAACGAGGTGTCATATCTAACACTGAAGAAGGAAAGTCGCACCAACGTTGTCCAGATCCCGGATTTCTCTCTGGCTACTGTGAAGCGAATGGTGGAGTACATGTACCTCGGTGACTATACTTTGGGTAACGAGCTTAAATGGGATCTCAGGTATGTGGTTCCCAATACAAGGACTCGCAGGTTTGTATCTTGGCAAATTCTAAATGAGATGCAAGAACTCGCGGGCTTAAGAGTTGATACGAGCTCGGATTTGGCCGCCGCTCTCGCATCGGACCATTCCCCGGACCTCATCTCCATTACCGAGTCGGCTAATGATCCTACCGATTCCACGCCACTCACAACTGCGGAGACACTGCGTCCTCATCTCGAGATGAGAATGATCGCCGGCTACTACCTTATCCCGGGCCGGGGGTTTTTTGCGCTGGAAATGTCCGGGCCTTCCTTTGGCGACGTACAACAGGAGCAAGAAGCTAAGCCATGAAGTGGAATCTCAAAAGTGATTGACCTAGAATGTACATGGGGATTAATGAGCAATGGATAGTGAAAACTACGATGCAGGACCATGTTGATCCACGAGGCGGCCTGCCCTCATTGGCTAGATGATTTACAACAGTCTGCGCCTTACCTGCATTCACAGCAACTTCGTTCCCGTGCCACAGGATGATAATGACAGGCTCTCCCCGTACCGTAGATATTGATCTCGAATAGTATCTGGAATGTGATCTTCGATTTAAAGAGCAAAGACTATCATAGTTGATAGTCTACATTTTCCTATTTCTTTTCTGCTGATATGGAAATACATCTCCGCCAAAAATAAAACTATCTATATTATGTTTAAGTGACAAATCCTATATAAACATCCTTCGTGTCTGTCGAGTGGCCATAAAGCCATCCATCCATCATTATTATCATCATGAAACATCATCCGCAAAGCCATGATCATAAAGTTTCATCCAGATCCTGTACTCTATCTCCCTCTCGCTCTGTACATTAAATCATTCATCAATTTGAGCCAGGGCCAAGACGTCCCCGGAATCGTGGAACCACGTTGGGGGTGGTAGTTGGGCCAGGCCAAAACTCTTATCTCTCTCGGTGTGAGATTTCAAACAGCCACCAGTTTGTAGCTTGCGAGTCCCGACGCGTCGTCCAGGCATTGGGGGGTGGTCACATTGTACGGGGTGGAAGTACAGGTGTCATCGTTGAAGATTTGCACTGACACACAAGAAAATGTCAGGGGATGTTTCTCAGCGGGGAGACTCATCCATGGGAGCGGGACTTACCACCATAGCCCGTGACACCGCCCTCGAAGCTGACGGACTGCACAGTCACGTCGCTCCAGGTCAGGCATTGGTTGAGGGCGTCGCCGTAGATGCCCAGTTCTCCTTCGTTCAGCTCCAAGCAGCCTGGAACGCCAAACAGGCGGAGCTGGACGATGCGGGTGTTGTTGAAATCGGCGCGCCTGGTGGGGAACGCCAGGACCGTGGAGATGGTCGCTGCGAGGAGGGTCGACAAGACGAGAAAGAATTGCATGGTGATGTTCAAAGGTGGGTGGAAAGATGTGGTTGGTGTAAGGAGGAGTAGATAAGTAGGGGTAAATTGTTTAGTTTTGATAGTGGATGTTGATGCTGTGTGAAGATGGAAATGGCAGTGGGCAGGCGAGAAACGGACCCTCTTTTATAAGTAAGTGAACACAGTACATCCCCCGCAAAGTAAAAAAAAAAACAACCACCCGGGAATGGATGGATCTGGCCTGCTGATGATCCCTTCTTGGCGCGGCAATTACTTGGCGATCGAGTGGCTGCGCCTTGACGATCCCTGCCCGATGCCGTCCCGTCAGCCCACCATTATGCGGCCTTTTCCAACCTCACCGTCTTTTCCCTCTGTTGCAACAAGTTGCTGGCTGCTTCTCTTCTTGCTGTTGCTTCTACGGAGGGTCATCGTTCAGCAACCTGGTTCAGTTTGTCAAGCGTGGGGGCTGGAAGCTGAGGCTGGGCGCAATCGACGCCGCAGCGACGGCTCACTGCATGCATGCATGTCTTACACCCCGCCACCCCATCATGGTCACGCTATGTTCATAACCCCATTGTATGGACATGGGGTGCGTCTCTTGGGTGAGCCGGATGTCAGAGCACCGAAGAGGATTGTCACCAGATCCACCAGATGCGACCGAAGAAAAGCAGTCATTGCTGCCAGAGCAGCCATGACTGCAGCGGAGACACCGGATGCTGATGCACCTCCGAGACCCGTCATCATCAGAGACCTAGAATGGAAGTCCTAGGTTCTAAGAATAGACCCCGCTGCAGAGGATAGATAATAATAGGAAAACCGGTGGCAGGGCTGATGGAGCACGATGCAGATCCATCTGGATCCGGTGATCGGACATGACATCAAGGAAACGTATCGATGCTGCAGAGTCATCTGTGCGACCGACTAATTGTCCGCACCTCCACGCCTCGTTCTGGAATAGGAGTTGCCGTTGTCGTGGAGGGTGAGGGTACGCTACGTGCCAGTATCACTTCCAACCACACTGTCTCACTCGTCTCTACCAACACTCACCATTTCACTTCGTTGGTTGTGTGGCAGTCGCGACTACATATGAGACAATGTTTTTGAAATGTAAGATGAAAGCTGCGGTGGCACCAATTACTCGACTGCAGAGATATCCTGATTACGTTGAGACTGCGATCAGTTGAGATGTGATTTGGCATCACTCTAGAGTGTTGATGACAATATTCCCTCACAGTTCAGCTAATAATAACATAGTCCCACTACACCTCGTCATGTCAGCTATTCCTGTCTAGTTATCACATCCTCCCTCCGTCATGAATGCAATGCAGCTTTCACGTGACCTGCAGTAAGGTCGATAAACTCTTTCGCCTGCCAAAGATCTATACTCCGAGTAAGCGCAAGACTCGCTGACACGACAAACCACACGCGTCCAGGACTCACCTTGATCCATGTGCATGAACGGGTGAGGCACCCCCGCGAACCGCCGCATCGTGACCTCGCAGCCCCCTTCGATCAATTTCCGCGCATACGCCTCGCCTTCGTCGCGCAGGGGATCGCAGCCGGCGGTATAGAGCACCGTGCGCGGCAAGTTCGTAAAGTCCGGCGCATTCAACGCATTGGCATACCACTTGACCTCTTCCTCCTCTTTCGGGTCCTTCTTTTGCCTGTCGCTCCCCTCGCGGCCGAGGCTGCTCCATTTCAACCGATCAAACCATTTCAGCCGTGCCCAATTGAGAGTCGGAGCGAACTCCATCTCGCGCATCGAGGCGAACGGGGACTCCGCCGCGGTAGCATATTTGGAAATGTCGTCGATGACGGGGGTTCCCACCGCGACCAGACGGATGGGAATCTGGTGGTCGCGAGCGAGGTGCGCCAGGATCAGCGCGATGTTGGCACCCGCGGACACGCCGCCCAGGGAGATCCGTGTCGTGTCCAGGTTGCGGAACTTTTGATTGACCGCTGCGGGGTTGGAGGTCAAGTACTGGAGGGCAGCAAATGAATCTTGGATCCCAATGGGAAACGCGTTCTCCGGGACCAAGCGGTAGGCGATGTCGACGACGGCCACCCGCGCTTTGACGGCGATGTGCTTGCAGATGTGGGACTCGGTTTCGAGGTCTCCCAGGCCCCAGCCTGTTTCATTGTTCATCAGTATGCGGTGTGGAGATGATTTTGGGTGATAATCATCGGGAAGTCGGAGAGCAGGGGGTACATACCCCCACCGTGAAAGTCGAGATGTACCGGCCAAGGCCCCGGACAGTCAGGCTCGTACACGCGACAGGGGATCAGATCACCATTGTGACCCGGAATGGTGGTGTCGTATATCTGGGCGGGCTCAGGCGCTGGACCTGTCCCGTAAGAGTAGAGAACTGAGTATTTGGAGCGTAGGACGGCGAGATCGATCGGTCCATTGGGGGTGTTGGCAACGTGCTTATTGTACAGGTCGATGAAGACTGGGTCCAGGTATGGGAGGACAGTCGGGTGAATGGGGTTCAAAGCTTCATGAGACATGACTAGTCGGAGTGTTTCGTCCGGTCTATCTCAATTCACAAGCGTGACCCAGCTATTATAATGGAAACCGGATATAGTGGTTTAATAGTAGGTGGTGGGTGGTTCTGATAGTGACTCGTATCGGCACCACTCGGCAGTTGATATGCAGTGAATCTGTCACCCCCGCACCTGCAGCTTATCTATGCGACGGTCGGAAGGGCAGATAGCCGACCATACCCTAAGATGATACGAAGACTATACGGAGTACTTAAGCGAAGTGCTACGACAATTTCGCTGTTGGCGGGGAGGTCTGCTAGGCTTCTTTGATTTCCAGGAGCTCACAATCTCATTACATACGAATGGAGCCGGTTCTCATTGTTGGAGCTGGTATCGTCGGCCTAACCCTAGGCCAGGCCTTGCACAAGGTACGATCGTGATGTGTGCACCATGAATCAACGCACCGATCCATTCGGGCTGATTCTGTTTCTATAGCTGAGCATACCTTTCCGCATTTTCGAGCGCGACGCAACGCCAGCTGCCCGCGGTCAAGGCTGGGCCATCACTTTACACTGGGCGCTGGAGTATATCCATCACATCCTCCCCGAGGAGACCCTGCGAGCCATCGAGGCCGTGCAAGTCGACCCCGAAGTCGCCAAACATGACAACGGCAACTTCCTTTTCATCAACCTTGCCACCGGCGAACCCAGGTTCAAAATCCCGCCTAGCATCCGCTGGCGCGTCAATCGCGAGAAGATGCGCCAGGCGCTGCTCCGCGGCATCGAAGAGCACGTGCAATGGAAGTCGCACGCGGTGAGCGTGGAAGTCGACAACAGACCCAACCCTTCCCCTTCTCTTGTGCTCGCAGACGGCACTCGGGTGCGAGGAAAGATAGTCATCGGGGCGGAGGGAAGTCGGTCGATGGTGCGGCGAGTGCTGCGGCCAGATGCGCACAGCAACCGGATCCTACCGATTCGCTTCACGGGTGTAGCGGTCGATCTCTCCCCCGAGGAGATCCGCCCGCTGCGAGCACTGGATCCGTTACTCTTCCAGGGCTGCCATCCCCGCTCGGGGGCGTTCTTCTGGTTCTCGTTGCTCGAGACCCCCTGGACCAATGGAACGGCAGGGTCTTCTGACGAGCATTATCGGGCGCAGATTTGCATGTCGTGGCCGGTTAAGGGGGCAGATGACGAAGTTGGTGCCACGGATGCTGCGCGTTTGGCGAATATGAAGCGACGCGCGGTCGGTTTCGTCTCCTGTCTGCGCTCGGTCGTGGAGGGTATTCCGGAGACCACCCCCGTGTCGGAGATCAAATTGGCGGACTGGGAGTGTTTGGAGTGGGACAACCATCGCGGCCAGATCACTCTCGCCGGGGATGCTGCTCATGCGATGACGATGTGTAAGTTTGCTAGAGGGAAATGATGATGATGATGATGATTAGTACTGCTGCTGACAAGATGCAGACCGGGGAGAAGCAGCGAATCATGGGCTACTCGATGCATTAAGGCTTGTGCAAGCCCTCCAGTTGGTCTATACGGGCGGCAGAGGGCTCAAGGAGGCAATCGAGGAGTATGAGGCAGAGATGCGATTACGCACCAGACGTGCGGTGCTGCTGAGTCGACAAGCCTGTTTCGAAGCCCACGCGTGGGATCAGCTTCATGAACACTCGGCCATTTTGACTAAGAGAGCGATCACTGCAGAAACGGGGCTTGAGACCAATATGCAAATAAGTCGAATCTAGCAAAGTCATATCCATAGGGTGTTCTCAACTAGGTTCTCAGGGCCCAACTTAGGGCTTCAGTACTCTGTCGGGAGAGGGGATCGAGCCAATGTACCATTTTCAGATTATTTGCTACAATAGGCTTCTCAATTGGGTGCAGGCCTATGAATAATGGAACGTCTTAGGTGGACTAGATTCCCTTTTGGACTAGGAAGTACTAGAATATAACATCATACACCATATCCAGGGTTTCTGTCTAGATCATCCTTGTCTGGCTATCTGTCCTCTGATCATATAACCGAGGCACCAGCACGATGCATGCCCCCCGCACGCCGATCACCCAGTGCCAGTTAGTGCGAGTTTTCATTCGCAATCTTATCGATGCTCATGTACCCCGCAAAATCTACGCTCGTGCCCTCTCCATCGCGATAGTGATCCAATCGCCGGTTGTCTGGGCTTATCAGACCCCCTCTCCGTCGGCTTTGGGAGCTGATAACCACCTGGTATTTCCCCTTTCTTCCTACTCTCCCGTCGCTTGAGTTCGTCGATTGAGTACACCATAATCCATTGCCACTATGGTATCCTCTACCTCCGTCTGCGCTCGATGTGCAGTCATCGTAAGTGCTGTGGGTTGGGTCGTGAGATGGCGCAGGCTGATAAGCGACAGAAACAGCGCTGTGATGGCCAGTCACCTTGCTCTCGTTGTTCCCGTATGGCGGTGTTCCTGGCGAATATGCAGCATGCTGACCCCTAAGGCTTGGGACATATCTGTGAGCCCCAGCAACCAGGACGACCTGCAGCAGAAGCCCAATCGCTGGCTCGCCGCAGACCCAGGGCCTCGAGATCACGGGGCGGGTGTCTCTCCTGCAAGGCCCGGTACTGATCCATCACAATCCGACCAGATAGGACAATCACTAACAGTTTGCAGCAAGAAAAAGTGCGACGAGATCCGGCCCCGATGTAGTGACTGCCGTCGTCTAAGCATACAATGTGAATGGAATCCCCCAGCGGGGTCTGCTGCCAGCCGCACGATTGCTCCACCACCGTCGCCTACACAATCATCATCGGAACCCGCCGATAGCCTCACTCTGGAGTTTGTTGTCTCGGACTGTCTTCCGCAGCCCGATCCGAGTTTTTCTTCCGAATCCTTTCTGGCAACTCTCTTTGATGATCCGACGCTTGCCATCGCCTCTCCATCCCTGCTTGACGCTGACTGGCTCCCTGGACCGGTGAAGCCACCCGCCGGTTATCTCAATCCACACCTTCACCACGACGAGGATCGGTCGCTTTTCAATCACTTTGTGCATGTCGTGGCACGAGCCTTGTCGCGTTCGACCGCTGGTCGCGAGCGGAACCCATTCCTCGCCATCCTGCTGCCAATGGCTGCTGCGTCAGAAACTATGACCAGTGTGGTCCTAGGACTGAGCGGCTGCCACTGGCGACGCGTCTATCCCGGAATCTGGCGTAGGGCATTGGCGCATCAGGGCAAAGGTAAGTTATAGTAGGATTAACCTGGGTGATTGTCCCACATCAACCCAAAATAGGCACAGAAACATGCTGATTTCCCTTCCCTCCTCCGAGTATAGCCTTGACCCAAGTGAGTGGTCGCATGGCCCAGCAGCGCGGCCGCCCATTCTCGCTCGAGACGTGTGCCACCATCCTCCTCCTCTGTCTGGCCGAGTTACTGGACGGCACCTCGCGCGCCTGGACATGGCATCTCAAAGCAGCGTCCAGCCTCGTGACGTCTGAGTCCATGTCCCTGCTACAGTCGACCCCGGAAGGGTCATTCTGCATGCACCTTTTCCACTACCTGGATGCCATGTCGACCGTCTCGCGCTGCCGACCGTCACTGTTGCGTGCCGGAGAGCGCCTGGCAGATGTGACGGGGGCGCATCCCCGTTCCCTCTCGCAGTCCCTCCGCGGGGGCGCTTTCTCCACTGACTCCGTGTCCGGCATCCCCGGTCCTCTGCTCGAACATCTCGGCCGCATTAATCTGCTTGCTGCTCATCGCAGTCACCGTGTCGACGAACTCTCGGAGATAGGATTCCAGACTGCGGCCGCGCACGTGCGCTCGCAGCTGGACGCCTGGCGTGTGCAGGATGACACCTACAGCGACGTGACACTCGATCCAGGCCCCGGTACAAGCAGCCCAGACGCAGACCGCGCCGTCACCGCGTTCGAGTGGGCGGTCCGCCTCCGATTGCATCAGATCGTCAACGGATACAGTCCGTACCACGCAGCGGTCGAGGAGGCTCTCTCCCACATCCTGCCGGCGGTGATGGCGGTCCCCTATGGCAGTCCGGTGGAAGGAACCCTGCTCTTCCCGTTGGTCATGGCCGGGGCGTGTAGTCTAGATCTGGAGCGACGCATGGTGGTTAAGGAGCGTCTGATGGTGATGGAGAGTACGCTGGGGTTTGGGCATATTCCGCAGGCGAGGCAGCTGCTGGAGACGGTCTGGGCTGGGGAAGGGGATGAGGATTGGAATTGGGCGCGGGTTCGCTATAATTTGTTTCCCGGGATGGTGTTTGTGTAGATCATCTTATTATCACTACTTGTTATCGAGAGCTTCGTTGTTCGTCATTCCCTCGCAAGCCTTCCTCGCGTAACTCACTACACAGGGTGTCTCCTTCCAAACTACAAGGAACAAATCCAATCCAATCCATACAAAGCCCTGACCCCTTACACCTATTGTCTCAAGCGAGCAAGATCCTCCCGCATATTATACCCACAAACCTCTTCAATCGTCAACTTCCCATTCCGCTCCACAGCCCCGGAACTGCTCCTCCCACTACTCCACCCAATCCGCTCATTCAAATCCTCTCTCGCGCGGAAACTCGCCTCCTGCACGCGCGTCGCCCGGGGCTTCCGGAGTCGCTCATACAACCTCAACCCCTCTGCCACGCTATACTCCTCCGCAAAGGCGCGGTGGAAGATCAGTCCCAGCGCCCCCGCATCCTCAAACGCCATGCACGAGCCCTGCGACTGGTCAGGCATCATCGGGTGGGCGGCGTCACCCAGGAGGCAGACTTTCCCGCGGGTCCAATAGGGGTAGGGTTCGTGTTTATACACTTTTAGCAGTTAGCACAGCCCCCATAATACCCTTCTCCCAAGTCCACATAGCAATAGCAAACCCCCGCGCTTTCTATGAAAGCTTTGCTGGGGCTGCAGGGGAGCTGAGCAGCTGGGGGAAAAAAAGCCACCTACACCGCCACATCTTAATATCCTCCGCATGGCGCATCAACAACCTCATCCGCGCATCCAGCCGCGGGAAGGTTGCGAGGAGCTGCGCCGGTGATGCTTCAATATTCCACCCGTCCTCGCGCAGGTCGTTGTACTCGGCCGGGTAGAAGCAGTAGCAGCTCACCACCTCGCCGTTGCTGCACGGGGAGAGCACGATCTTGTCGATCCCGAAACCGCCCCAGTACTCGATCGCTTCATTGGAGATGAAGTCTTCCAGTCCTAGGCTGCGGAGCTTGTCGGCGTGGATGATGCAGCGGTAGCAGCAGGAGGTGGAGGGGGTGAAGGTCGGGGTTATGCCGATCTGGGGGCGGGATTGGGACTGCAGGATTTTTCCGTCAGAATTGATCGTCTTGGTGTTTCTGAGAGGGTGGAAGATCAAGCCTATGAAACACTGGGAGGGGGCGTACACGGATGCCATCGGCGGCGATTATCAGGTCCGCGGTGGTCGATTCCCCGTTGTCGAAGGTGATGGTCCCGGCCTCTGCGTCGAGAGAGACAGCCCGGTGGTTGACTTTGAGGGTGCAAGGGAGGCCAGCGCCGGGCCCTTCGAATGCGGATTTGAGGAGTTGTTGGTGGATGTCGATGCGGTGGAAGTTGTTGTACTCCTGGAGATAGTAAATTAGTTAAGTACTTTGGAAATCACCAAGGGCACAGCGAGCGACCGTCGAATCCTCACCGTTCCAAATTTGGCCTTGTAGTCACCCAGACCATACTCATGCTTGACCTCGCCGGTCTCCCAGTCGTGCATAATCAGCTTCTTCAGAATAACCTGCGAGTTGTGAGTTTTGTGGCATGGCACGATTTGTTGGCTTCGCCGGAACGCACCGGTTTCGCCGCTGGCACGTCCACCCCCCATTCCTCCAGGAAGCGCGACCCATTCGATGCGGCGCTCAGCGACGCCCCAACTTCGCCGGCGAAGTCATACCGTTCGTACACGGTGATCCGATGGCCTTGACGCCGCAGAGCGACGGCCGCGCTGAGGCCACCGAGTCCGGCGCCGATGATGGCAATGTCCAGAGGGGAGTCTGTGCGTGCAGGCATACTAGTATGATGTGTTCTTCAATGATGATGATAATTCAAAAAGTGAAGACAAGGAGAGGGGACTCCCTTTCATCCTTAAAAACATCCTTCAATATATGATGCGCCACAGGATCAGCCCTGAGTTCTATCGCAAGCAGCCGACGGGGTGGAACTGCGGTCGTCGGATCGTATCGTATCTAAGCGACGGCTGCATAAGTTACCTTAGTTACTAGGACTAAGGTACTATACACTCCCCTCCCGTCTTATCGCCGCCCCCGAATCACTGCGACATACAGTAGATCAATACGCTGCACATCGCATCCCTGCTTTTAAAAGCTCGCATCATCATCCCATCAGATGAATCGGCTATCCTGCCGCCCAAACCACTCAGCATGAGCGACACGAACGAGACGAAAGCGGAAAAGGAAAAGTTGGCCGCCGTCGACTACGGGCTTGGGCAGCTTCAGGATGATTCCGCGTTGATGCGGCGGGTGGACTGGCGCATCTTGCCTATCATGTTCTTGTCTTACTTTTTGCAGTTTCTGGATAAGGTGGCATTGAATGTAAGTGACATTGCTAATTAAGGGTCGAGTGCAATGCTAACGGCACATTCGTTAGTATGCCAATGTGATGGGAATGCAAGAGGATCTGGGGATGAAAGGCAATGACTTTTCGTGGCTGGCCACCGCCTTCTTCATCGCTTATGCGGTGGCTGAGATTCCTCAGGGTATGACAAAAGAGAGAAAGATAACAGAGGAAGGAAAGAAGGTTGGATCAGTTGCAATGCTAACCAAAGCAGGGATTCTACTGCAACGATACCCTGTTACCAAAGTCCTCGGGGCCAATATCTTCTGTTGGGGGATTCTCCTCTGCTGCTCTGCGGCTGCAAAGAACTTCGCGGGCATGATCTCCCTGCGCATCATCTTAGGCGCCCTGGAGGCTGTCATTGGTTTGCACCTCTCTTCCGTCTCTTCTCCTATCCTGAGTGTGTGCCAGCTAATCGCATGCAGCCCCTGCCCTGACGATCTATACCAGCATGTGGTATACTCGCGCCGAATCCGTCCCTCGCTACGGCCTCTGGTACTGTGGCCTGGGCACCGGCCAGATCGTCGGAGGCTTGATCTCGTTTCTAGTCCAGCAATATGCTCCGACCTCACCCCACTCCTTCCACGGCTGGCGGATCATGTTCATCGTGATCGGAGCAGTGAACATCCTCGTGTCACTCTTAGTCGTCGTCGTTCTTCCTCCCACTCCACGCAAAGCCCCATTTCTTCGCGAGTTCGACAAGGAGCGTATTGAGCAGCGGCTGCAGCAAGATCACGTCGGACGAGCTGCGAGGGAAGAGGGCTACCGAACGTCTGTACTGGAGGTAGCCATGGACCTTCAGACGTGGCTGTTGGTCCTGCTGACCATCCTGATCACGATCCCCAGCGGCGTCATCACGACCTTTTCGGCGATTCTGATCAAGGGGTTCGGCTATGGAACCAAGGAGAGCGCGCTGCTGAACATGCCGTGCGGAGCGGTCAGTATCCTTGCGACCATCGGCTCGGCCATGGCGATTGTCAAGGGGGTTCCCCGCTGGGTGGCGATCAATTTGCTGCTGCTGCCCACCTTGCTGGGAGCCTGCCTGATGTCGTTCTTGCCCGCATCCAATCAGCCTGGCTGCCTGGTGGGGATTTATCTCGTGAACACGGTGTGTCTGTCCAAGCTGAATATAGCTGCTGCATTGGGATCCTGACTGGAATAGACGGTGGCCCCGCTGGCGTTGATCTTTGCATGGACGGGCGCAAACTACAAAGGACACACAAGGAAGGTGAGCATGATTCATGTCTCACTCAGCGTCATCATATGCTGAGGCAGTATAAACAGGTCGCCGGAAGTACACTGATCTCGGCCGCATTCAGCATCGCTAACATCATTGGACCACAGACGTTCCAGTCGCGCAATGCGCCGGGGTGGGTTTTCTCTTCTGATTCTGCTCGTGTTCCCTACCCGCTTGGACGGTCCATAACTCATTGCTCTTCCAGATATCTTCCCGCCAAGATTACCATCGTAGCTGTGAACGCAGGGGCCATTCTGATTTCTACCTCGCTGCGAGTGGTATATGGGCGACGGAACGCCCGGGCCAACCGAATGGGTCGAGCGGCAGGCAGCGGGAGGGAGCGACGGCAGGAGGAAGATGGGGGAGAGTTGGACTTTCGTTACGTGTATTGACTTAGTCGAAGATCTTACACTTGCAGTCGAACCGCACGTCGTAAACCACCACAGCGGAGGGAGGGTGGCGAGGCTGAGATCTATCTATGCGACGGCTCCACATCACCTCCGCAACCCGGGTTATCGTCAAGGCTTGACAAGACTAAGAAGAAACTACTAGTATACGGTATATCAAGTAGCCCTCACATCCAACTCTCAGAGCTCAAAATAAACATCCAGCAATAAACTGCTTTAGACGATAGACCTCGACCAAGAAACGATGCTCATCCTCCTCACCGGCGCCAACGGCTTCATCGCCGCCCACTGCATCTTCGCCCTCGTGCACGCCGGCCACACCGTGCGCGGAACCGTCCGCACTCCCCAAAAGGCGACCGCCACGCGCGCCGCCCTCCAAGCAGCAGGCCTTCCGCAGCACCAGCTCGACCACAACCTGGAGATTGTGATCGTGCCCGACCTGACCAACCCCACCCACTTCACCCCCGCTATCATGGCCGGCTGTGAGGCAGTCCTCCATCTCGCCTCGGCATTCACCTACGAGGCGCAACCCGGCCAGTTCGAGGAGAAGCTCCTCCGGCCCGCGGTCCAGGGCACAACAGTCCTCTGCGAGGCGGCGCATCAGACCAAAACAGTGCGGCGGGTGGTGATTGTCTCCTCGTTTGCGGCCGTGTATGACGCAGCGAAGGGGCCGCAACCAGGGAAGGTGTATACGGATGCGGATTGGAGTCCCTTGGGGTTTGAGGAGGGGAGGGATACGAGGGATGTGGTATGTTTCTTTCCTCTCTTCACGTCATGGGTTCAGAGGCTGGGCGGGTTATCTGGTCTGATGCTAAGCACTCCTGTCTGGGTGGGTGTGTGTGTAGGCAGTCGCATATCGAGCCTCGAAAGTGCTGGCTGAAAAGGCCGCTTGGGAGTTTGTGGCCATCCATTCGGCGGACTTCCAGCTTGTCACTCTCTGTCCGGGCATGGTCTTTGGGAGGATGATCCACCCGATTGAGTCTCTGGACGAGTTAAATGCGAGCAACAGGATTGTGTGGGGAGTGGTGAAGGGGGGGACGGAGATTCCTCCTACGAAGGCGCCTGGTGAGTCATTTCATGCGAGGAGTTGCTCATGACGTGCATAGGCTTGAGACTTCCTACTACCGCTGCGAATTGCTGAAGGGCTAATTTGGTCAATCCATCCCATAGTTTGGGTGGACGTTGAAGATCTCGCCGATGCGTGCCTCCGCGCCTTGACACTGGATTCGCCCTGTTTGGCAACACATCAGCGGTTCCTGGTCACCCAAGGAGCGTATGACACGCAGGAAATCGCGGATATTGTGCGAGAACTCGTTCCACAATCGAGATCACGCATCGCGATCGGTACACCCGGCAAGAGGATCCGCGATTCGCATTATGGTTGTGACGCGAGGAAGATCCAGCAGGTGCTGGGGGTGCGGTTCAGGGGGTTGCGGGAGTCAATTATACCCTTGGTCGAGCAGTTATATGCGATGGAGAAAGATTGCTGATTTGATTTCCTGGCCTTGTCTTGTCTATTGCTCTATGAATCACATTCGGTATGCTTCGGACTTCGTGAAGACATACGTGGTAGCCCAATAACACCTGCTATGGCAGTTCCTTTCGCTTGTCTTAAGCCAACTGCAAATCTCCCATCGTACGTTTCAAAATTCAGCAATCATCTGCATTGTATGCTGTGTTGTACCCGTCCATACGAGGATGAGTCCCCCATACTTGATTACGACAACTTTTCAAGACCAGGGCAAACAAACACTGGAGTGGACCTTCGCACCACACCGGTCTACATTATCACCTCAACACAGAGCTTGTGATATGATGTATGCTGATCCCTGCAAGAGTCGGTGTCACTTTGATGCTATACATTCTGTTATTCAGACCAAATGAACCTTTCACGCGGTAGTGGAGAACTTCACCACCAACTCCCGCAGCTCTTCCTCTGTCAACCTCTTCAGCCCCAGCAACTCATTAGCGAGATTCTGCTCTTCAAATAAACTCCCAAACCCCTCCCCAAACAGTGCCCGACGGATCAAGTTGACCGCCACAATCCCCCGATTCGGTTCCGGCTTGCTCAACTCCGCCCGCCCAATCCGCTCCAGCTCCTCCGTGGCAACCACCTTCGTCTCCAACTTCTTCCCCGACAGCTCAATCAGCTGCTTCTGCGTGACATCCGCCTCACTGATATACAGCGCCGCATTCTTCGTCGCCTCCAGATTCCTCACAATTCCAACCACCGCCCTCCCGATCCCCTGCAAAGTTGTGCTACTCACCCTCCGATCCCCGCCACCATACAACTCCGCCACCGGCCCCGCGAGATTCACCAGAAACCCCGTGCGGAGGCCAAAGTCCAGGAACGGCCCCGTGAACAGCAGACTGTAGCTAAGGGGCGAGCTCTGCGCCACCTGCTCGAGGTACTGGCGGGAGGCCACCTTGTTGGCAAAAACAGGGAGCTCGGCGGAGCGCGGGTTGAGAGTGTCGGTCCCGAACTCCGAGGGGATGAAGCGCGTGACCCCGGCGGCGATGGCGGCGTCGATCAACCGGATGGTGGACTCGCTGGGGACGATAGCGCGCGCGTCCACCACCACGTCCTGGCCCTGCAGTGCGGACTGCAGCGATTCGGGCGAGTCGTAGTCGACGGCGCTGACTTTGACTCGCTCGTCGAAGGTCTTGTTGCTGTCCTGGCGGGTGAGAGCGGTGACTTCCAGGCCGGCGGCCAGGAGCTCCTGGACGATGCTGGGGCCGAGGTTGCCGCTTGCCTGGTTGGTGGCTGGAGTTAGTTTCACGGTTTGATTTAGAGGACGTGTCATGGACGTACGCCGGCGATGGCTACTTTGGGGGAGGCCATAATGCGTTCTGGACGGGATACTGATGGAGCTGTGATGGTTGAAGGTGCTGGTAAGGCATGTGCTGTTGGTGAGGGGTTGGTACTGGTTTATGTATGCCCGTGTGGGTGCATACAAGGGTATCACGACAGATGGCGTTACCCCGCATCTGATGGCGTGATGATTTGACAAGCTGCGGGCTTCGTAAGCAGTCCCCTTCAAAAGGTGCAATGACCGTAAACAACAATGTTGCCATCTGAAGATGTAAGCAGTTGATGGAATTAGCAATGCTGAGGATCTCCAGCGGTACCGTTCCGCAGTGTATTAACCTACGGTAGCCTTGCTGCTAGAGACGGGCGGATATACTACCACCTTGACGAATCTTACGACCCGTCGAGGATTGCTCCGATGTTCAAGACAGACCGCAGTAGATCCTAGTGCCAGTCGATGTGATATAATGTCGATATCATTGCAAGCTTTCTCACATGCATGCGAGTTGCTAACAGGGTGAGTATGCATAATAGCACTTGATGCGATCAATGAGGCGACCCTTGTGGCGTATGTGGCTAGAGAGCCATGGTGCTAAAATTAGGTGTGGCGGTGCCGCCAGATCACCCCTTGCCAAGCGATCGGGATGGAGCCAAAGGTCTCGATGAATGAGCAATAGTCTGCCCCCTGACACCAATGACAGACAACCATGACTCAAAAGTCTCCACTTCATTTCCCGCCGATCCTCGCGCGATCGTCCTGGCGGTGATCATCGCAAGGCCTTCTAGAAGATGATCCCATCGGACTCATTTACGCTATACCTGCAGCAACTACCACCTTCACAGCCACGTACCGTGAATGTGAGTGGCGGCAGCAGTCATGATCAAGTGGAACGACAATAGACTCTGTAACGTCGTGCTGCAGCTTATTCTCCCCCGCAGTTGCCCATCTGCTCTGCTATGCAGCCTGGTGGAAGCGAGGCGATGGACTACCCCTTAGCCCCACTTGATTGGCATCGTACAGCCACTGATGAGGCAACCATGCCACTTCGCATCTTGGCCGACGTCCCACCTGGGGCTGGGCTTAGTGGGCGGTGATGAAGGAAAGAGCTACCAGCTGCACACATATAAACAACAACCCCACCTCCACCCACTTCCTCTCTCTCCCCTTTTCCCAAAACACTCTCCCCATCCTCACCAAGTCTTCGTCCACTCTCATCAATCCTACCCACCATGTCTTTCCACAACTCCTGCCGGGACATCCACCTCGCCTTCGAAAATGATAGCACCATGCTCTGCTGTGTCGCCCGTGACTGTCAGGGCGCGATCCACCACCGCAAGATCTGTCTCGACGTGCACATCGGCAACACCGACGGTAAATTCCTTTCCTTTGAGCCTGCCAGGGGAACTACTCGCTAATGAAGGGTATCCTCACCGGTCAGGCTGGTTCATCTGGGGCGGCGAGAACTTCACCGAGTCGGCCCACGATATTCGTCTCGAGCACACCGACCGCGGCCCCAAGCTGACCGCCCAGCTGCGCATGGCCAACGGTGGCTACCGCGAACGTCAGGGCATCTTCCTGGCGGACAAGATCGCCAACGAGGATGGACACTTGAGATTCTTGGTGAGTTTTGATGTGCCGTCTCGATCGCTGCCGTCAATGTAACCGAACACTAATAATGAATATTCCTTGTGACAGGGCCCTTGAGCTGTGCACACCATTTGAACACGATCGGATATTTGCATAGGGATATGGTTTTTTCGTTTAATTGCATGGGGACTGTCTGAGCTGAGCGCATAGCCGTGGAACCAATTCATTTAAATCTCTTCAAGCTCAACGATTGGTCTTACTCTGGTAGTACCAGGCCACGCTCATGGTTGTGATCCACTGGTCCTGTAGTATCAATAACACACTTTCTGCTTGAAAGAGAAACCTTTCTCAGCTTCTGCCATGCATGGTTCTACCTGCCAGTAGCTCTTACAACGATGGATGCCGGAGAGAAACCATCCCCACGTTGCATTGAGGGTTGCTTCCCCCTCAGCGTTCCCAACGACACAGATCAGTCCAGTCCCCCGACCAAACGGCTGTATTCTCCCGTCCCCATCCACCCTCCCAAGCATGAACGGATGAAGTCTCTACGAGCGACGGAGACATCGCTCACCCGGCAACATACGGATTTCTACGCAGTAGGCAGGCCTCTTATCAAAGGAATATGTATTTCAATCAGAAGCAAAAGAAGAAGAAGAAGAAGAAGAAGAAGCGAAAGCACCTCGACAAGACAACCCCCCGAACCAGCAGCTAGCCTCGCAATATCCTCCAAGCAGAATAAACACTCCAATGACCGCAACAAGAAACACATTCCCACATACCCCCACACCGCTGAATCCAACATCCATCCCCCCACTCACTCACTCACTCATCCATAGAACCTAAATCTACTGACCACCGGGACCCCCCGAACTCTGCCCCCCCGGCGCACTCCCACTCCCAGAACTACCGCTACCACCACCGGAACCACCACCGGAAGACTCATTCTCAAACCCGCCATCAGCAGTATAATAAGCGGCCGGAGTAATACTGCTCGACTCATCGGAGTCAATCGCCAAGGAGATCCAGCCGAACACGCCATCACTGATCGAGTCGCCGAGCAGCACGTACTCGACAAACGGGTCGATGGTGTCCGCCTCCTCGGACAGGATCGAGTCGTTGGCGTTGGTGGTCAGCTCCTGGGTGTTGGTGCTGTAGGGGCTGGTGGCCTCGACCTCGGAGATCAGGTCCTGGTCAAAGAAGAGCTGGCCGACGTGGTTGGCGGTGGTGCTGTCGAGGCCGGTGAGGGTGTCGTTGCTGTTGGTGCTGGTGGCGTTGGGGTTGTGGCTTAGGACTAGGGTCTCGTTAGTTTTGCCTTGGGAGGGTTTTTTTGGCCGGGGCGGGTGGGGGGGGTTGGGGGGGGCGCCCGCACGCACCGTGGATGTGAGTCGCACGACTGGTGTAGTGGCCTGGGAAGATAGTCTCGAACTGCACCACGCCCGAGTCGTCGGTTTGCTGGATACCACGCAGGAAGGTCGCGTCGAGGTTGGCGGCATCGTTGGAGTTGCCGTTGCCGCTGGCTTGGATGCCGGAGTAGACGCCCTGTTTGCGTCGGTTAGTGTCTGGACGGTTGAGTGGAGCCCAGGGACGGGGGCTTACCGTCGCGTTGCAGTGCCAGAAGTCAATGTAGATATCCGGGACGGGGTCGCAGGTGGTGCTGTCCACCAGCTGGATGTCTAGGTACAACGGGACGCCCTCCTGGGAGTCGGTGATGTCGCTACGGATCAATTCACCGGTCACGTCTGTGTCTGGTTAGTCTGACAGCGTCACAGTCGAGAAAACAGGGGACAAACAATAAGGACCCTGGGTGACATCCGGGCCGAGAACGCAGCTGGCGTTGGAGGCAAACAGGGTATCGTAATCCTGGGTGTTCTCGTTCACGTCCAGCGAGGAGAGGTGGGAGGTGTTAAGGATGGTGGTCAGGTCGCGGGTCTTGAGCAGAGGAGCGCCTGCAATGACTGTCAGCATGCTTGCCTTACTTTTGCCTCGGGTGACTATCATGCGTACGGGTGGACAGCCCCTTGCGACGACGCAGAGAGTCCAACGTCGCCTGGCGACGGGCGATGTTGCTGCTCTCATGGCCCCGGGCCTTGAGCTTGCTGGCACACTGGCTCAAACCGCGAGCGTGCATGGGGGCACGCTTCAAGAAAGCCGCTCGCTCAGCGGCTTCAGCGCGCACATCATGGCCAGGGTGAGCACACACCATGCCGGCTAGACCAGCTAGACCGGCAACCACAGTAGCGGTGACGCGAACCATGTTGTCGAGGATGCAGTTCTGAAGAGGAGAGCGTGGAGGATAGAGGGAGTGTGTTGTTTTTCTTCTTCATCACACCGCGGATTATCCCAAGCTTTTATATCCTCTGTCGTCCGCTTCACAACCTCGGAACAACACAGAGAGTGCCTCTTCCCTTGGCAGCTGGCGCAAGCCACTGGGGCCCTCCCTGTCTGGAACTTTCGATGATGTGATAGTGCTTGACATGGAGCCAGCACACCTACGCACGCACAGTGAGAGCGAGCTAGCCTGTAGCTCGCTCCATCTCCTCCCAACATTGGCAGTTGGTGCAGTCCAGGTTCTATTCGACCCACCGGCGAGCGACCTCCGCCAAGACAATCCTCACGCTTGAACCGTGCTTAGAGGAGCTCAGAAATTCCATGCGATTGTTTCCTCTCGCCTCCAATATCTCGGAACTATCGCAGAGGAAGGGCCAGACCCGTCATCCATCGGGGTAGGATCATCGGGCGCTGAAGACGCGGCCGGGATCCACTCCTCCTGCGGCGACGGCATCACAAATCCTGACCCTCTCACGGGGTGAAGGGTCCGTTCCTGAAAGCTGCGGTGCTTACGATTGGGGGGATGAAGATTGGTCGAGGAGGGTTGTAGGGGGCCTCAGCCACATGTCTCATCGATTGGATGGGTAGATTGAGATAGATGGACCCTGACCTCCATCTGGAAATTTCCGGTGGATGAATGAGGGCTCTATACAAGTTAGCAGTAGACTCTAGGCACCAGAGCACGCAAACATGAATAGCAAAGTTCTTCCAACCCAACATTGATAATGCCCAGCAGACCAAATCTATCAACAACAATCATCAATATCATCTTAACCTCGAAAACCAATCCTCCGCACAAGTGCACCTCACTTCCCCCCTACCTCCAGCCCTGCAAAAACACCAAAATAAGCATAACCATAGGGTTTGAAACACACCCAACCACCAGCTCCCAACCAACAAGCCCCACCCAGCTTACGCCATCGCCTGCACCCCCGGTCCCCCAGGGTTGATGTCTTGACACCCTAGCGCTCTTGGCAACTGGCAAACCGGGCGGATTCCCGGCCCGCCAAGCCCGCAGCCCGTCGGACCGCTGAATAATTCCTGTAATTCCCCGTGCCTGATTTGTGGAATATCCTCGGTTTACTGCCCCTCCCAACAGATCTACACTACACAGGGAATAGTGTACGTACCACTGCACCCACGAGACGTACGTGCTATGTGTATCGATAGTGGTTGCTTGGCAGGGCGGAGGAGTCGCACGCGCCCCAACGAATAAGGGCAGGGGATGCCACTCCCAAGGTCTCCGGATGATTATCACCTCCGTAATGAGGGTTATGAGTAAGCGGCAAGTCTGTTTCGAGTGTTGATGGAGATGCAGGGATCTTAGATGATAGTGTATACGAGTGCGGTATGGATTCAGTATGCGCACGCCACTATGCTTGATGCTTGCCAGTACCCTAGGTAGCCCGCAATCGAGTTCTCTTCGGGAGATGGTAGAGTTGCCATTGCCGGGTGTCTTGAATAGAGTACGGGCGACTCCGTACTGCGTTCTATGGCTATGTTGAACCGGGATAGGAGCATCACTCCGATGCGGTTGAGACTTTCGCCATGGTTTGCCATGACTTAGTGTATCCATGTTCTTTACAGTTGATGCATCATGCTGAATGGACGTGCTTCCACTCACGGGTCAATCCTAGCCGAGGTACAGTGAGTATTCGTGCCTAACTTACCCTTCCTGGCCAGTGAAGTAACAATTCTCTGATGTCAAGGTGCAGCTACAGTGAAATAGTTCTCTTCCGGTTCACAGTATGATTTTACAAACTTCACTATGTATGTATATAGTACTTGGAGTATGTCGGTAGAATTTGAACTTGAGAAGAGGAATCTACTCTAGATATCGTATATAAGCTGATTTGATTATGAAATATAGATCTATTCTTTAGATAAAAGATATACTAGTACTATCTCTTTTCTGCTATACTGAGTATCTTTTACAAATTACAGTCAAACGTGCTTAGGATTCGTTCGCTGCTTCCACCAGTGTATGGCGGAGAATTGCAGGTTATTTAGCCTGGATCGATGGAAGGTGCGTAAAAGGGAACAAGAAACAGCGATAGCAGAAACACTCGACTAGAAACACCCCCGTACTAGATGTACGGCATCTGCAGGAAAGCCGTTGCCGTTATCAGCTAAACACCTCACAACGCGCTCCGCAGATATTTAGCATGAATGGGGCAATGAAGCGATCAGTCGCGCGGTATTCTTGATTCCACCACTACGTAACCGCCACAGTGGGACTTTCTGCAGTAGAAGGAGAACATACATGAAATTTGGTGTGGTATTGCCATCTCAATGAACTTGGATTGGACATGCGGGATCCACCGTCTCGAGCGGACTGTGTTGCTATTCCAAGAGCAGAACAGTCAGTCCAGTATTCCAGTAGCCTCATAACAATCCCGACTCCAGTCGCCGCTGCTCGCCAGGAACGGCGGAAAGGCGGGTATTGCTCAGTCGTGCCGAACTGGAAAAGGCCCACTGGTGCAAGCGTGTTCCCCCAGAGTGCCACTGAATCCCAATCCGTTGAATTTGGCTTGCATGCCAAGTTCAGTTGTCGCGTTCTGTACCCACACATTCTTGCGAAGTTGAACAGAACAGACCCGTCGAAGCGACTGTGAGAAGACTTATAAGCAGTGTACCCAGAATGGCCAGTGCCAGCGCCCCTTCAGAGTGACGCATCGCGCAAAACCGGGCAAGCACATTCCAGTCCGAAACTTGATCCAGCAGCAGAGATCGAGAGGGCCGGCTAAGGCGACTGTGCCATTGCCTTTCAGGGCATGCGTTGCTTGGTTTGATACTCGACATGGCCCCATAGTGCGGCGATGATCGGTCGGGGGGGGGGGGGAGGGGGGGTTTTGAATTAGCGACGATTGTCTATCCCGGCCGGAAAACAGTCAGTAAAGGATTTTGACATTCGAAAGAGATCCAACAACATGTCAAGAGATCTGTATATCTACCATAGGTGGTTTAATCAGTTGCTTGACCATCATGATGAGACCAAGGTGTCCAGATCGGGGGCCACAGTACAAATAGGGGTACTGCGGAGTATCAAGCTTGGCCTACGCGCGGACAGCAGAAGACATGACAAGAATGTGATTGGTGTTATGGGATGCATCACGAGGCTGAGAGGCAGGCTGGACAGGCGCGCGGAAGAGGATTCCATGGCATGCTGTCTAAACCTTCACAGTCAGGAGTTCGCATTCAACCCTTAGTGGAAGTGGAGAGATTTATGTCTTGCGCGAAGAGGCAGCTGCAGGAACACACTGCACTGGGCACCTACTACAGTCCGCAGTCACAAAGAGTAGCCACTAGACGACATTTACATCCTTAAGACATCCAGATATAAACCCGGTCTCAAATAATAACCGTGGGACATTCACATCTACTCAATAGAACAGAACCAAAAACGCCAGTATGCATGCATAGATTTAGTACCAACATCTATCTCATCACTCTGCCCCACCACCCTAGCCACCCTTCAACCCGCCGCGTATGGACTCATCTTCCTTAGCCGCTCCCCAAACCGCCACAACAGCAGCGGCGCGGGCAATCCCAAACCAATCGATACGAACGCCAACAGGCTATTGCCCCACCCATACCCAAGCGCCTGGTACATATAGTTCGCAAACAGCGGAAATCCAAAGCCCGCTAAGGAACGCATACAGGCGACGGCCGCCAGGGCACTAGCCGCGAAGCGCGTGTACGAGTCGACGATGTAAGTCTGCACGCACTGGAAGGTGATAATTGTGCCCAGGCCGTATAGCAGAGCTCCAATATTAGGCGCAATCCAGTGGCGGTGCGTCTCGGCGGTCCAGCCATAGATAAATAGCCCGGCGGGGACGAAGACGGCACCGACGTAGAGCAGCGGGACGCGGAACTCGGGACGGCCGACGCCGGCGTTGCGGGCTTTGAGGCGGCGGTAGATGCGGTCGTTGAGCGGGGCGCAGATCTGGGAGCCGAGCCAGAAACCCAACCCTATCGAGATGTAGTTGAGGCCGCCGATGCCGGTGGATTCGTCGTAGTAGTCTGCGCTGGTCCAAAGGGTGGGGAAGGTCGCGAGCACGAGGTACATGGTCCCGTAGATGTAGGCAAGGTACAAAGCCATCAGCTGCACGATGGGCTGGGTGCCCAAGAGCCGGAAGGGTCGCATCAGGGCGCTGCGCATCACCTCGCCCAGCGTGCGGTTGGCCCGCTCGTATTCGGTCTGGTAGGCGTCGTCGGACGTTTCTTTGCGCAGCCGTTGAGCGCGTTTGCGTAGGATCACCGGAGCATAGGTCTCGCGGAGGAAGAAGAGACCGGCGACCTGAATCACGGCGTCGGCGATGGAGGTTGCGTAAAACACCCAGCGCCAGGTAGTGTTTTCGGCGATGAATCCCCCCGCAATGGGGCCAACGGCGGGACCGAGGAGTGGAGCAAGACTGTAGATGGCGACACTTTTGCCGCGCTCTTCGGGCTTGAAGCAGTCGGAGAGTACGCCACCACCAATCTGAACCTGAATCAGCAACAGACCCAAACAATCACAATGCACTAAGTACTCACTGCCAACGGAGCACTGCCGCCCAAGCCCGACAAGAACCGAAAGACGATCATCTGCGCCTTGTTCTTCGAGAAGCCACAACAGATATTGAAGACCAGATAAAACAGATTGGCGAGTTGCAGAACAATAACACGCCCATAGATCTCCGACAACGGGCCCAGGAATAGCGGACCAACAGCATACGCCAGCACGAACACCGACAAGGTCATGCTCAGCGTCACCTCATCGGTGATGTGGAAATCAGAGCCGATGGCCGTCAACGCGGGCGCAACCATGGACGACGAGACGGGCGAAATAAACGTGAAGCAGGATACAGTAACCACGGCGGCCCATTTCTTCTTCATCGGCCAGTTCTTTGGGTTGTCCGGGTCATCGGGACCCTTCCAGGTAACCTGAAAAGAGTGCGTGTCAGTGATGTTAACCAAAATCCACGGCAAGACCAACACCTACCAGCTTTGGGTCATTTTCAGACCGTGCTGTCCGGGCCTTCTCTAACGTCGGCGCCGACGGCGCACCAGCACCAGCGGCTTCCAGGTCGCAGTCTCGCTCGTTCACGATCCCCCCGCGCACCTCGACCACCGACTCTTCATTCTTCTCCTGCTCCTCCCGTTCGGAATCCGTCTCGAGCGCATGATCACTGTGATACACGGACTGATCATCCAGGTGCCTTCCCGAATGTATCCTATCTATCTGCGCCGTGCTGTGCCTAGAGCTAGACCTTCGGAAAGACTCCGGTCGATACGGACGGTGCGACTGCGTCCCCGAGTCAGAACTCGATGAGCAGGATGAAGATCTCGACCGCGTAGATCTATTCAACTCGGACGGTGCGGAAAATTTAGACATTACTACGGCATGAGATCACGCGCATATCAGGATCGTTGCTTGGCGGCCAAGAAACAAGCAGAAAACGAGAAAAGCTTGGCCCAGGGGTTGATTGGGGGTATTGAGTATCACACCAAGGGTTTAAGAAATGTGGCGGGGCGCAACAGATCTGGGAAAACGGGGACAGTCTCCATTGTTATAATGCCTATCAGGGCAGGAAACACTTGTCACCAAAACGTGAGGGAAAAAGAAAAAATCCATGGGGACCCAGCAGCCCAATTGGCAGCTACGCATCGAGCAATATCACCGGTGATAACAGACAGATTAAGTCCGGTGATGAGTTTTTGCAACGGTCATTGGCTGTGAAGTGGGGAGAGAGACTGTTTCCAGGCAAGAAGTGGAGATTTAGCCCCCCGAGGCGGCTGGGCCCGAGACGATGCTGGCTGAAACAGGCTAGACCTGCAGGAAACCAGGCCTGATAAGAGGTGCCATTGTTGCGGTGACGGTTGGCTTCGTTGGTCATATGTACGTCGATGAGATTGAAGGGATGTGAGTGGTCCATCTGATAATGGGAGGGTTAGAGGGAAGAAACGCAAACAGGGAAAGGTGTTGCGAGGAATTCATTCATGGATCGCAGTCTTCTGGATGAATGCGGGTATTCGGAACTCGGCATAGTGTCACGTGTTTGAATTCTCCGCTTATTTCAGATTGACATACCGCCAGGATCACCGCCTTGTATGTCCAGCAGAAGAACTAGCTGACACATCATGTATGCCGTCAGAACTATGGCATCGGGGAGAACATTGATCGCCTATAACTCAGGCTCTAGGGTAACGTGAGGAATCTCTATAAACACTCCAAATTCTTCCACCATGAACAAGTATACGAGTTGAACATCAGACTTCCAACCCTTCCTTCATAAGCATACCTCATTACAATAGTCGAAGTAGCTATCAAAGTAGCTAGTCACACGTTCACTCGTACACTATGCAAAGTGAAATCCTCCGCTTAGACGTGGAACGGAATATGCTGCAGCTGTGCTGACATATACAGACAGCCAAATAAGCTTCGTCCCAACCCTTAGGGGCCAGATGTGTCATCGGTACGAAAGACACGGAAGAGATCTAAGGGATTGTCATCCGAGCGGCGGCGTAATCCAATAGCTATGCTCCACCAATTTAAAAGTCTGACAGAGCCAATGGGTAAGGAGTATCCAAGCCCGTGACCCTTCGATCTTGAGGAGACAGGCGAAGTTATAAAGTTGAGATCCAGTTGACAATAGATCATCAGGGGGCCGGACCTGTATATTTCCCTAGACGTCGTCGTCTGCAAGGATCGCTTCTAGATCTGCGACTGAGTTTTTCACCGATCATACAGTGCACGATTCAACAAACCTTCTTTTCCAGCCCACCTCTTTGCTATTTCTCGGCCTACACCTCGCACGAGGGACATACGGTAAGAATGAAGCATGACTCAAGAATCGTGATTATATTCCACTGGCCCAAGGCGGAGTGGGTGATTAAGTCCATTAGTACATAAGCGTAGACCCAGGGGTATTCATCCGTCCAATTCCGAAAAGCACAACACCGCCTCCCGTCCTCCATTACCAGCATACCCCCATATTCCTCCTCAAACCTCGTGGTGAATCACCTCAGCCTCAGCCTTCTCGGCGACAGTTTTGTCGGTGATACCCATCTCAGCAGCGAAAGTGCCGTGAGGCTTCCAGCCGGCAGAGGTACGAGGAGTGGTCTCCTCCATCATCTTGTCAACCTGCTCCAGGGTGAGACCCTTGGTCTCGGGAATCAGGAAGTAGGTGTAGACAAAGGCACAAGCGCACAGGGAGCCCCAGATGAAGAACACCTTGGCGCCAAGGTCACCCTTGTCCTTGTCGACCATGTAGGGAGTGATGACGGCGATGATCTAGTGACAGGTTAGAAGCAACAACTAAAATCACCCGAGATGAGTACTTACGCAGTTCCACAGCCAGTTGGAGGCGGTCGACAGAGCCACACCACGCGAACGAATGGGCAGAGGGAAGATCTCGCCGATCACGACCCAAGCACCAGGTCCCCAGGTCGAGGCAAAGAAGAAGATGTAGATACAGATGAACGAGATCTCAGCACTGACGGCCGACTTGTTGCCCCCATCGGTGACACCAACAATGGCGACGATGAACTGGCAAATGACCATGCCCAGCGCACCCCACAGAAGAAGGGGACGACGACCGATGCGTTCGATGGTATAGAAGGCAATAGGGGTCGAGCAGACGTTGACAATAGTCGTAATCATGCTGATCAGGAAGGGGTTGCTGATGGTTCCGAGCTAGTAACCCTGTTAGAAAGGTGCGTGGACCCGAGAGATGAACAAACTCACCGACTGGAAGAAGGTCGTTCCGAAGTAGAAGACGAAGTTGACACCAGTCCACCTAGATAAGTCAGCATGGGACGATCAAAGGGGTTGACTTGCAAAGGGGAACTTACTGTTGCATCATTTGTAGGGAGGTACCCAGAATAGTCCGGCGGAGGTTGCTGTTAGGAGACCAGAGACTGCCACGGAAGCAGTTGGCCCAGCTGCCGAAGTAACCGCTCTGCGGAATGACTTGCATCTCGTACTCGTGGTTGGCGACAATCTCGGCCAACTCCTCCCGAATGTAGTCAGAGTCCTGAGCCTGGCCACGGACACGAGCCAAGACTTCAGCAGCCTTGTGAAGATTGCCCTTCTTGACAAAGTAACGAGGCGACTCGGGCAAGAAAAACAGACCAGTCGCCAGAATCAAAGCCCAGGCAATCTGAAGACCGATGGGAATGCGGTAAGAGCCGGAGTCGGTGCGGTTCTCCGTACCGTAGTCGACACACGACGCCAGCATGAGACCAATTGTGATACAGAACTGGTAACCCGACACGATAGCACCGCGCACCTTGCGGGGGGCGATCTCGGACATGTACAGAATGATGATGGCGGACACAAAACCAACACCGAAACCAGCGATGAGACGGCCCACCACCAGCAGAGCGACAGAGCTGGAAGCAACCTGGAGGATGACACCGATGATGAAGATCCCACAGCCGCTAATGATGGTGAAGCGACGACCCAGCCAGTCGGACAAGTCACCGGCGATGAGAGCACCAAAGAAGGTTCCGGCAGAGAGAATCGAAGTGATCAGAGATTTCTTCCAGGAGGGAATAACGAAGTCATCGGTGGGAGTAGTATCATAATCCTACACGCAAAGGGATTAGTGTCGAGTCATGGGCTGGTTTGGGGTATTTCGCGACGATAAGACATACCAGACCCTCGAATGTTTCGATAAAGTAGCGCATACCCATGACACCACTGATGTAACCGGAATCAAAGCCGAAGAAGATACCACCAAAGGCAGCAAAGGCACACATCAAGTAGGCCTTGACGGTGACGGGGGCCTCGACCCGCTGGCCGTTCACCACGCCGTCAGCCATGATGACTGTGTGAGGTAGAGTGAGGTGTTGTGGTGTGATGCTCTATGTAGGTCGGGGAAGTCTATACAGACAAGAGCCACAGGGGAGCGAAAAGTATAGAACAGGTATCAGTCCAAGACACAACTAGATGAGAAGTGTGAAGGTATATTGGAAAAGACGGTAAAGTGAGTTGCGGTGAGAAGAGATGCACGAGGACGAACCGGAGGGATGCAGGCGGTTTTATAGTTTGCGACGGATCAGAGAACGAGAGACGAAGAGGGGGAAGGGAAGGGGAAGTTTTCCAGTTTGCATTCGGGCCAGAATCCGGAGCCGGGGGTGGGGGGAAAGAAAGACTGCAGTTGCCCACGGGGACTTCCCCAACCATCGGGATCGTGAGTAAGTGAGTGAGTGAGTCTTTGGTTCCTTCCACTCAATTCAATGCAATGTAATATTCACTTGACCTCGTTTTGCCTTCGTCTTGTCCCAATTAGGCATGGGCCCCTCTCGGTCAACGCCGCCAGCTCCAGCGATTTGCCATCCATCCGAGGACTGGCCGAGCTGAAGACACTAAGAAAAGTCTGGAGAGTCTGGAGTCTGGAAGTCTGGAGTCTGTCTGAAGTCTGGAGACAGGACCACTTCCCAACCCTGGATGAGGGTGTCTCACTATCATCCACTTTCTAATCAGTACATACAGTACTAATGATCTGATGGCTCCTTCCAGCCGCACATGGTACGACCATAAGACAACTGCTGTGGCATGGCTGACTAGTTTCCAATTCCATCCTCCGTTCTCAATGCAGATAGAGAGAGAGTGTGTGTGTGGTGTACGGGGTAAGATCCCAATTCAGCTATACTAGCGTCCACCATGTGTCAGTCAGTCAGTCAGGTTGACCTCGGGCTGAATATTTCCAGAGGAGCCAACGACAGGCTCGGGTCAACACCGGCGAGCCACTCGGGCAGACCCTGCTGCTCGCTTGAAGAACCATCGCAGTGATTGGATACGAAGGACCGGGTCGGGAATTTTACCCTACCACGTGTGCCGTCTGGGGGGGAAGTCTTGCCCCCACAGTCGAGGGCTTCATTGGTGCACAAAGCGGTAGTTTTAAGGTTAGGCCAGCTCCAGCCCATCACGAGTCCAAGGTCGTCTAGGGTCTGTCCAGGGCAGTCCGGGGTTGATGGGGTTGATGGGAGTTTTTTTCAAGTAAGCGGCAGTAAGCGACAAATGCCCAGAACTGCTGCAACCACAGCCCAGACATCACCCACCCACAATTCTCACCACCAACCTTCGCAACCTTTTTAAACTTCCTATCTATGTCAGTGATCGAGCGGATCTGACCGATGGTGCTCGGATGCTTTGTTTGCATTTATTAGGGTTCGTGGGGATACTAGCTGGGGTTGAGGTTGTATTTACCCCGAGCTTTTGTTCCCCCCTGGGGTGAAAGAGAGAGAGAATCAGGAGAGAGAGAGAGAGAAAATTGGGGGGGGGTGACATGCCAAGGGACTTGGCAGTCACCCACGTTGCATTTTTCATTTTCGCCCCTTGGCACCGCAGTCCGAGGTGGTTTTGCCTCTCCTCAACCCCAGGTTTCTTCGGTTTTGTTTGTTGCTGTTGCAATGCGGGGGAAAAGAAATCGGAGTTGATTCCCGTGCCTTCTTCGAGCCGTTGGTCCATGGGTCTGATCCGGTGAGTCTTTTGCGTTAGAGTAGCTGAGGTAAATACTAACTTACTAGTTATGTACTGAGGTAATGTAGGATGATTCCTCTTCTGTCCATCGAAATTGTCCTCACAGTATCTCACTCCGAAATAGCTTACCAGCGGAATACGAAGTCCAATCCCCTCCCAAGGCCGTGGAACAGACCTCATTGGGCGTGTTTGCGCCACCTCGTGTCTTGGCTGGGGTTTGCCGTGTGGCACACATACAACCCGCACAACACTACCTACAACTACTCCAGCAGTCCCCTCCATACACACCCCCGCCCTTCTTTCCGTAAGCCTGCAAGGTCTTCCCTGCTTGCTGGCTGGCTCGCACAACTGGGTCTCGGAGTCGGGTTCGGTCCCGGAATCTCTCCTAGACGACCACCCCACATTACCCTGCAAAATGGTCTGATGCAGTGTCATGACCGTGTATCCACCCCCAGCACAATCGGGGTTATTCTATCGATCGCTCTTGGCGGAAACAATCGTTTCGGTCGGCTTCTCGCATCGAGTCACGCCGCATTTCACGGACCCGAACGACGGGCACCCGTCACCACAGTCAATCTAGTGGGTGGCCATCCTGCACAACCCTAGTCTCCCCTAGTCGCCCATGGAACCTCGCCAACTGACCCTCTGCGCGACACACCAATCAATCCCTGCAACGATCATCTCTAGGTCCAGAGCACCGGAGGATGGTACTACTGTGACTGGTCACTACTCCGGGGAGGAGGAAGCCTCCGTTGGATGCACGAGCCTCTCCTGTTGCCAGCTCGCTTGCGCTGCCGGGTTGCCTTCTGAGTTTAGTGGGGCCGTTGAACGGTTGGGCATGACCCAGTTTAAAAGAACCAACTCCACAAAATCACTTGCAGCTGGAGTGGAGAGGAGACGAGAGAAGGTTCCCGATTATTTATGCCCCACGGGGGCAGCCGTGTTGACTTTTGTCGAGCTTGGTGCGTCCGGTGCAAACAAGTTTTGTTTCTTTCTTCCAGCTTCCTCCGCTCTACTCTCCACTTGTGAATGACTGCGACCTTCGGTCACATACAAGCTACTACCCCATCCGGCTTCAGATGAAACTTCTGTCCTTTTATTCCGCATATTCGATCCTAGCACATGACCAGACAAGCTTGTGCCAATCTCCATGGCTGGTCCATAAGCTCCCTCTTCCTGCAAGTGGCCGCTGACCCACCATCATGCGACCTCCCTTACTTGCATCCTGGTCCCATAGGCCTTTGCTAGGTGGCACTTGGTGGCGTCGGCGGTCCTTGATCGCAGGTGACTCGGCATGCGGTGTCGGGTAGTGTTTTCTCAAGGGAGTGTGTGGGATTCTTGGCTAAGACAATTGGTCAAGGTCTTTTCTCGGGGGATACGGTCATAATCTCGGCGGTTCCAGCCTAGTATGCCGTGCCAGTTTCCTTGGCCTGGAACAGTTTCTCGAGTTAGCAAATCCCGAGTGCATGCTGGGACATACCCTCATTTAGAGGCCGCTTGCGTTGCTAGTAAATTAGTAGTGGTGGTTCTCCTTGATCCCCGGGGATGAGCGCTCCAGTACGTGCTGAGTTGATTCACTCCCAGCCAGGCAGCTGTGAGACGCGGGGGAGATTGGTTCGTGTCAATGATCTTTAACTTTCTGCCACTGATGCGCGGACTATGACGATGTCCCTATTGTCAAGCATCTAGAAGGTTGATCTGTGCATCGAGATGACACAACTTGGTCATGGCACAAACTGTCGATCAGAAAGTACTCCGGCCCGAATCAAGAGAGGTGCGCACGGCCATCCAGCCATAGGTTGCGTGAGATCGTCCAGATACTGCTCTATCTCCTCGTCAATCTGCAGCTCCGGACGGCCCGTGATCGCCGTCAATCGTTCCGCCAACTGGTCTTCAAGGAGCTGCGGGTTCGGCGGCTTTCCCCGAGCGGTAGTCAGCTCGGCCCGGATACGAGCTCGCAGATCTCCCTTCAACATCTTCTCGGCCAGATGAGCATGAAATGCCGAGCTGTACGGCCCCTCGCAGTGCGGCCAGGCATGAAGGGCTAGAATGGCTCGCCAACGGTCACTAAACTCTGGTGACAAGGAGGCCACCAAGAACAATGGCGAGATAATGCCCGTGTCAAACAGGATCGCCGGTCGACGAGGTGCAAGTTTCGCGATAACCCCTTCCGAAGTAGTGAGAATATGGTGACACTCAGAGGCAATGCTCGCCAGATAAGCTGGTCCAGGAAGCACGAATGCCGCGCGCAGCCCCAAACAAAGCCAATGAAGGTTGACTTTGAGTATGTCAGCCCCCACTTGATCCCTGGGTGAGAGGGAGGCGTACTGTCGAATGTGAAATTCGTGCATGGCCCGCTTAGCCTGATTCAGCAGCGAGATGAGTGCCAGCTGCTCGCGATGTAGCGAAGCATATCGAGCCGGGTCGCGCTCCTTCTCAGACGACCAGCCCCGTTTGAGATATTCATGCGTCAGGGTCGTGAGGGGATCCAGCGCTCGACGTCCTTCAGCAACACTCCGGATAGTCTGCCATTGGGCTGCAGTTGGGGCCAGTCGGGCCTCTTCGCGAGTCTCAAGCAACGGTGCATCGCAGCCGAATTGTGTCGACTGGATGTCGAGTTGTCGCAAGGCGGTGACTATGTGCCAATCGACGGGTGAACCCTGTCCGTTCTGAAACACCGGCATTCCCTGGCGATGGAGCTCACCCAGGATGCGCAGGCCACTGCGTAGATGCCGAAACGCCGCGTCGTATTCCCTCCAGACCAAATTCAACATGACAAACAAAATACAAGCAAGCAGTACCACCTGCGGTACCTGCGGATCCCGGGGATTCCGTCGCCTGAGCAGGGCAAACGAGCGTGCAGCCTGGTCGTAAGCGAACAAGTTCCAAGGACTATGCTTTTCCAGTGGACGCAACCCCATGCCGGTATTCTGGCACTCCTGGTGGACAGCGGCCAGCGCCATCGCAGCGTGACAGACGGCCGGATCCAGCCGCGCTATCTGCAGCACAAGTTGATGCCATAAAGGAGAATCGAAGGCCCCAAGAATGTCCGGGATAGTGCGACTTTGGAAGAATGCGAAACATCGCCGTTCATCGGCAGTGGTGAGCCAGCGGATTTCGGTTGTGACTGTCGGCGGGAGGTGGGGATAAATCCCCCGGTGCCGCTGGGAGGTGTTGGGACGAGGTAAAGGAGTTGGATCGTAGCCCTCGCATGTCCGTCCTGTGGAGGAGCAGTTGTAACAATGACCGGGAGTTTCATCGCATTTTACTCGACGGGCGCTGGCTGCTGATTAGTTCCGAGGGTCATCCCTGTCCATTATGTACCAGTAGCTTATCGGTTGCATTGGGGGGAAATGCGCTTACCGACAGGTCCGACAACCCGTGCGCGACCGTGTGCCGCGCACTTGTTGTCTTTGCGCGAGTGCAGCTTTCGTTTCGTTGCTTGGATTGTAGTGCCACATTTCTCTCGCAGAGTCAAGAAAAGGGAGAGGAACGAAGGATCATAACTTCGGGACGGTCCGTCAAGCAGAAGAATCGTGTGCTTCATTCATGCTGGTGGTCCCAACTCCTGAAGAGTTGAGAACGGGCTGAGAAACGGCCTCAGCACTATTCGCGTTAGATCGCCGATACTGAGTCGTTGGCGGGGAAGTTCACTTGGGTGGATCGTGAAGTCCTCTCGTAACCAGTTTCCAACCGCAAGCGGCGGCTCATCATTCGTTCAGCGACGATCTTGGCATTTCATTTGTCTATCACGGACCCTCCTGTGATGCCTCGCATCGAAGCCATTTTTGAGGCATGGCATCGACGATGTTTCCCATGTGACATGTTGGCGGCAGGAATATAGTAATTTACAAACAACTCTAAGAGTACTTAAACGTCGAGATGGAAGCTGAGAAGAGAAGCAGTCGATGTTTCGGGGTCAAGAAAAACAGAGGGGGCGAGAAACCGCATCAGGTGACTAATTTGTCATATTGTAGATTTGTGGCTCCGGCGAGGGCGCGCCAAAATATATTGCAGTGGTGTTATCCAAACTCCCCTGTCTAAACCCTCTGCGAGAAATATGAAACCCCTAAACATGATTGCTAATATATGGGCCCCCGAAGTTATCCATAAGTGTCGCAGAAAACTCCACAAAACCCTACCACTCCCCTTTTCCGTCCAATTCATGACCGCGACACCAAACACCACAAACACCATATCAATACAGACTAAAGCTCATGACCCCATGCGACCAGCAAACCTCCTTTGCATCCAGACATGCAATACTTCTAGGATTAGGTCAATCGCTGTCATCATGCAGCAAGACCTTCAATTTCTCCAGCTTATCCTCACACTTTACCTCTAGGCGCATGACCACATCCATACTGTCCTTTTTGGTGATCAGCAGGTGACATACCAGCCAGAAATTGTACCCATTCTTATAGAATCCCATCGATGCCCACTCATGGTTGGTCACAGCACTTTGTAGCGTCAGCCAGTGTTCGCGCCAGCGGGCCAGTGCGACACGAATAGACCCTGGCACCGAGTCTTCAGGCGCATTCTGTACTCGGGGTTTGCCGGGTGATAAAGGATCTAAAGGCTGGTTGGATTGTACTTGCGGCTGCAGGGGGCGCTGGCTTGTCCTCGTGACGGAAGCAAGAGTCATGTAGGTGTCGATGAAGGCATAAAGAACTAACAAGTCATCAGCGGTCTGATTCGCGTGCAAGTTAAAGATACGTACGGTGAATGAGAATGAACATGTCGAGAATGTTCATGTTAGGAAGAATGCCGCTAGGACTGGATGAAGAATCTGGGGATAATGGGAACGACGTGTTTGGAGCGTTCGCACCCTCGAAAAGACTCTGGAAGGCCTCCTTGATGGTAAACCCTCGCGAATAGTGGAATCCCATATCTGTGTATGGATGTTCGAGATTAAACAGCGCCTCTGCGCAGGGAAAGTCACACTCCATCTCCACATGAGACAAACGGCATGGATAGTTTTGGAAGAAGCAAAAGGCACAGTCGAGAAGCGAGATGATGGAAATAGTTCTATCATGGTCAGCGGATGTTCGCAATGAGAGATTTTCGGTGGCGCCCCTACCGAATGCGACATTCCGTTTGGATCCATTGCTGCTCTGAGGTAACATCGGGATGTTGATGGCGACATTTGGTAAGGTTCATTCGGCGAGCAACCTTTGTCAGTCAGCCAACCATCCCCGACTGCAGTGGACGGGATACACACCTTTGTAATTTCACTAAAGCGATTCTCCATGGCTCGATTATGCGACATGCGAGAGCCGGACCAGTATTGCACAATACAAATAATGAATCCCGCTTGGAAGTTGAGAAACTGAATCCAATCATCTCGTTCGGATGGGGGGCTAGTTCTTCCTTTGCAGAACATAGAGGCGATATCACTTTCGGCCGAGAAGACCTCGGTTGAGAAGATATACAGCTCCACAAAATCCAGAAGTTGCTTGGCGGCATATGTTTCCTGTTCATCGTTTGAGTACATAGCACCCATGAATACCAACCCTGCTAATAAAGGCAACGGAACGGCATTCAGCTGTAGCGAGGCCAGGTGAACCATGGCGCAACTCGGATGCCAGTATTTAGCATACATCCATACAAACTTCTGGATACGTGCTGTGGTCAACAAGAAGCTAGCATTGGCCGCCAAGCGCTGCTTCGCGTTGGTGTCCATGGGCACACTCCATGCGCGCGAGAGAATTGCGTGTGACAGAGCAGCAGCATAAGGCTGTTCTGGGCCGTAGGGCTGTTCATTGGGATGTGCCACGTTGAATTGACTTTGCGAGAGACCCGCGTTGAACTCGGACCTGGCGCTATACGGCGACGTGCCCGGTGCGCCTATGACTTTCGGGCTTTCGAACGGACCATTGAAAAAGTCGAGGAAGTTGTCGTGGAAGAAGGAGCGTGTTGCGGAATCGGCTTCCATGAACGCAGGGGCGATGTCCAATTGACCCAATTCCATCTGGTAGTCCAACATGGTAGACCTAGCCTCCTTGAGACCCATCTGCGTGTGATATTTCATGCCCCGGCTGCGGTCGCTGCAGGGAGGGAGCCGAAATTGTTCGGTAAAACTGTCGGAGCCACCGTTGAGCAGGAAGCTAATCGATCCGCGATCGGAAGTGCCACCGTAGTCCTCGCAATTCGTCGACTTCGCGGCTGCGTCCATCTCGAGGCCAGTCGCTTGCTTCTTACGCTCATTGTTGCACGGCAGATTCCTCTTCTGGCACGAGCCACAAGGACTTTGACCGTCGCATCGCAGCTTCATTGATGTGCACTAATAAAAGGATTTTCTATCAGCATCCACGCGCTCATGACTAGAGGAGCAGCAGGTGGTGAAGAAGAGGAGCAAGGGATGAATTACCGATTGGCAAGCATGTCGTCGTCTACCCCTCTGGCCCGTCTCCGGGATCTTCTGGTCCCCGCGCTTGTCACAATCCGTATAGTGATCGCGCAGATTGTCACTACGAGAACATGCGCAGCAGTCAGCATCAGTAAGCTGGGAGGATGTACGGGGCGAGACTGTATCAGTACAGTGACCCCGAGACAGACGCACCAACGCGCGAACGACTCATTGCAAAAGATGCATGAGTAAGGCTTGACACCGGAGTCTATCCGAAACCCAAAGTCATCCAGGATCAGCGAGCGGTGGCGGAAGAAACGGGTCCAGAGACAAGCAAAGACTCCGGCCCACGGGGAGAACAAGGGAGTAATTGGACTTACGTCGGAGGTGATGGCGTTTGAGGTGGTCAATGCGCGTGAAACCTCGCTGGCAGATGGTACAACAGAAATGCTTGCTCGAAGCAGACTTCATGGTAAGGGGCTGATGCGCATCGGGAGGATTAGGAGGAATTAGAGCGGTTTAAAGGGGAGAGGAGGGGAGAGGAATAGAGAATATGGGGTAATGGAGGAAAAAAAAAAAAAAAAAAAAAAAAAAAAAAAAAAAAAAAAAAAAAAAAAAAAAAAATGGGGGGCAAAAAGGCAGATCGGGAGCGGGCGGTGGATGTGCGGGAGGTTTGATGCTAGAGTGGAGACTTGGCAGGCGAAGGGCGAGGATGAGCCGGGGAAATGACACGACAAACGAACTGGCAAACTGCACAGCTTGTCTAGGTGAGTAAAAGTGAATTAACTGTCTAAATTGAAGAATTTGCACAGAGTGCAGTTATCATGAGCCAAAACAAGTTCAACAAAACGAGAAAACAGAGAGAGATGAATGGTCTTCAAAGAGTAAAGAGAAAATAATGAGAAAGGAAAGGATGTGCAGCTTGTTCTTCGGCTGTGGGTTCTGCTGCTCCCGTCCCAATCTTCTTCCTCTTCTTCTTCCTCCTCCTCTTCTCAACACACGCTAGACTGTTTGGAGATCCCTGTCCCGCCCACTCACTGCTGCGTCTCTGCTTTAAAAACCGGACAATGAGAAAATAAGCCTCCAACGTCGACGCAGGGGAACCTTAATGCTCTCTACTTGTGCATTTGACCTCTCGTCTCCACATCCTTCCTTTCTTCCCCACTTAAAAGTGACGTTCCAATTACTCCCTCAACCTTGGTAAACATGTCAACTCTACTCCAAAAAAGCAGGTCTGTCGCCGTTGTTGTACCTCTGGCTACTTGCTTCTACTTGCTTAGTTAAAACGCCACCAAGAGTCAAATAAACTGGAGCGCCCGGAGCGCCCATGCTCCCAGCCCTTGAACTCACCCGGCAACGCTGTACAACATGCTCGGAGCATCCGGTAGGCTGACCCTCTTTGGTTACTAGACTGCAGACGAATCGAAACTGTGACAGAAAAGCTAGAATGGCATCATAGGTTATCAGATTCCCCCCAGGGAGACAACAAAACACAATAGCAAAGTTGCAAGGATACAGAAACCAGCCACTCCCGAAGCCAAGTCAGGCCGCCTCTTGGATTTATTCCGCCATCACACAAGCAATCGGAGGGAAGTCCATTTGATCGTCGTCGAGGTAGTCGACATTGATAACCTTGTTCTTCTCATTCATGGTCCAACCATCGCCGATCCAGCCATTTGCATTGTCTTCAACATAGTCATATGTGTAATCCTCCCAGCGTGGATGCGCGAACGTCTTCATAGCATGGAGCGACGACCCTAAATCGGTAAGAAAATGCGCACGAATCACAAAGTCTGGAAGAAGGGATCTCACCAGGCCACAGTGCCGTCACCCGTCCGTCTTTCTGTCCTCCTTTATACCAGCTGCGGCAATTCGAACTGAACACGGTACGGGTGAAATATTGGTCGCAGTGACGAGTGAACCGCTCCACTGCTTCTTTTTGAACACACATTGAGCGGATATTGTCGCGTTGCATCTTCTGTATGCAGTACGTGAAGTAATCGATTTCCTTCTCGATCAGAAGCAGCAGGCTTCCCTCGCCCAGTGCCGAATTCGGCCCGAGACAAACGAAGTAGTTAGGGAACCCATCGACTGCTACAGAGAGGTAATTCTCTGGCGTCTTCGCCCAACGTTGAGCTAGAGACACCCCATTGCGTCCAATAACTGGGAACCGGGGTGTGAACGTGGTATCAAATCCCGTGGCGCAGACCAAAAAATCGGTAGGGTGATGTACCCCGTCCGCTGTGATGATCCCCTTCGAATCCACTTTGACAATTTCGCTTGATATGACGTCAACTTTGTCGTCTGCCAGGGCTTCTAGATAGCCAGGACCCGGCGTCAGGCGGCGGCAGGCAGGGGGAAAGGAGGGAAGAAGGTTCTCGAAGAGCTCTGGTTTACGTCGTAGACGTATTTTCATATTCTGCGCGAAGACACTTTCAGAGCCTATTTGTTCAGGGGTTCCTAGCAGGGTGGCACCATGGATAGACTGCAGCTCAAGCTCAATCTCTGATGCTGTAAGCAGCTGCCAAGGTAACAAGGTAACTGAGGGATATTACCTTTGCGGAACTTCTGGTAAGCGTTGTGGTCGGCCTTGAAAATTGCAATCTCCTCGGGAGAAAACAAAACTATGGTTGTCAGCTCAAGCACCAAAATTGTGCCCGAAGCTGAGCGGCCTTACAGTTCTCGAGCTCAGCACCACGCATATCTATCTGATTCCTGGCAAACGTTGGCGCAAGCCAAGTGCGACCTCTGACATAATGGTCAATATGCGCCACAGTCGGCAGCATATTGGGAACGATCTGAATCCCACTCGATCCGTTCCCAATCACCGCCACTCTCTGGCCCTAGTTGTAAGTTAGCCATTATTTCTCGCGGCCAGACCAAAACAAGATACAACCCACATTATAGTCATATGACTCATCCCACTTGGCACTGTGCATCAGTTTCCCTTTGAAGTCATGAAGACCCGGGATGCTTGGCCACTTCCAGTCGTTCAAAGCTCCCGTGGCCGAGATGAGCATATCGCATTCATCCGGGTAGGCCCGAAGACTGTCAAGGTCTCTGACCAGCAGATTCCACTTGCTTGTAGCGTCATTCCACGAGGCCTCGATGACTTGCTGTTCGAACTTGATGTGCTCCAGACATCCATACTTCTCCGCCACTCGTTTCCAGTACCTCTGGATCTCGGGCGCTGCGGCATAGAAAGTGGACCATTCTTTGTTTGGCTCAAAGGAGGCCTGGTATGTGTGGGCTGGAATATCTGCAGTACGAGGTGTTAGCATGATGCACTTGTTGGACAGTCAGGAGTACTTGCCACATGCACAACCCGGATATCTATTCTCTAGCCAGGTGCCACCGACATCCGGGTTTTTCTCGTACACGCAGAGATCCAGGTTCGGGATTCGTTGGCGAAGGCGGATCGAGGAAATGATACCAGAAATTCCGGAGCCGATAACGACGACTCTTAAGGGACGGCACTGGTCAATAGCCCGCTCCTGCACGATCCATCCATCAGGCGAGGGAGCCTCGGTGGGCTTATAAGAAATGGAACCAAATATTTCTGATATTCTTCGGATCATGGCGGACGTGGAGAGTATGAAACGGGTATGCGGAGAAAGTTGCTGTGCGACGAAATGGGCGTGGGAAACGCTGGGATTCGAACGCTTATTTATGGCCTCATTCTCGATTGGAGCGGTAGATTGACAGGTTTAGGCAGTGGAGAGCGGAGCAGTCCGCCCAGATGGAGAGGAGGAAGTTTGTTTGACAGGGCCTCGGCAACAACAGCCGGTCAAGTTATCAACGCCCCCTCTTTCCCTGCAGGGTGGCACGGATGCTCCAGGAGACTCTCTGCGTTACATGGTTGACTCATCCACCAACACTGATTCAGTTTGCAGCGAGATAGCAAAGGGCCTATACTCACTGCTCAACGGATATCCCCAGCATCTTTTAGGTCCGGGGAGAACAAACATTCAGCCTGCCAATTGGGGCCGAACATATAGCAAGTGGCTAGATAGAGTGAGGCCCGCACTGGGAAAGTGGATCGGACTTCCCATCAGTATTTCAATCCGAACCGGTAAGACTCCACCCAACCCCGCGAAAGATAAACGAGCTCTCACACTCGGAGTAGCTTGGACATAGATGACCCTGGAGGCTAGGAGAATTCGAGGCAGAGGAGGAGGAAAGTAGGTCCGTGGTGATACGAAGATTGACAGGAAGATCCACACACGGGTACCCCTACCATCTTTTAATCATCGGACCGAATCACTGGCGCTCCTGCTCGGACTTCAGGGTTATTAGCATTATGCGTCAAAGAGTCTGCAGACCTGTTGGCAGGCTAGCTTGCACCAAGGGCTGAGTGATGGCAATGTGACCATACAAAGTATGCATCAAAAGGTTTTCGCGTGCAAATTCTCCTCAGTGCTAGACTGCTTCTTTCTGAAATGGCTTCACTATTGAGACAATGGCCCCGAGTTACGAATCAACCATCCCACAATGGAGAGAGAATAGCAGTGGGCGGCTCTCGAGGACGAATTTAACAAACACTCGAGTCTACTCTCCGGAAAACTCCCCGCGTCAAATGGAGATTGGGGAGGATTCCCGCCGGTGCAAAATGGTCCAGCACGGCGAAGACGATCGACCGTCTAGAACAGGCCGATCAGCATTTCTCGGTATCCGTAATTCCGTATATCCGCGGCTATACAGGAACAAGCATTGGTTGTTTGGGCTTGGCAGTGCGAAAAAGCATCTCCGTGGGATGAGATGGAGTCGATTCATAGAGCCGATTTTGGCCATTGCTGGTAATGGGACAGACGCGAATAGTGGATCTTCAAGAGAATAAGAAGAAGAATAACGTACTGGGGACTACAGGGGATAATGGTAGTATCGATTCGATACCTTTTCTCCAGTCGTGGCACGTGCCCGGTTGGCAGAACTCAAATACCCGGTACAGTAAGTACGCCATACGTGACATTCGTTCAGTTGTCTGTGGTTGTCAAGCCACTAAGTAGTTGTCAGTACCCCACAATGATTATCAGCACTTAGTAAGCCCTGGGTAATAAGTTAGTTATTTCAGCCACCAGATCTCCCTTGAATCGATCATTAAGATCGTGCATCCAGACAACCTGGGAGCATAGGCACAAACCAATCCTTGAGCATTGACCCTCAACTGCCATTGAAGAGCATCTCTCTAGACGTGGGTATTGATTGTAAGTCAACAATCCAAATCGCTATCAAGAGAAAGGTTGCAAGTGGACCGGACCGACGCTTGCCATGTAAGGACGATCCATTTTCCTGGGGGGAGGGAGATTAGTGAGAGACAAGTAATCCTCAGTCAGCGGCCCGAGGGTCTCCATGACCCGCCAACTCGCATACACTACCTAGTGTCTAAATGTGGTCTAAGCCAATCACATCCTATATTTGAGGCCATGGGAGATGTCAGTGGGGCCAGTCTCTTTTCCTGTTTGAGTCAAACAATGTGGACATCCCCAGAGTACGTAGCTTTTGTCTCCGCCGCGAGTTCGGCTGGGCACAGAATGGTAGGGGTGCAGCTTCCACGTCAAGCCTATATATAACTTCCGTCAGTGACTGCCACGTAGACCGTGAAGAAACTGTTCGGACTCAATCCATTCAAAGCGTCGACATCAACTGCCAATTGCCCACATACTTACGCACCCTCTATCCTCCATGCCCGTTTTCACCGAATCCGCCGCCTCCACGCGTGAGCTCCGCGTATTGCCTTCATTCGCCCCGCCACTCCCCCGTCTCAATGCCCCCTTCTCCCAACAGAACCAACCAGACAGATATGAAGTCGTTGTCGTCGGCGCCGGTCCCGCGGGGCTTATGCTGAACCTCCTGCTTGCCCGCTACGGCCTCAGCGACGAGTCCCTCCTGTGTGTCGACGCCAAGCCGGGGACTTTGAAGTCCGGCCAGGCGGACGGGCTGCAACCGCGCACCCTCGAGGTGTTCAAGACGCTGGGGCTCGCGGACGAGATCCTGACGGACGGCTGCCACATGGAGGAAGTGGCGTTTTGGAACCCGTCCGCCAACGCGGAGGAAGTCATCGAGCGCACCGCCATCGTCCCGGACGTCGCGGTGCCGGCGCGCTACCGCCACGAGGTCACCATCCACCAGGGCCGCATCGAGCGCATCCTTGAGACGGACCTTCTACGGTACTCGTCGCGCGGCATACAGCGGAACTCGCGGCTCGTGCACGTTGCCATCGACGAGGCTGCCGATGCGGAGTTTCCCGTCGTCGCCGAGCTGGAAACCAACGGCCAGCGGCGCACGGTGCGGTCGAAGTATCTGGTGGGAGCGGACGGGGCGCACTCGGTGGTGCGCCGCTGCATGGGCCTGCAGTTGGTCGGCGAATCGTTGGACCATATCTGGGGCGTGGTGGACTTGGTCGTGGACACGGATTTCCCGGACATCCGCCGACGGTGCGCGATTCACTCGCCGGCTGGGTCGGTGATGGTCATTCCGCGCGAGCGCATCGCGACGGGGGACTACCTCACACGATTGTATGTGCAGGTGCCGGAGGATGCAGTTCCGGAGGATGGAGTCAATGAGGATGTTCAGAAACCGGTAGACGAGGCGGCCGCCAAGATGGACGCGCGAGCTCGCAGGAGTAAAGTCACACTGGAGAGCATCTTCCAACATGCGGCCGATGCGTTCCAGCCGTATTATATCAAGCCAAGGAAGGGTGGCGCGGTGGACTGGTGGGCAGCGTACCAGATCGGACAGCGCGTCTCAGACCGGTTCACTGTCAAGGATTCCAAGGGCATTGAACGAGTGTTCATCGTGGGAGATGGTACGTTATACTCCTCCACCATTGTCTCTCGTCACAATGGAAGACGCAAACTAACCGCGACGACTTTCCAGCCTGTCACACACACAGCCCAAAGGTACGTATCCACTCAGCTGTCATTGTCCTCCCTTCCACATCGACCTCCCATCGACTAACCAACATCAGGCCGGTCAAGGCATGAATGTCTCCATGATGGACTCCTACAATCTCGCCTGGAAACTCGCCTACGTGATCAACGGCCTTACTCCCACCATATCTCCCATCCCCGACCCGATCCTGGCCACCTACCATTCCGAGCGCCACACCATTGCCAAGCAGCTCATCGAATTCGACCGTGCCTTCTCCTCCATGTTCTCCGGCAAGATCGGCAGCGCCGATGACGGTGTCACGGGGCTCACTCACGACCAATTCCTCCAGGTCTTCAGTACAGGCAACGGCTTCACCAGCGGTTGCGGAATCGAATACCCGGCGAGTCTGATTGTACAGCAGCACCAAGAACAACAATCACACCAAACCTCAGACACGACAGTCAGCACGGCTGCTACTTCCACGACCCTCCCCCTCACCCCGGCAAGCGCAAACCCAATCTACGGCACCGACTACCTCAACGGCATTCTTCGCCCTGGCCGAAGACTCCTCAACGTAACCTACAAGCGTCACGCTGACGGCAACAGACGCAACCTCCACGATGGTAAGCCCCCTTCCTCTCCTTTCCTCTCATCTTGCTCAACCCCCACCCTACACACGGACACAAAAAAAACTAACCACCGAACAAAAACAGACATCCCCTCCACCGGCCGCTTCCGCCTCCTCGTCCTCACATCCACCGACCTCCTCGACCCGACAGGCATCTCCGCAACGACCCTCCGCGCCCTCGGCTCCGCCGTCCTCCCCAAGTACCCGGCTTCCGTGATCGAGCAGATCGTCATCCATCCCCGGCTGGCCCGCGAGTTCTTCACGTGGCGCGACACGCCCGACGAGCTGAAGCAATACTCCGAGATGCGGTTCTACAGCGGATATGAGCTGGAGGATGTGTATGGCGTCTACGGGGTCGATCCGGCTCAGGGGGCGATGGCGGTGGTGCGGCCGGATGGGTATGTAGGGACAGTGGCTGCGTTGGGGGATGTGTGGCGCGTGGATGGGTTTTTGGGAGGGTGTTTGGTGAGGGTTTGAGGTATGGAGCATATCTAGGCGGAAGGGGGTTAGTTGTGGGGGATAGAGGTGTTTTTAGAGAGTGTTTTGTGTGGAAGGATGTATTTCAGTTACTAATATACCTTGGCGGGCTAGGTGGGTTCAATGAGATAATTGATCTGAATTGATATTAAGTTTGCTCGTTCAGCATACATCCCCCCCCCCCTTTCTTCTGTAACTATCGAAGTATCTTCAGAATATTCACATGAGATTATATCTACTAGCTGGAGGTCGCAGTGCAGTTGACGCTCAAGTTCGAGGTATCAACCTGCCGGATAGAATTAGCGGGAATATCTCATCACTGACGCGCCCAGGAAACTTACATTATCGCAGACAAACTCGTTCGTGTTCTCCGTGCTGACAACGTTGATGTTATCAGCGTAGATGTTGGAGCAGACCTATCGACACAGTAGTCAGTTGCCGTCTCTTGCTTGTACTTTTTGTGACAGGAAGCTGAACTCACATCCGGACTCGAGCAAACAATCGTCCCGACATACGGGTTCTCCGCTCCCGAGGTCTTGCCGCGGAAGTTCTTGAACCAGATGTCTGAAATGGTGAGACTACTCTGTTGTGCGCACGCAAAGATTTATTAGTAACGGCGTCCCCGCGGAACTGTATTGCGAAAAGGGTGTATACGCACCGGGTATTCGTTGCAAAGCGTCAGGTTACTCTGCCCGTAGCACTGAGTCACCTCGATCGCCCAGTCGACGTTGTCAATGTACGCGGTGTCGTACGTGACGTTCTGCACGCGGCCGCTGCCACCACCGCCCTGGAGGTCTTCGGAGAGCGCGGACGAAACGCCAGGCCAGACCTTGATGCGAGCCATGTCCTATGAATAGTCAGCGATCGAGGGCTCGGTGCTGGCGAGGGTACTGCACTTACCGAGGCGTTGTACATGAAGATGTTGTACACGAGAATGTCCTGGACAATGTCGACTTCGCCGGCGTACTGTCCGAGAGAGCCCACCGAAATACCGTGCGAGCCGTTGCAGTGGAGGTTTTGCACCAGGATGTCTGTGCTGTTTGGCTTGAAGGAGACGCAATCTATCGTCGTCGCAGCGATGTCAGAAGGTGGGGACGAGCTGGAGCAACCTCAAAGGGGGGGGGGGGGGGGTTTGGGGGGGACTAGTCACGTACCGTCGCCGTTGTTGATCACAGAGTTCTGGATCACGATGTTGGAAGACCGGTAAGTGTCCCTAGAAGGATACTTCAGCGGACTTCATCCTGCAGTGGCTAGCAAAATCGAAGACCACGTACCAGCCATCCGTGTTCTTTGCTGTCACGGAGGCGTTCTTGGAATAACCAGAGATGTTGATGCCGTCGTAGAGAACGTTGGTCGAGTTGGCGATGAAGTTGTACCATTGCGGGGAGTAGCGCAGGTTCAGCGGGCCAATGGTGCCGCCATTCAACCCGATAATGCCAAACAGAACAGGACGGAGGATGAGATCGTCCTCGGCGTACAGGTCGTACCAGACCTGACCATTACCGTCCAGAGTACCACTTCCATAGACGTTGACATCCTCACCCCCAAGCTGGAAGAAGGTTGTTGCATTCTGAAAGACCTGCTTAAAGGCATTCGCCTGCCAGTAGTCGGTGTCGTTAGTGAATTGAATCGTTCCCTCGATATCTGTGCATTGAGTCAAGTTTAGTTAAGTTTTCGACATGATAGTACAACACACGCAGGGTGTTGTAGAGGTGAGTCAGGTGAAACTCACCGAGATCAACGTGCTTCAAGAAAGTGAGGTCCAACGCGGTGCCGATAATGTACTCCTTGCCGGCGTCGAAGACGACCTTTCCTCCATCGTTGCATTGCTTGATGGCAGAGAGAATATACGCCGAGTCATCGGATCCGTCGCCATGGGTGCGAACATGACAGGTCTTCGTTCGGGATTGACTCGTGGGCAGCGGCTGGAAGGGCTTGTGAGGCGAGCAGGCTTGGTTCCGGTCTCGGTTGAAGCCTTCGACTGTTGCGCCCAGTGCAAGAAGGCTGAGCGCCTGGCTGAGAAAATGCGAAGTCCTCATTGTTTAAATTGCACAGGGATGCAGCTACGAAAAACGCAAGACAATGCTTTGTGCAAGGAGGGGACTACAATGCAGACTAGTCAATTGCCGCGTAGCCTGGCTGTGTTTATATATTTTTTACCATCTCCCTCTGAGACGTGCACAGGCCCGTTACAACACCGTATCTCTCAGGGCGGGGAAGTATCTCACCCGTGGATTTTTGAATCCATCCGGGGAAATGAAAACAGCCGATGCGGAGAGTGTGGAGAAAACGTGGAGCAGCAGCCAAGCCCATGATATAATGGTGATGGCCGGGCCATCTGATAGGAGGGCTAACTCCCGCTGCGATTGTCCGATTGGGGGAAAATTGATAAGTATAAAGTGATGCCAGCAGGAGAGGACCTGATTGAATGCGTCTTCCCCTGCAGTATAGCTGGTCGGGTTTGTCTTCTTCCATATTATCCTGTATCCACTCAAGCAAGTGCCCGCGGTGGCTTGCACTGGTCTGGCTTTTCCCGGGTATCCCTGACGACATTCGGCTCCAGAGACCTGGGGTCGGTACTCCAAATGACACTGACACATCCTGTGATTCACTGTTTAGATTGACCTGCGGGGGATAACGAGGAGTTGCCCTGGAGTTGGGAGGAAGGATGAGTGTTGAGGGGAAATGAAGTGGAGGGGAGGAAACAGATGATCTGAACTCAGGTGGCCAGCTCTGGCACTCCCGGCTCAGTCTATTCTTCATCGGGAGAATTGCAGCCCTCGAATATTCTTTCAGTTGCTATATTGTCTGGGGACATACATCACCGGCCTCTTCCTCAACGCAGCTGGAGGATTGCCAACTTTCAATCAACTAATGTCCTTCTTCCACCCTTGAACAATACACAAAAGTCAATTCCACACCGAGTGGCAGAACACGACCGTTCACAAGCCTCGAAACTTCTTCATTCTAGTCAATTGAAATATGTACAGGCGCAAGAAGGGATAAAAAAGGAAATTCCCAGCGGGGTTCCTCCTTGTCTCCTCGGTCGCTTAGTGGTAAACCATCCGAATGGTACATACACCGACAATCTCATCCTCCGAAGAGACAAGGGGGGATCTAATCTAGTTTTGGTTGAGTGCCCAGCTTACATGATCCCAAAATCCCCTTCTGATTGTGTCCAAAAAGGGTCATTTAGACCGACTTCTTGACAGCGGCTTTGGCGGTAGCAGCCGCAGCCTTGGCATCATCAACCACTTCCTTTTCCAGATCCTTCACAGCCTCAGTGGTAGAGCCATCCAGGCTGCGGCGGTAAGAAACGATACGGCTGACCTGGACAACACCGACAATACCAAGGAAGAAGTTGACAGCAGCAAGCCTGTACACAACATTAGCCACAGCAAGATACCTACCAGAACAGGCATGGATTATGGGTCCACGAATAGACGTACAGGTAGTTCTTAGGAGTGATGATCATGCACCAGCGAGTCCAGATGGCACCGGTGGCCATCAGAGCACCGTTCTGGGTCAGGGACAGCTTCTCGGCAGGACGGCTAAAATCGGAGATACCGGCAATGACGAGAGCCCACTGCAGCGGACAATATCAGCATGAACGTGATGATTTTTTATACAACATGGAGAGGCGACGCCGAATGGGACCTAAGTCCGGTCGTAGAGCGAGGACTCATACCTTCATAACGGGGGCCCTAGCGATTGTCTACGTCAGCTTGATTCTTGATCATTTATGACCGATATTTCCCAATGCATTATAGGACTAGAAGTTCCCGAAGATTATAAGCTCACCAGAAATGCACCGTCTTCACACCGACGGGGCTGTTCCATAGACGCTGGAAAAAGCTCTGTTGCTCGGCCGCGGCGGCATCTGAGCTTTGGAAGCGGAAACCCTGGGCGCCAGACCGACGGAAGGGACCATATGCATTGCGGAAAGCGGCGCGGGAGTTCTGGAAGAAGCGGAGACCGACACGAGATGACATTGTGAAAGATTTGGTATGAAGAAAGACCGAGCGCGGCGGGCAAGGGTGGGTGCAATGGAGAGAGTTTGGAAGGGTTAGAGCGGAGAGTGTCGGGTTAATCCCTAGTAACAGAGAGCGGAGAGAAAAAGGCGACGCAAGGAGAGGCAGAAGGGATCCTTCTTGATAGCGATGACCGTGATCAAAAATTGAACCAGCAAATTCGAGCTTGAAGGTAACGATAGAGCAATGGTAGTCAAGATGAAGCGGCCTCCGCCAAAAGGCCCCGACGTCGGCCTCTGTTGCGGGTTGCGGCTCTTTTCCGGCTGAGGTAAGCGGTGACAATCACGCTTGACCGGATTGGTTCTGCCGGGAGGTACCTCTCAGAACCTCACCCAGCGCGATTCATCGATTAGAGCTTCCAACACGCATTGTCAGTTTTATCCTATCCCCAACTCCAGCCCCCGCTTTTTGACTAACTCGGGCAATTGCTTACCAGCATCCAGTCCTCGTTTGACGATTCTCTACTCCGTGCCCCCCGATCCATCCCGCCCGTTGCGATCCGTCAGCCACATCACAATGTCCTCCAAGTACGCTTTCACAAAGGGCCTGAAGGAGCTGCGCTTCCTTTTCTGCCAAACCTCTCAGGATAGTGCTGCTACCCGGTTAGTCGACTCTGCCGCATTACTTGATTACCTAGAACCTCTCACCTGGCATCAATGGCTAACAGTTGGATTTTCTGGTCTAGGTCGTTCCTGCAGCGCGCCTATCCTACCATGAAGAAGCACAACCCCTCCACTCCTATCTTGATCCGCGAGGCCGCTGGCACTGTGCCCAGAGTATATGCTAGATACGGTATGACCTGACGATTCCACACCCCGAGCACCCCTAGCCCCAAGAGTCTAACTACTAGTCCACATGTGTACAGAGCTCGGAAGAGAGCAGCAGGAAGCCTTGACCGGTAAGACCTTTCGACCCAATCTCAAATTCAGGCGTGACGACTAACGTCATAACCACACTACAGGCTTGACGGATCAGCAGATTGAAGAGAAGGTTACCAAACTGGTGAAAGCGTCTTCATGATCCGTCTCAATTGTTGCGCCCTTATCCATATATTCATGCTACCATGTTTTTACCCACTTCGTCCGCGCTGTACCTATAGATGAATCTGAAGACAACTTGCACCGTAACCGCCTACCCTGAAGGATTTGCAACGCTCGATCGTCATTGAGATTTGTCCGGTCTATCTATCTCCTTTTTAAGAGCTACAGCGAACTAGTACTGTTGGCGATCTCGCCAAATCTATATTGCGCCCAGCTCATACTTCCCTCCTTCAACGTCCACAGACGCCGCCCTCTGTCGTCCCCGGCCGCACCAGCTCCGATATGAATCGGCAGCAGATGGTCAAAGGTCGGATGTGCCTTGCGGGCGTCGGGCCGCTTGAGCAGATCCGCCAACGCCTGCTCCCTTTCCGCCGGCTGGGTCGTGGCCGCGTCCTTGAGCGCCTCGTCGAAGCTGGCGGTATACGGCAAGGGCCGCGGGTCGCCCCAGGAGAACTGCAGGTCTCGCAGATTATGGACTGCCATGCCAGAGACAATGATCAGAATGTTTTCCTCGCGGAGCTTCGCCACCGCCTGGCCGAGGCGGTAGTGCTGCACAGGATCTTCCGAGTCGAACAGCGAGACCTGCACGATAGGGACATTCAAAGGATTCGACTCGGGCTCAAAGGCTACGAAGAAACGGTGTCAGCAGATCAATCCCTATGCAGCCCGTACATACCTTGCCTCTTCCACTGCACCCGCATTCGCCTATTCAGAGGCAAAGGGAAACATACCGCATTTGAAACTCGCCCAGACACCATGATCCAACCCCCTCTTCACACCTTCAGCCTTAATCCCGGCCTCTCCCAATGCGTTCAGCACCTTATCCGCCACCTCCTTACTCCCGACATTCGGATACTTCTCCTTGTAGTAATGACTCGGGAACCCGTAGAAGCTAGAGAGTAGAAAAAAAAAAAGCGTCAGTACGAGCACAACCACCTCCACACAGCCCCCCATTCCCGGGTTCTCAACCACCACAAACCCTAGCACCCTAGCAAGAGGCGGGGAAGACATACTCATAGATCAACTCCGTAATCTCCGCCGTATTCACCTGGATAGTATCAGGCTTCCCCTGCCAATGCGCTGAGAAAACCACCACCGCACGCGGCTTCACCTTCGTGGTAATCTCCCGCCCGATCTCGCCCAGCTTATGGTACGCCGGATGCTGGTGGTCATACATGATATTGGGCTACCACACAATCAGCACGGTACTTTTCTCGGCGAACAAGTGCAGGCTCGCTTCAGGGTATACGGCCTTATATCAAAACGAAAAAAGAAAGAAACTCACACCCCCATGACTTAAGAAGTATACCGGCGTTTTCGTCATAGTGCTCTCGTAACGCTGCTGCTGGAATGCGGCTCGGTTTTGACTCGGGCCGGACGCGACGGCAGCTCGACCTGCTGGTGCTGTGCTGAACAAGCGACGGAATCGATGCAGCGTGGCGCCTGACTCGTCGGTGGTGGTGGTACTTTGGTCGATGGATGGACCCGTCAAGACGCAGCGGGCAAGGGCAACTGCGAGGAGAAGCGCAAGGATGGATATCAACGCGGTAGATGTGGCTTTTCGGTGAGTTGGGGTTGTTTGAGTTTTAATTTCCACTTCAGGCGCGGCTGTTGTAGTAGAAGGCATGTAGTAGGATACCTATACAGATACTACTACTATCATATATGTAAGAGGGTATGATGTACCTTTTTATCTTTAGGGAAATCTCGATCATGCAAATGAGGCTAAAACGAAAAGGGTCTTCAATTCCCCTGAAAGATGGGGTTTATAAGCACAGGCACTGACGCTAGAAATGCTCAAAATCAAAATCAAAACACCCAATCGGAGATGCAGGGACTGGGTGTGTGTGGTTCAAGAAGTACCTAGAACTGTAGAAGATGCGAGAGCAGCAGCCGATTCTGTAATCCAAAGCGCATCCGATCGGGTGGTGACCAATCTCAGGTATCGGGAGTGCGGAATTGCCCCGCGCTTTTCCCGACGGAATTATCTTCGAGCCTATTTTCGTCTCTATAGTTCGTCAGTGACTAAAATCGCTCTAAGAAATCAGGATGAATCTTTTAAACAACAGTTTTTTTTTTTCCATTCCATGAGTTTGGTTGCCTAGTTGCGATACGCCCAAAGAGTGAATTGAGTGCTAGTTATTTATCATAGGTTCAAACTTTTGACTTGCTTAGTACCACACTGGTCGGTTGGATATTCTGGTAAAGGTAAATAATCATGTAGGTCCAATAAGGTTTTTATCAATTATGCCAAATGAGCACGGTCTTCATCCAAGGGCCCGTCGAGTTAGTATGAATTTATTGTAATGGTGGTAGTTGTTATTGTTCGGGATAGTGAATACAGACCGGAATGTCTCAACTATGGTGACGCGCATATCACAAATGTAAATGCAGGCGGGGAATCAACAAGAAGTAACAGATACGTCCAAGTGCAGGATTTCCAAATCATAGCAGAAAGACAGGTGATGAATGTATGAAAGCCCCGATCCAGACCAGGCGCTATGAACATGTGCTGTGACATATCGCTTAACATGATTAAAATGATGTAAGGTTTCATATCAAAAAAAGGAAGAAATCAACCCAAGAAAGGCATGTGGAATATCACATAATGATACAGTCACCCTCGTTTTGCTTCTGCTGGTTGACGGCAGATCGAGAAAGACGTGTTTTTTGCATGCGGGCTCCACCCTGTTTGATTTCCTCGAGGCGTTCACGGGCCTTAGGAAACCCTTGAGCTAGATAATAGCAGAGGCGTTAGTAAGAATACATGAGAAACCTTGGAGTAGTACGTACCAGCTGCGCGCCAATACCAACGTTTCGCGTCATCCAAATTCGCGGCAACGCCGATTCCAACTTCGGTGAAGTAGCCCATTGCATACTCAGCCTTGGCTAAACCAGCAGTCGCAGCCTTTCGTGCCCAGAGATATGCCTCCGTATCACTTTGCTGAAGGATGCCTTCTCCACCGGTAAGATACCATCCACTAAGCGCGAGTTCGCTCTGGTGCTCGCCTTGTGCAGCGGCATGTGTGTAATATATGATGCTCTGCCGAGGATCCACAGGGCAGCCCAGTAGGCCATATTCATATGCATTGCCCAGGTAGAACTGAGAGAACTTGTATCCGAGTTCTGCGGCCTGATGGAACAATTGGCTTGCATAGGCTTCGTCACGTGCAACCACATCGTTGCCTCCGTTGGCATACATCAAGGCCAATTCGTGCAGAGCATGAGGGTTTTCCACGTCAGCGCGATCCGCTGCACGCTTGAGCCAGGCAACTCCCTCGCGGGGATTCTTTGCCTGGCCTAGCAGGCCCTTCAGTAGAATCATTCCCATTTTGTACATCGCGGGAGGATCACCAAGGGCGGCTGCACGTTTATACCATTGAACAGCCTTGAACGGATCTCTCTTGGTACCGCCACCTTCCTCCTGGCCAATCTCACAACACACGGCAACACGATACGCCGATTGGGCGTGCCCCTGCTTCGCAGCCGCGTAGTACAAACCAAACGCTTCCTTAGGATCAACTGGCAGACCCATTTGACCCTGACCGTAGCAATCAGCCAGGTAAAATTGTGCATCAGCATAACCTGCAGAAACCAATTTCTTCACAATCTTGTAACCGTCCATGGTATACTTCTCTCGGGCTTTCGCCTTAGTTTTGGGATCCATTCGACTAGCATCAACCAGCACAGTCGAAGCTTCGACCAGCTTTTGAGCAAACAGCAATTGAGTCTTACGATCATTCGGTTTTGCCTTGACCAACTGCTGTAGGCGCTGCAGCTCTGCTTGCGTAACCGGACCGGACGGTGGTGCTTCGGGTGGGGTGCCCTGCGGTGCTGTTGGGGGAGATCTGGAGTCACTGACGCCCTCGTATTGTCGCATAGGAGCAGGTTTGGCCGCCTGTTCGAGCCCAGGACGAAATGGGACAGGATGATGGGGAAGAGAATCGGGGTTCTGCTGTTCATCCAGCATTTCTGGTTGGTTGACGGGCGGGCTGGGATCCTGGACGTTTCTATAGGGCTGAGATTGCCCATTGCTGTAAGAATCGTCTCTAGCTGCATAACCAGCTTCAGCATCTGGATGCACTGGCCCAGGAGGGCTCCAGTTGTCGTTTCGTTGCATATACGGATCTTCGTACGGATCAAGGTTGTATGCATAATCCGGTTGATCGTGATGATGCGCAGCAGGGGGCGCATTATCACCTCCAGGCAAATCGAACTGGAAACCTGCATTGGCAAATTGATTGAGCGGGGGCGCCTCGCGCGGATCAGGCTCTGGATACGTGTAAGGGTTGCTTGCCGTTTGAGGGCTGAAAGCCGTATACTGGGCCCGATATGACGTAGGCGACGTAGGAGTTGCCTTGACCGGCGGCTGTTCTAAGCCAGGCAGGCTTTCGTCGATGATACCGCCCTTGGCCGGGTCAGGCATAGCATCGAAGTTGGGCATATCAGGCTCCTCCGCATGCTTGCGATTATAATAGCTGTCAACCCATGCTGCGGTGTCAAATCGTTCATGGGAACCTTGCGGTGGCGCGTAGCTAGGTATTTGGTAAGTCGCCTGTCCTGGATAAAGTGGCTTGGGAGGCATGCTTTGTGCGGGTGAGGAGATTGGCAAGGTTGCGCTCCTGTTGATATGGGGCACAGGGGGCGGTTCCTGTGAGTCTGTATATGATCCATTGCGCCGTTCGTAACCGCCTGGGGATGGCCGACCTGTGCTAGCGGATCTCATTGGTGTTCCCGGGGTGTTGCTCCGACTTCTACCCGGAGACATAGCACGAGGAGGTCGTTTAGCATGAGAAGTATGTGGACGATCTGGAATCTGAGTGGGGACTGATGGGCCACCATTCAGATTCATCGCGGCCATTCCGCTTTCAAGACCCCCAGATCCATACTGATCTTGAGAGGCAAATGACGTGTTGATGCTTGGCGGTTGTGGAGGACGTGCTGCAGCTAAATCGAGTATCGTTAAGCAGGCTAGCCGAAAGAAATAGAATGTCAACACTCACGCGGTCTCATCATGCGATCCTGTCTTGGGGGTGGTACTCGATCCTCCGAACCACGTCGGCTATTATAGCTTTGCGGTGGTGGGCCTCCACGATAAGCCTGACCTTGCTCGTCCCTCGGGGGCCCGTAACCCCCGCGCGAAGGCCGCGGTGCACCGCGGGGAAGCGGTCCATATGACCTCGCAACAGCGCCTTCGCCAGGATATCCAAATCCGTGGTTATCGTGACCCCCGTTGGGCAAGCCGCGGTAGTTGTTATCATAGCGACTGTCAGGGTATCCACCTTGTGGCGGGTAGCCCCTCCCACTGGGAGTTGGCTGAGGAGGACCGTAGTTGCGTACGGGCGGAGCCCTCTGTACTGGACGCTGTTGATATGCCATGTTACCCGCGGCAAGCTAACAAACGAGGGAGCGAAGACGAACGAGTGTGCGGGCTGAGGTAGGAAACGCGTTCGTTGGTCACAAGGGGTAGCGACAGATTTGTCTTCCGCGGGCTTGAGATGATTGTATCGTTCGGTCTGTCTCTGTCTAGCTAAGCCGCAGTAGCTTATGAGCAGGAGACGGACCGGGGCGGCTTTGTGCTGCAAGAATTTGCGCAAGTCAGAATAGGAGAGTGTAGCTTGGTCGAAGCTAGTTACGACAATCGTTCAGGAGCTCGATGTGAGATGTAAGATCATTCAACCCGAATGGACGCGCGCGGAGGTATTGAGTTGGTCTTCACTAAGGTTATGGACAATGTCAGTATACAAGCTATCGGCGCAGAAGCTTGCGAATGCGAAGCGCGCAAATGCGCATAGCCAGGCCAACTTACCCCCAATACAAAGAAAGAAAAGCGATCGCCCTCGTGGTATGGAGATGAGACCAGTTCCAAGACCAGACTTGCGAAAACAATGTCAGAAGGGGAAAGAATCCGTCAACTTTAAAAGAGCGTGTGCGACTCCACAAAGAATGAAGAGGACGTAGAAGAGAGAGAAGCAATGAGGGCGGAGGAAGGCAAGAGAAGGAGGTTCAAGTGCGAGTCGCGCAGATGAAGCAGTGAAGTTGAGTGGAAGGAAAAACAGCCGCCCAAGAAAGAGGGGAAAGACGAGAGAGCCCTGGAGGGTCCGCGGGAGGGTTAATTTAGAGACAAGTGAACTACTCCGGAGTCACAGTATGTACTAGTATGTACTGTACGGAGTACGGAGTATATCACAGTAAGTTATCTCAATCTGGGGTGATTAGCACCAAACTACACCCTTGATACTAGAGTGCTCAGAAAGCAAAGCAAAGAAGAGAAAAGGGAAGATAACAAGAGGAATCCAAAGAAATCAAAAGGACCTCCTCTACTCGATCCTTTTTAATCTGTCTTGCATAGTTGATTTGTTTCACGCTGACCGGCACCTGACGCTGAGGCTGGGGGACACCCCCATCCTTCTTTGACTGAAAAAAAAAATAAAAATAAAAAGACCCACGCTGGGTTCCGCCAATCTTCAGGTTCATGTCCCACTTTCTATGCCTTCCCTTCGTCCCTTTGCGCGCCTAAATGTGGGAGATGTCTCGGCAGCGCCGGAAAGTCGCCCGGGTTGATGGTGAGTTGACGCCGATGGGTCTCTCCTTTCTGCTCAAGATTGGAGGTGCAATGACTTCTTGGCATGGCGCTAACCGTTGCTCCACGCCTCGTGGATTACGCCTGCGCTCACCAGAAACAATTGGAAGGAAGATCCTAAGTTACCTCGTCTGAAGCGTCCCCCCCCCTTCTTCCCCTCTCTCCTCCTCTATAAGAGAAGATTGGAGACAACATGCAGTCTTTCATTCAGCGTGGAGCTGCCTTCTTCACGCCCAGTCGGTCGGTTACTCCCAAAGAAAGCCCCCAACCCAGCAGCGATGATGTCGTCGAAGAGTTCAAGCAGGCTCCGGCAGCCGACACGCTCTTTCCCAAGGTCGACCCCGCCGTGGACGGCGAAGAGTGTCTACACGACTGCGCATCCTGCACGGTGAAGTATCCGGCCAAGTTCGAGGTGGATCAGGAGGACAATATGTACGGCAACATCAACGAATGGGCCACTCATGTACTGGTCGCGACCGGCAAGACGGACTGGGTGCGCGATGTCGCCGACGAGCCGGGCAGTGTCATGGAGGCGATTGAGAAGGGAGGACTTGTTCCAAGCAATGGGGTAAGCAAGCAGCTTACACAAAAGAACAAAAGTCACCGGTCTATTTACTGACCGCGGTTTTTGGGGAAAATTAGAAACTCAAGCTCTCCGCCTCGAACATGCCCGTGCCCGACGAGTACCACCACCACGAGCAAGGCCAACAGCCCACTACCGTTCTCCTCCTCCCCAGTTTCTCCGTCATCGATCAAGTCACTCCAGCTCTGGCGCCCGATCTCATCAAGTACTTCGTCAACCCCTCCCCAACGACCACCACACCGTTACGGTTGACCAGCCACCCAACCCCAACAACAACAACCACTTCTTCCTCGTCGACAGAGGACCAACCCACCACCACCGGCCCCGAAACCGAACCTACTCCTTTGACCCTCGACCAAATCCACACTCTCACCCCGCTCCGCTCCCGCCCCTGTCCCCACTCCGCCGTCATCCTCCTCTGCTCGCACCGCACCCGCGACGCCCGCTGCGGCCAATCCGCCCCCTTGCTCCGCAAAGAATTCGAGCGCCACCTGCGCCACCTGAACCTCTACCGTGACCTCGACGACGAGCGACCCGGCGGCGTGGGCATCTACTTCATCAACCACGTTGGCGGCCACAAGTACGCCGCGAACGTGATCATCTACCGTCGGCGCGACTGGGAGTGGCATCTCCGTCAGGAGGACGGCGGTGCTGGTTCCGGCGGTGCCGCGGAGCAAGAAGGCGCGGCCCAGGGCATCTGGCTGGCGCGCGTCAAGCCGCAGGATTGCGAGAATATCATCCGCTACACCGTGCTGCAGGGCAAGGTGGTTAAGCCGGCGGAGCAGTTGCGGGGTGGCTTTGATCGGGAGAGGGGGCTGACTAGTTGGTAGATGAAACCTGCATGGGTTTCGGGATTGGGTTTCTTCTTGGCTCAACATAAAACCTTCTTTTGGATGCATTTAAATATATATATATATATTTTATGTATGTATGTATGTATGTATATTGATATTTGACATATACACTAGATAACGCTCACAATTAGAGGGGAAGAACACGCAAGGCATGACTATATCAGTCTGGCAGCTCTTTTGGATTTATCCACTTTTATCTTTATCATGATCTTCTCCATTCAGTCAGATGTGCCTGGTCCCTTCATTTGATGAGGCTAGAGATTTGTCTGATGGTCGTACAGTACGAAGTTGTGTTGGTACGGTTCTTGGACATAGTAGTAAAGCTGAGATATATACGAAACCTGAAGCTTTCTCCATTGGAGGTGAAGTGAATGTTCGCCCCGCGCTACGGTGTGCGGAAGAGTTTAAATATGTAGTACACCCCTACAGAAACGAACAAGCAAGTCATCACACTAACCATAGCCTTATTCACACCATGCGAATCAACCTTGAAGTTATTTATTTCAATTGAGGGTCATATTTGTACTGTACTATACTGCACTGCCTATTCACAAACCAAACACCACGCTCATATGTGATCCTCGCGTGCGTTCAATACATGTATGTACATGCCGCAAACAAAGAGAAAAACAATTCATCCGAACAGCCAATGTTATTCACCACGGGAAGGATAATGCCTTAGCAAGCTCCTTTTCAGGATTTCTCTCTGCCCCGTAAGCATGCTAAATACATATACTGAGCTCGAAGGCACAATTCGGTAATCGTTCAAGAAAAAAATGCCCAAATCCGAACAATTCAGAATGAGATAAAAGGGAGTAGAAAAAAGGGAATTAGAAACGAAATGCATAATAAAGAAGACAGTGCAAGGTGGCTTGAACTTGGAAAGAGATTTCGACCGGTTCATGGTGGATCGATTTGAAGAAGTAACAAAAAAATTTGATAGACAATAGGCGATCAGTTCTCTTTCTGATGCCTTAGGTAAAGAGTCATACAAGCTGGAGAGGAGAGAGGATGGGGACGTAATAGGCGGGAAGAAGAAAGTGTCAGGAGTAATGATGCCTCGCACTTATTCCTCTGCGGGATTGGCGGCAACTGATGGGGGCTCCTTTGCCTTCGGCGCCGTTATATTGGCAGTCCGAAGGACATCAGGCAACTTGAGGGGAGCAGCTGAGGCTGATTCCAATTTATCGAGCTTTTCGCCCCGGAGAACTTTCTCCATCTCCTCCTTGGTCAAGGTTTCATACTCGATCAGAGCCTGGGTCAGTAGCTCTAGCTCCTTGCGTTTCTCGGTCAGAATATTGGTGGCGCGAGCGCGAGCTTCCTCGACAATTTGTCGGACCTCGGATTCAATTTCCTGTTTCGTCTCGGAAGACAGGCTGTCGTAGTTGGAACTCAAGTCGACATTGCCAAGTTTCTTGGAATAGCCAAACTGAGTGACGAGGGTGAAGGCGGTTTGGGTCGCTGCTCGAATATCCTGCAGTTGGTCAGCAAAGAATGCGGTTTTGGGGTAAGTAGAAAATGAGACGTACGGCCGAAATACCACTGGTGACCTTGTCAGGGCCGAAAATAAGCTCCTCTGCAGCCTTACCGCCCATGGAAACATCAATGTCGGACAAATATTGAGTGTAGTTCTTGGACACCTCGTCCATCTCCGGCAGAAAATGGGTGATACCCAGCGCCATCCCACGCGGGACGATGGTGATCTTGTAAAGGGGCATAGACGATTCCGAGAAGTAAGCGACAAGCGCGTGGCCGGCTTCGTGGTAGGCAGTAAGGAGCTTGTCCTTGTCTTGGATGACACGACTGCGAGCCTCCGCACCCATCATAATCTTGTCCTTTGCATAATCAAAATCTTTTGGCCCAACCTTAGCCTTCTTGTTTCTGCTAGCGTAGATAGCGGCCTGGTTGACAAGGTTCTCTAGCTCGGCACCGGAGAACCCAGGAGTGCCGCGAGCAATGACCGCCACATCAACGTCAGTGCTAATCTGAACGTTTTTCATGTGGTGCTTAAGAATATCCATGCGACCGCGAACATCAGGTAGGCCCACAGTCACCTTCCGATCGAAACGACCAGGACGCGTGAGAGCCTTGTCTAGAAGCTGAGGATAGTTGGTTGCTGCGATGATGATGACTCCGCTGCTCTGGGAAAATCCATCGAGTTCAGTGAGCAACTGGTTCAGGGTTTGCTTCACATAAGCGGCGTCCCTTTCGTTTCTCTTAGCACCGATGGCATCCAGCTCATCGATGAAAATGATAGCCGGAGACTTGCTGCGGGCCTGATTGAACAGCTCCCGAACACGCTTGGCACCGACGCCAACATAGACTTCGTCGAATTCAGAGCCGGACATATAGAAGAACGGAACGCCAGCTTCACCTGCGACAGCACGCGCGAGTAGAGTTTTACCAGTACCAGGAGGACCGACCAAAAGGACACCCTTCGGCAACTTGCCACCGAGGGAATTGAACCGGTCCGGGTTTACCAAAAATTCAACAAGTTCCTGCAGTTCATCCTTGGCCTCATCGCATCCATGGACATCGCTGAAGCGCACGGTCTGGTGTTCAGGCTGGGCTTCGTTGTTTTGTGCGCCCTTGACGTTCTTCAGGAGACCGGAGGTCTCAAGGAGAACGGCGATCATTACCCAAGACGTGTATGCGATGAAAGCCAAGACGATGAAGAACCTCACCCAGCGAAAGATAGTGCCTCCCAGCGACTCCTCCACCACAACGTATAGAGGTGCATCTTTAGCTCCAGTGCCGCTTTGATTTGGTGCCGCGTGAAATTTGCCGTGGGTACCTTTCGACACAACAGCTTGACCGATAGCTTGGATTTGCTCGGGCCGAAGTTGCTGAAGAGGGTCAGGAGTGGATTGGTGGTTAGCGCCTAGGAAGGCAGTAGAGCCATCTGCTCCGCTAACCCGTTGCAGTGCCTTGTGGTATATCGCTTCAGTGGCCGCATTACTGGCAAAATAACCAGATCTGTATCGTTCAATGATGATGGCAGGATGGTTCGCACGTAGGAGAGCCTGATAGAAAGCATTTTGAGCGTTCGCGCTGCTGGGGTTGTTGTTTGCAGTTTTCTCCCTCTGAGCGAGTAAAGCTTGAGAGGGACCTCCGAAAAGGTATCGCTGCTGTTGAAGAGGTGAAAGTCCATGTACTTGCGGGGCGTGGCGGATGCGGTTCGGATTTGCGGTCAGCGTGGAAAAGAAGCGAGATGCGGGTGTGGCGACACGACGGCTAGTGATGGATGGCGAACTCCAAAAGATTGCCGCTGTAGAGTGCAGGTGTTAGTATGTGGCTGCAAGAAGGATCAGAAGCTGAGAAAATGTACTAGCTAATAGGGAGCGAGCCCTTTGGGGTTCTGCCGGCTTGTACAAGACAGCTGATCGAAGAGCCTCGGAAGGTGTTGTAGCTAGGAATTCAGGCAGGGAGATCTGAAAGGTTTCCTGTACGGAAGAGAAGACACCTTAGTACAAAACTTCCCATTGTATATCAACGAAGGTAGGGCAAAGGCATACAATCGAGTTGAGTTCGTGGCTGGTCCGTTGCGGCTGAGGGGCGGCGGCAGATTGTTCAATCTGCTTCCAGGGCGCGCTCAGTAGATTGAGAAGAGAAGGCCAGGCATCGAATGCCACGGCGGCCATACTCTGTAGCGCGACGAAGTCATCAGTTGGAAATCCGATTAATTAATGCAGGAATGTTCAGAATGTCCGTACCGGCCTAGGGATCGGAACTTGAAAGGCCATGGCTAGGCGATGGCGGCACTTGGCCGCTGTCACAAAAGAGTCTTCCCTTTAAGTGGGGAGTAAGATGATGATTTAAAGGCGATTCAGTGCTCAACGAAGATAGAAGCCATCCCCTGCCACTTCAAACAGTCATGTCGATGGGAGAAGAAGATAGCCGGCAATGATGATGTCGGGCCATTCTGATATTCGGCGGGCGGCGAAAGTCATCTGCCGAACGTTGCCACCACGGCTTCAATGGGGTTCCGTAGTCTCGCCGTCACACACATTCCACGTGACGCCGCTGGATTCTCATAGATCGGAGTTTCGCAGTCCAACACGTCTCTTCTTATTATGGTGACTGTATCGTTGTACATTGGGGAATCATGGCAATGGATACGCACTCAATTTCTTCCAGGTATCTCACATTCAAGTGCGTTGACACCTCTCGTGATGATCTTCAGACAGAGATTACGGTATTGTATTTACGACCGATATTGCTACCTGTCAGCAATCCGTGGTTCAGGCTCCTACGAGGTCTTTGACGACCTCTGCTCGTTTGTCTTCGGAGCCTCATCCGGGTACCTAGCTACATAACGGGGTTATGATCCAAGACTGTCGACCTGTACCCCCTTTTTAGCCGCTCCGTTACGGTGCATTTGATCTTCCATGGCAATATCTTGGAGCAATATATCAGTGCTACTATTACCTTCTCCGTGCTCTCCAGCGGAATCATCATCCTTTTAGGGACTGACTGACTCATCGCACTGTCTCGGCATACCCAATGGCCGCGTCTGTCTTTACTAGCGAAGGCCATGCCCCGAAAACTCATCTTTCTCATGGGAGCACCCACGCCGAGAAGCCTTGAGTGGGATGAAGACAAGCTGCTCCAGGAGCCTATCTTCCCTTTCACAGACCAAAATCCTCGTGACGAAGATTCATGGCATCTGGCGGACGCCCACCCTGTGAAATGGAGGCTTTTGCAGGAGCTACGGACATCTGAGTCGTTCCCGGGCTCTTCCAATTCGGAGGGTGGGGAACGAGCCTGTTTCTTAACAACCCACGACCTCACGGCCGATAGAGGTACCTTGGCGGCTGGACAGGAGGGTTTGGCACTAGCCAGGTTCTACGAGCACTCCTTCACCGTGCATGAGATTTCCGAGATCACTACGGCTGGTGTTCGCTCTGGAGATTCCCTCCAAAACAGCGGCTTATGGGCCGACAGTACTGGGAGTTCGATGGCAACAGAGAGCGAGAGAGAGGCGCTGAACCCAGGAATTCTGCCTCATGGACCCGTCATCGACCTCCAGAATATCCCTACAGCCGCATACTTGACTTCCATTGTGCCACAGACAATGACTGTGAATCTTGTGGTGTCAATCATCACTATCCACCCCCCGCGTCGTATCGTAACACGGCAATGGAAGAAAGAATTAGACCTAGTCGAGGTTGTTGTCGGCGATGACACACGAAGCGGATTTGGAGTAACCTTTTGGCTACCTTCCGTGGATCAAGGAGATCATGTTGCAGAGAATCGTAACCCCATCGAAAACGAACTCGGAAAGTCGCTAGCGGCACTTCGACCACGTGATATTGTTCTGATGCGCACGGTAGGATTGAGTTCCTTCCGAGATCGGGTGTACGGGCAAAGTCTGCGGAAGGGAGTCACCAAAATCGATCTTCTGCATCGACAGCGGGTTGACGCAAACGATGCAGGTGGCGTGTACAGTGCAAAGAGGCTGCGACACTTCCAACCACAGCAGGGTCCTGCAGCTAAGAACGAAGAGGATCTACTGGTACTAAAAGTGAACAAGGTGCGCGAGTGGATCAGACAATTCGCGCCGGATGCGGGAGGCGGTGTCAATGGTAAGGGGCCGCTAACACGTGGTCGTCTGTCTGGAAAAGCCCCCAGGCATAACGTACTGCCTCCAGATACGCAAGAAGTATAAATAAAACTTCGGCAACAGTACGCTAGGTAAGGGCTTAGGAAGCTGGAAAGCGCTGAGTCTTTACAGGGATGCGCTTTAGCTCCTGCACATGACTTCAATGGCTGGTAACACAAAAACGGGAAGAAGTGTCTGCTCTTACAAGCAGGGAGAGATGCATGGGCGATCGGACGATCCTGAAGCTTGGGATTGGGGACAGAGGCGCGAATACGATTATGCTTCCTGCAGACACTCATGGCCTCATTGCGACTCTTGAGGTGATACAGCGACAAGCGGATTGGGGAATGCAACCCGAGGAAGGTTGAGCAGCATCCACCTGCCGAGATACGAGGGAGTATAATGACGACTTCCGCTGTTGCCCATGCTAGTGACCTTTGCAAGTGACCAGATTGTTGCATTGAGTTGCATAACAGTCATAATACGGATGGCAGATCATAAGAAAGGAAAACAAGAAATGAAATCGCAAATATCCTCATTGATTTGTTCGAATTGAATCAGAAGATACAGAGCAATACTGTGTAATCCAGGGGCAAGAATAGACATGAATTGCCCCACGCAGCACCTGATCCGGCCGCAACTACTTGGACTAGACCTGAAACCGTACGCTAATTACCGGTACGGAACTGGTTTTTGAATGGTTTGAATGGGGGGTGGCGGGCTGGCCGCAAACGTGGATGTTGAAACGCCAGCCAGCCAGTGGTCCGTCCGGGGGGGGGGGGAGAAAAGGGTGGTGGTGCCTGGATTAGTTAGTGGGCAGTGGGCACGGCACTAATTTTTGCTACGCTCAGCGACACCTTTCGTAGATTGGCATAAGGCTGCCCACACCTTATGGAGTACGCACTGTGAGCCTGTATTAAGGGGTGCACTTGGGGGTCTCTCATCATACAATCTGGATACACGTACCGTGCTCTCGTTACAGCAGCCCCCCCCCCCCCCCCAAAATCCGCCCCTCCATAGTTAGTCGTCAAAGTCACAATAGCCAGGTGTTCTCCTCTTCTTTCTACTCTTTCTTATAACTCAATTTCCTCTCCTTTTCTAAAACCGCTCCCCCTCCTCCTTCCCTTTCCCTCCCCCGTTCATTCATTCTCTTCTCCGATCCGATTTAACCCCCAATCTAATTACTCTTCTTCGTCTACTCGGCCTTGTTGGGTCTTACTTTCAACCACTTTCGAAACATCTTCCTCGACCTATCTCCTTTCCTCGGCCGGGTTTCACTTCTAATCCTTTGTACTTCGCCCATACTCTCTCTGCTCCGGTCACTCGTTTGGAGCAAGTTCCTCTTCTCCAAGCAATTCCTGCCCCCTTTCGCTCTAATACCTACACACAACCACAATCATGAAGGGTATGTATAGGTCTATAGATAGTGGCTCGGCCACTATGCGCCCGTCGCATCTGACTGATCACATTCCTTAGCTCTTATTTTGGTCGGAGGTTTCGGTACCCGTCTGCGTCCCTTGGTGAGTACCTCTTCCCCGCTGACGATCGTGACGCCGAACATACCAATGCGATCGGGATTTGTGGAAGTTGCGCCTGCTAATCTTCTATGTCTCCATAGACCTTGACGCTTCCCAAGCCGTTGGTGGAGTTCGCCAATCGGCCCATGATCTTGCACCAGGTCGAAAGCTTGGCTGCTGCAGGTGTCACGGACATCGTCCTGGCTGTCAACTACCGTCCCGATGTCATGGTTGCCGCTCTTAAAAAAGTATAAATATCCTCCCCAATCGCTCGAAGACGGCACGCTTACACCAGATTCCCGAGTTAGTACGAGGAACAATACAACGTCCGAATTGAGTTCTCCGTGGAATCCGAACCTCTGGGCACCGCCGGTCCCCTGAAGCTGGCCGAAAAGATCTTGGGCAAGGACGACACACCATTCTTCGTTCTGAACTCCGATATAATCTGCGACTACCCCTTCAAGGAGCTTGCTGAGTTTCATAAGAGCCATGGTAACGAGGGTACCATTGTCGTCACCAAGGTGGACGAGCCCTCCAAATACGGTGTCGTCGTTCACAAGCCGAATCACCCCAGCCGGATCGATCGGTTCGTCGAGAAGCCCGTTGAATTCGTCGGCAACCGTATCAATGCCGGTATCTATATCTTAAACCCCAGTGTGCTGAACCGCATCGAGCTGCGCCCTACCTCTATTGAGCAAGAGACCTTCCCCGCCATTGTGAAGGATGGCCAACTGCATTCCTTTGACTTGGAGGGCTTTTGGATGGATGTTGGTCAGCCTAAGGACTTCCTTAGCGGAACCTGTCTCTACTTGACGTCCCTGGCGAAGCGCAATTCCAAGCTGCTTGCCCCTAGCAGTGAGCCCTACGTCTACGGCGGAAACGTTATGGTCGACCCATCCGCCAAGATTGGCAAGAACTGTCGCATTGGCCCCAATGTTGTCATTGGTCCCAACGTTGTGATCGGTGACGGTGTGCGCTTGCAGCGCTGTGTTCTCATGGAGAACAGCAAGGTCAAGGATCACGCATGGGTCAAATCTACCATTGTCGGATGGAACAGCTCTGTTGGTCGGTGGGCTCGTTTGGAAAATGTCACAGTGCTTGGTGACGATGTCACCATCGCTGATGAAGTTTACGTGAACGGTGGCTCGATTCTGCCTCACAAGAGCATCAAGCAGAACATTGATGGTGAGCTCCTACTAGGAACCATGAGTTCTTGGATCATGTCACTAACCGATCCCTTTCGAAACAGTCCCTGCGATTATTATGTAAAAGTCCCTCTTCACGTCGCCACGCCTCTACTCACCTCTATAAAATCCGCCCTTCTCCCCCGATGCTCAGACGCGTTAGAAATTCGTGCTTTGCGCATTACCTCCATAAGAGCAGTGCCGAGCCTTGGCCCCATGGCTCTCCTTGACGAATCATAATATACCTGGATACAATGCTCCCCCGACCTTCCGAAGAATCTACCTTCTTGCGCTTACTTCTTTGTTGTGCTGGACCGACTTCGCATGCTAGAGGCCTTGATGGTGGAAGCGTGTCTTATTCGGGTTTGTACTTCTGTAAAACCTACTAATCTCATTTCGTGGTCTTTTGACCCCCTTTGACTCGCTCTGGTTCTATTTCTACGTTTCCGACTACCAATTCTCGCAAATTTTACATTTTGATCCTCTTTTCGACTTCACAGCTGCTCTCAGCCAGTCGTTTCTTCTCTGGTCCAGACTCAAGTTGTTCCTTCGCCTGTTTTTCCCGTTTAACCACTTTCTTGGCCATGTTTTTGGGTGGGAAGGAAGAAGGGTGAGCACATGGACTAATACTCTATCTGATTTTAATGACGTATGTGGACATGGGTTTCAAGGAATGTAAATAAGGGGAGGCAAAGAATTCAGAAAATCAAAAGCACAGAAGAATATATTGTCGTGAATGCTCTTGCTCAGACACCGTAGTGACTTGTCCCGATCTCGTTTGGTTGTATTAAATGTAACAGTATTTATACACTAGAAGTAAGAATCATATGTTTAAGAAAGGTCAAATCACCAAAAACCCTCCCTTCTTTTCGCCGCGTTTCCCTTATTGTTGGGTGGTGGCCGCCATCTGTGCTTCCTCCCGATCCAGAATCTTCTCCCACTGCACGCGCAGCTCCTCCATCTGCCGCCAGCACTGGCGGCCCAGCTCCTCGAACGCGACCCGCTCCTCGGCCGTGAGGTCACGCGCACCACGCTTGCGGCGCCGCGTACGATCCGCCTCGACAACCGCCGGTCCGGCCACGCCGCCGTGGCCCCAGCCGTCCATCTCCGTCGAGATGACGCTGTCGCGGCCGAGCCGGTCGCACGAGGATCCCCACTTGACGCGCCCGCCTCCATGCGCGCGGTAGGGCTCCTCGGCGGCGTCCAGCTCGGCCTGGCTGCTCAGCGCCAGCCACACAGGCGCGCAAGCCCCCAGGTACGTCCACATCGTGTGCCAAGGGGAGCCCAGCAGGCGGGCGAGCCAGAAGGCGGCCAGCATCGCGTAGATGAGCGGGAGCGGGAGCGGGAGGATCGCGGTGCCGCAGATGCCCGGATGGGCGAGGTAAGTAATCGGTTGTGCTGTTTTTGTTTCGTTTTGTGCAGTGGATTTTTGACGTTTGGGATCGCACGCGTAGAACGAACTGGTCCAGGGGTCTGTGGCCGGGAGGTCGGCGGTCAGGGCGAGAATGTCGGTCAGGGCTTTGGAGGATTCATAGGGAGTGGCGGTGCGGAGGCCCTGGAGGTCTTCCGGGGAGAAGTACTGGAGGGTGGCTTCAATGCTGGAGACCCAGATGATGCGGCTGTGGGGCGCGGAAGAGGAGTGGAGGAGAGGCATTAGGTTATGTGCGAGCATGTAGTGGCCGAAGACGTTGGCGCAGAAGACGTTGCCCAGACGGGGTTCCTCTTCTGGAGCAGTGGTGGTTTGCGGCGCAGTGAGCAGGCCGACCGGGGCGATCTTGTAGGCCGGCCACGAGACCGTGTGAACAAGGTCCGTCAGGACCCCCCAGACGGCCTGGGGCCAGTTGAGGCCGGTCCAACCGCCGATGCCGGCGTTGAGGATCACGGCGTCGAGCTTGGGGAAGGTCTGCGTGAGGCGCCGCGCGCAGGCGCGCGTCGACACCAGGTTGGACAGGTCGACGGTCTCCGGGGTGAAGGTGATGCGGGCGCGGTGCCCCGGGTGGGATTTGGTGGTTTGTTCGAGGTGAGATTGCAGGCGCTGCTGGGTTTCAGCGCCCTTCTTGGTGCTTCGAGTGGTGAAGACCACGGTGAGGCAGCGGTGGTTGTTGGAGGGAGACTTGAGGAAGTCGTCGACGAGGCGGCAACATATTGAGAAGCCGAGACCGCTGGATTTCAGATAAGATTTGTTAGTCTGTAGTTCAGTTTGAGGGAAGAGGAATGTGATGCTGTTGTTGCTGGTATCGTCCTGCCTGTTGTGTTCTTTGTTGTTGTCGTTGCTCTTTTTCTGGTGTTGGTACGGACAAGGGGCCAGGGGAAGCTTAGGGTCACAGTACTAGCTGTGCCATTGGACGGAAAATGAGCTTACCTGTTTGTCCCGGTAACTAGAATTATCGAAAGATTTGCTAGATCTTCCTCGTGGGCGTGATTGGCCATGATGGCAGCTTATTCTGATGGAAAGCGACCCAAGGCTGGGGGCTGGTGAGGCACGACGAGGTCCGATCATTTTGCCCGCATTCGCGTTGGTTGCTGCGCCGATAAGCTCCCTGCTTACTAAACCACAGCTTATCGTAATTTAGTTACCTCTCAGGTGATGCAGAGTCATGTGGCATGGAGCTTGACAGCCGTTAATGCCTGTGGTGTTGACATTGAGCAATACGCACTACTACTGAGAAGAATTCGGTGGGCCTCGGTTATGACACTGAGCTTGCTCGTCTATGCTTACCCTTCGTTGTCTGACTTTTGCATCCACTGAGGCATGAGATTCAAGCGGAACGCTCCCTCTCAACTCCGCCCAGTTAGCCATCAACACTATCACCGTCAGCACGAAAGATCTTCTCATTGCAAGTGAAACCTTTCGCTGACAGATAAACCCATGCGACGAAAGATGCATACCTATTCCAGCTCGGTTCTCCTTCTACCAAGCACGACGAGTCAGATGCAAAGCCGCGTTGGGGGGATAATCCCAACACCTCCACTCAGTGATGAGGTTACCAGGCGGTTAGGTTTGATCTACTGATAATCCAAGCTCCTTCGGACGCTGATTAATGAGGACTGTCGATTTGATTGAGGAGAGGAGCCGACCTAGTCTGGGGCTGGGTCGTATTCATCCTTTGGAGATGGCCAAAGCGTCCGCTAACTTAAACCTTCATACGACGATATGGAGCCGCGCGCGATGGCATGGCATGGCAACGCCATGGCCATGAGGCTATTGTGACCGACTCACTCCTGCTCTCCCTCGGCAGTGATCTGTCAGCATGAAGGATTCTCTTCCCATGAAGGCCACAAGGCGGAGAAAAGAAAAGTATAACCAACGAATCCTGACAGGCGGTTTGTCTTCCTAAAGCAGGGAGTTGGGCGGCAACAGCTTCGTCCTAAGAAGTCAAATTCTTGAACCATGAGACGAAGTAGACAGTTGGTCTTACAGGCTTTGTCTTCATTTCCTTCTTTGGGTCGCAATAGACGACAGCTTATGGATGATTCCTGGATGACCGTTGAGGCACGGCTATAGTCGGCTCCTCAGTATGGATGGAGAAAGGGCTGGGCTGGCCTGATGGTTCACTCTCTTCGCATATGATCTCTCAGACTGGCGTTCTCTAAGGTTTGTTGTGTGTGTAAGACTGTTGCAGCCGGGCAAGCTGCATGGAAAGAGTGAAGAATGTCTCCGCTCCCTGGAGAGGCAGATGACAGGAGGCTCAACGGCACATCTGAGCACAGTCCCCCTATCGTTGACAGCTTATACTTGAGTTTTGGTTGCTATCATTACCCAGCTGGGCAGCGAATTCATGCTTCGTGCAAAGAACGATTATTGATGCTGGACGCCGATGAAAAGGACTGGCCATTATCTCGGGCTCCATAGACCCGTCGAGTAATTGACCCAATGTGCTGCCGTCAGCCGTTTCCAATCTATCCGACAACATGATTTCGGAGAACCTGAAGGAGGTGAGAACCATACAGCGGATGGGCTGTAAACGAGCGACCTTCACTGGTCAACCCGGCCGGGTGGAAACGAGGCCCAGACAGGAGTATGTGCAGGGTAGCCTACTGGACGTACAGTGAGACACAGCCACTGCCTCCGAGGGTTCGTTAATGACTTAGAGTTCATCCAAAAGATCAATCAGATCATTTTTCTCCAGAGAAACTCGACTTGACAACTTCCACCAGCGTCAGCTGCTACTCCAGCAAGCTGGCCTTCGCGATAGCGGCGAATACCGAACAAGGAAGGAGTCTTCTGAAATGATCATGGATATTTACAAGGTTACAAGTAGGATCTAATGGATAGAATAGTGTATCTGCTGCTGCCTCCACGCTGAAATTGATTCAATGCAAGCGAGCCGACGTAGTCGCTCCAATCGACGATTTGTTGGTGATCGCCTCCTACCTCCGTCTCGTTCTTCCATTCACCCACATCCATCCATCCACGGCGATATCCGCAATCGCCTATTTCAGACCGTATTGGGACCCGCGCCTGCAAGGGGGTGGGGAGGTGGAGGGGTGGGCTGCTAATTGGAAATTAACTAAAGGAAAAAAAAATAAGAAACCAAAAATATAGCGCCTCTGCTATTCCCTTTCCTTCCCCTCGCCCACCCCACGCTTATCCGGGGTCTGCTAAGCGTCGCTAAAGCCGAACGAGAGCGATCGTTAGTAGGGGCGGATGGAATTTACGGAGTAGATATCGCCAGACCAACCCAAATCATACCGAGCAGAAACGGTACCGAGTAGATGACTGGCGACTCACCGACACTTCGCATCGCGATTTCCGATCTAATCGAGGATGACCTTTTTCCCCCACTCCCCTCCCCCGACCCACCTCCTCCTTTCCTTCCCTTCCACAGCCTACCACAAGGCCAGATTGCCGGGGAACTCTTCCCTTAGTCTTCAAGTGATGGCGTCGCGGCGGTGGAAGTGGGAACCGCAACAGTTGTTCTGGATGGCTGACCAGAGACGAATCACATTCTTCCATCCTTGAAGGCCCGCTTTCTTGGCCCTCATAAGGCTAAGGTAGGTAGCTAGACACTAGAATTACTAGGTACTATTCATCGCGATCACCGTTATTCCCATTCATTCGATTGCTGTCTCCATTTGAGATTCGGTTGGTGATCAGTAGATACTCAGTATACAACCGTCTCCGCCCCTCATCCCTACTATTCTACCTTGTGGTTTAGGCATAGAAAGCGTGCGTGGCCACAGCTCGCATTGACAGGGCGTTTCATACGTCAATGCAAATCGGAGATTTTTTTTTGGCTTGGTTTTAGTTTCTCTGGCCACTAGCCACTCGCTAGGCATCACTCGTCCCGATGGCGCCAAACGCATGTAGTGCATGTCTAGCATCATCCGAGAGGCGACCGCGGCTGCAAAGTCTAACGCGGCTTTCGCATCAGTGCTGGTTCTCCGAGGGATCTCTGAGACTCTCTGGATTCGTTTCGTGTCAGTAGATTGCAATCCGATGAGACACAGCGGAGAGGTAGCTCATGCTGCATATCCCACTACGGGATTTGCACAGTGCAGGACCGCGAGATCCGCATTGGGAGATGCAGACTCGACTTATCGAGGCCCAGTTGAGAGAACAACGCTATACTATGGGCTGGAATACGGTTCCGAAATGCGGCCCAGAACCACTTTGCTGGAGACGGCTGCGAGTCATTTTGCTTTGATCCAATAAAATCAGGCAAGTTGAGGTGCATTTAGTGGGGACGGTCAATGGGGACAGGTGACGGCAGTGGAGTCATGTTGTTTACCTCGTCTTCTTCTTCTTCTCCTGCTGCTGCTTCTTTTCTTGAGTTTTCCTCTTTGAGAGGGTGAGTGTATATCGCAGCATGGAAGGTTTATAGTATCATGTGATGCATATCACCTCAATCCCCTTTGGCTAGAATTGGGGCGGATGGGCAGCAATGCAATGAGAGCCAGTCAGCATGTTTTGCCTACCTAGCCTGAGGCCTGCAGCAGGGTAAGCAAGAGTGTCTCTCTCATGATAGGATGGGATGATGCACTTCCTGCTATTGTTGTGCATTCGCACTTGCTCAACCCCCTCGCTTCAACTTCTAATCTTCGTTTTTCAGCCTTGTTTCTGATATGATGGTTTATCTTGTGATAGACGATAGACTCTGGCAAAAGAATCCACTCCATTTTTCCCTCGCCCATCGCGCGCTCTGGTAAAAAGTGAATCTGTGAATCTCCCGGAAATGCGGGGTATTGATTGACCCGTCATGCATTGAGAGCCATCCAACCAATGGAAGGATGTCGGCATGTGCTGATAAGGGAGGAAGCAGAATGAGAACTCGCTCCGATCAGAATCGGTCAGAGTGGTAACTAAGTAGGTTGAAAATATAGGGATTAGTCAGTTAGGTAGTTGAACCCCACTTTCAAATAGTGCTGGTATACACAGTATACAAAGTTACAGACAGTAGTTGATTTAGTATCATCCATTTGAAGGTAACACCAGGTAAGTCGTGCATAAACCCAATCCCTCCCCCCTTCCCTCCAATGAAACCCCCGGTTGATCGGCCAGCCAGTTAATGGTGGTAACGAGGGTTAAGGTCCTGGGTCACTCAGTAGCTGTGAACTGTTGAGACCATCTTCAAGCTCTTTCTTGCCCTGTTGCACTAAGCTAGTAGCTAGCTCACGTACTACTGTAGTCTCTGGTCTCACCCGCTTGGCTTCTTTGGCCATAATGCGACGAGGCTGGGGTCCAGGATCATTGTTTTCTGAATAACGACTCGCTGATTAGACTAGGTCTAAATTAGTTGGCGCAACCATGAAAATTACTGTGGCGGGGTTAGTGTGTTCTACTGTTCATTACCCGCTCTTCCGCGACCGCCGTTATTCGGTCCTGCATCGCCATCACATCCCTCTCGCAACCCTCTCTTTCATTTTTGAACCTCCCAATTCCCTCATTGGGGCTAGTAGGATCACGAAACCTACTGGCATTTCAACACCACCACCTCAATTCCCTCTCATTCCCCCCCTCTTGAGTTCGGCTAGCTTATGCATTGAAAAGAGGTACAGTACGGAATACTACTTACTGTACATCGTTTTATTTGGCCCCCCGCCTGCCCGATTTCAATCGAGAGATCGCTCGTCTAAGGAGACAGCTATGGTATTGGTAATCCTCTGGTAACGAATGGTACGATACCAGGTACTAGCTAGGTAACTAGCACCTAGTGATAACTGGTAAGTACACATGCCTTCACGCACATACACATGATGTCCTCCGGCTGCGACGGGAGACAGCGCCCAGCACAGTAAGATTGGAACCAACGACCAGGTACCTGGGTTTGGTGCCGGATGCGCTTACTACCTGCTAAATGACCTAGGAATGTCACTAAGAGTAAGTAGCTGCTAGTCTACAGTCCACTACTGTGTACATTAGCTCTCAGCTGCATGATGTCATTCTTCTTCCCACTTCCTTGGCCATCATGACAAGGTGATTCTGTATACTGAGTTTCACACCACAGAGTAACTACGGAGTAGCTACTAGTCAGTAGCTGTAGCTAGTGCAGTTCGACCTAACTGACGCACCCCTGTGATCATCCTTGACTTCTCCCTCCTCGAATCATGCTGGTTGTTCTGCGATCCCTGTAATTTGAGCTGGCTACCTAGCCAGTTATTTCCCCGATCATGCCCGTCTGACGAGATGAGTAGGAAACCTCCGACCTGTCGACAGGCGGCGACGACCGCACTTTCGATCCATCCAACTGTCATCCCCCAGAGTAATAATTTCAGGCATTAAGAATGAGATGTCGGCTTTCTCTCCCCGCCTGTGAGAAAAGAGAAAAAGGCTTCCTTGCGCTGGTTTCATCTTGTTCTTTGAGGGTTTTCTGTTTTCTGCGTCCACATATACCTTCCATGACCTACAATTCTAACTATAATGTCCTTTCTGTTAAGTTCTTTGGAGTACATTGTTGTTTTTTTACCCCCACGCTTTCTTTGCCGGTGGATAGGATCATACACTGGTCAGTGGTTACCCTCCCCCAACAATCACCCACCTCAAGTTCGATGTCTAACTCCGTACCTATCCGTGATTGAACGCCGATGCTTTTGATCTACCCTGTCCGAAGTTATCACCTTTGGAGTCAGATGGGCTTCCCAAGAAGCTTAGCACACTCGGCGTCGCTATAATTGCAGCCGGCGTCAGGAGCTGCCCCCGAATCCCGCGCTTTTCATTAACGGATAGTCTTTCCAAGGTTGAGCGGTGGGAGGAATGGGGGGATGGAGAACAAGATGGGCAGACCCGCTACAGTCTACTGCATGAGATAGTGGCATGGCCCTCAATAACCCCATGTCAGACAGGAGATGGGGCGGGGGGAAGTCGGGTTGATGGGGATGGTAATGGAGTCGTGGACCCATTTGGAGACTCTAACTTAACCTATTTCTCGTCTTCGGTAAGCCTTTTTTGCGATCGAGCAACCACGCAAGGCAAAAATTGTGGATCCAATTTTTTTGCGGGAAATTCTTGCGATTTACATGTTGATATCTAGTTGGAAGGAAGTAGATAGAGATGGAGATAGAGGTCGGGTGGATCTCGCTCTTCTCGTCTGTTTGAAAGATTGTCTTGACTTAAGTGGTTCTGTACGGAGTACGGAGTAGAGAACTACAGTAATGTATGTACATACAGTACCTACTAGCTACCGGTAGAACACGAATAAACCCCGGAGGTCATATGAAAGGGATCTCGAAGATTGACAGAATCTGGCCGGTGTCATCGTTTTTTCTCATTTTCTCCTCATTCCTGGTAGATGAGTGATAGTGAGTGATCAATCCATCTTAAGGAACTGTGTAATCCCCTTGTGATAGGCCCACTCTTTCTCGCGTAAATTATCCGGGGCGGCGGGAGTGGTGGCACCCCGAACATCCTAAATCCAAGTACGGAGTAGTTGTAAACTATGTAAGTTACAGACTAATTGGCCTCGTCAAGTGATTGCTTGGCTGCATACCTTACTGTTATGAGGAGAAAATCCTCCAGTTCGTGGCGCATCGGTTGGAGAACAGTCAAGCTCCTGGCGTGGACTCTAATCTTCTCCCTTCAGAGCCGATGACAACCCACTCACCCACTCCGAGTGAGGAATACCCCGTAAAGGGGGGTAGGGTGTCTTACCTGGATCCATGGCGTCGGAGTTAACCGCTGATAGGGAGCTTCAGATGACCCTCTCTGTCGCTCAGATTGGTTAGTCAACCTATAATCGATGACGGCGGCGGTGGTGGTGCCAGCCGTGATGATGCTGATGATGATGGTTCAGGTCGTGTTTGTCTCCCATGTCTATCGCTCATCTACAGCATCCAGTCGATAACAAGCCTCAGGCTCTGACGAGATCTAGACCTTTTCTTGCGGATCCAAGGGATGCCGCCGTCATGGGCCAAGGAGAAAGAGGGCGGAGGGGCAAAAGCAATACGAGGATAATAAACTCGATAACGACAATCGTTGACCAGTAAGCCGGAGAATCCTCATCATCATCCTAGTCAGGTAGCTTGCTCCGTGATATTATGATTACAGCAGGAATCACGAGTGTGAGAAGTACTATTATGTACTACCTGGGATGACTTAAAAATGAAAGTATGTCAAGTGATTGGCCTTAATCACCCACTTGTCGGACGCATAGAGTTGACTCCCCCAGGAACACAACCTCCCTTTGTTCAGGAAGGGACAGACATTGCATGCGACCGGCTCCCACTTCCGACCAGGGTATACCGACCGGTAGGTCGAAGGCGGGTATATAATATGATATGCTATGGGTATGATACAAAATCTAAGAAAAGAATCAGGCAAAAAGTCTCCGAAGGCAATGGGTAGTTTGCCCGGTCCATGCAAGACCCCCGCAAGCAACGACCCAGAATGGCAAGCACTTCGAGACGAGTAAGGTAGGCAAGTTCAAGAAGGAGAAAGGTTCGGAAACTGCAGCAGAAGGATAGGCGAGGGCTTATTTGCTGAACCCACGAAGTAGACAGAAACTTTATCTCTCAAGCGACGACGATCTATCCAGTGCGTCTTGCCGATGATTGTTTGCACGGGGTATGGTATGATTCTGATAGCATATGCACACTACACAGGAATTATACAGGAACTATGTACAGCATATTGCTAGTGATGGTGGTCAACTCTCAATCCATCCCTCATGCTAGGGGGACAATCTAAAGTTGCAATATTTCCGATAATTCCCACTCAATCAGCTCTACATTAACACGTCTATTCATATGACAGACTGACAGTGTCTCTCTGTCTCTGTCTCTCCGCGGCCCCCCGCCCCACCAATGGTCAAACCTTAAGTGAGCGACAGATGTGGGCGGCTCGCTCCCTTACTCAAGAATGGCAACCGGTCTTTGTTTCATCGTCGGTCCATCATCCCTTGATATAACCCGCTGTCATTATTGGGAATGGGCGGCATGCGGGACGAAGGATCCGCCCAAGTTCAGGTATCGAGGCTGGATACTACACAACTTACATATCTTACTTACCTCGAAACAAAAAATCACCGAGCTCCCCCCCTCCGCCCACCCCACACTTCAAGCCTCAAACCCTTGTCAACTTTCTTGTTCGATCATCAACAACAAATGCAGACTGTCAGATCTGGGCCATGTGGGATGGTTCACTGGTGTCATAAAAAAGGTTGAATTATTGATGACAAAGACTCCGGCAAGGTTGGTGAACACGCAAGCTCCACAAATAGAGAGCTACGCGCCGGAAAACAGCCACAATTAACGCCTCTTTGCTGGTCTGTTTGCTACAAATGGCAGTATCGTCCATGAGATGATGACGGCTATCGAATTGATTCGCGGGCAGAAGTATACCTAGTAGCTTATTCCCGCTTATCACAATGTTGTGAATAGTCACGCCGAAACAGGCGGGAGGATAGCAGACAGGGAGTCAGAGCAGAGACCATGAGAGCTTGTTCACCGAGCCGCTGCTGGCTAGTCCTGTCCCCCTTATTGGAAAGGAGTCATTTCAGGTAGTAGTTAGTCTAGCTTGGAGGCATCGACTGACTCATAGAGCTGACGGGAAGAGTTCCTTACTAGGTACTCACAAGAGCTCGCATCACTGGGGGGATGGGACAGCGGGCAGATGGTTTTGGAAGTCCGCCACGTGGAAGAATGGCATCTCCAGACTCTCCCTCGACCGATGATAAGTCCCAAAGGTGCTGCAAGGATAATGATCGGAGTTAGAGGATTGTTAGTGTTTCACCTGGATGGGCTCAATTTAGTAGCACATCATAGCTGCGGCGTCATAGCTGCGGCGGTAAGCCGTGGCGTTTTCGGTTGCGATTGTTCTTAATCCTAGCCTTAGGTAGTAGTTTATGTTTACACGATAGGGCCAATCGATTATGCCAAACGGAATCATCTGAATCGCTTGCGTCGACTGTAGACCATCCCATCTCCGTCCCAACACATCTACTGCCTATTTGGGCAAGGTAGGGGCAATCCTGGGATGATAGCAATGCGGACCGATGAAGCAGGGCGGTATTGTAAGGAACCACGGCCCACCCCCCGGCTCTTTCATCCGATGAAATGGATGGATGAATGATATCTTACCAATCCTCGAGGTGGAGGGCTGCGCTGGACTAGCTTTGAATGCTTCTCCAGATACTTGGCCCAGGGAAAGAGAGAGGGAATCCCGCACACAGATCGGGGAGTCGTTGCATCGCTTGCTACCCTATCCCTTGCTGATTTTTTTCCGGCCTGTGTTGCCTGGTCCGTCACTGCATTCTATGATTCCCCGTGTTTTTCTGGTTCTCCTGTCCGGTACGCGCTGCTAGCGGTTTGTTCCGCTTTCGAACCAGGCTACGGAGAGCTTTCTGGAATTAAATTCCAGCTTCATCGCGGGGAAAGGTGATTGGCAGTTGTGACTTTGAATTCGATTCGAAAGACATACCTTACTGGATCGATACTGCTAGCAATGAGCGAGGAAAGAGAGCGATACGGGCTAGAGAGAATGAATGGTATTGTCGGTACCAGCTGGATACATTCATCGACCTAGCTTGTCGTTAGTCCGCACCCTAAGCATACGGCTGTGGTACGGAACAGGCTGTACCCCGACTTACTGCTCGCTGTACTGGAGTGAGGTCTGCTGTGAGACTTCCCCGATTCCCGTTTATTGTCTGCAGTCATACGATGATCCCCTCAGCTCTGTTGAAAATGGTCGACATTGCTGTTGACGGCTTTCATTGATCGGTGCAGGAATGGCCCGTGATTGCCAATAGCACGTTTGCCTGGCTTTGTTTATATCAAACTACAAAGTAAAAGGTCAAATTACACTGCGCGAACTGGTAATAACATTACAGTACATTATGGTACCAAAGGGTAATATAAACTTACACACTAACGCGGGCGACTCCAAATACTAGTGTCGAAGTCCAGATTGCATCTTTGAATGCAGGCTGCTAACCCATCTGCAGACTAGTGGGTTGTTCCAAGGCCAGCCTGCGGTCTTTCGCATCTTGATTGGTCGAGTCTATATACTAGCCTCTCAGCGTCTTAAGGCACAAGCGGATCCGGTGGTGGGACTTTGGCTATTCCCCTCTCTCTCGCTCTTGCCGTTCTACGGACGTACTCACTTTTCTGCCCTCTCTCCTGAGTCCATCCCGGTCTTCTTCTTGTCCACTCAACCCCCTGATCAACCTAGTTTCGACTGGGAAGACTGTTCAGCCTAGTAGTAAGATGACCTCAAAAGGATTACCTGCACAGCTTGACCTTCATCCTGTACATCACTTCGGATGGCGATTCATTCTGTCCCGGTAGCGACCACCCCTTGTGTAGTTACAGACTTAACAGTACAGCAGATACAGACCTCACTCGGGCCAGAGATTGGGTCTCCTAGTGACCTCAGCTTAGGCAAGTGATTTACCCCAGGCATAAACAGCGAGACCCAGACGCCTCCTCGGCCTGTCATTTTAGGGGTGTTCCAAATTTAAAAGTGCCCGCTGCTTGGTAAGTTTTAGGTGACACCCCACGGCTTACCTGCGTTGTTCGGTGAAAGAGTGAGTAAGTGACTGAATGTGTGTCTGCATAACTGTATGCACGAAGTACAGAGTACTCTGTACATCGATCATGAGTTATGGCTTTCAAAGAAAAACCTGCCCTTTTTTTTTTCTGTCTGCCTCACTGGCTTGGGTACAGCACTGTAGTTGTTCGGCTCATGTTTTATTCTGCTGTCTGTAGTCTGCAGATTTGCTTCCATCTTCGTCTCTTGAATCAATCTATCAAATTTCTACATTGGTGATCCTCTTGAACTAAGGGAAAGATCGATCCAGCGGAGCTACTAACTAAGCTATACTGGACTACTCGATGGGGGTCTCATTGGGGGTTCGCTGGCGGGACCCAGAGGAATATCAACAAGAAAGCCTAAGTTAGTGACGGGGTACTTCCCAGGTACAGTGAGATATGCGGCGGTTAGAGTACGCGGCGAGAAAGATCGGGAGGCGAAACCTGCTAAATCCAGTCAAAAATGCCAACCTAAAAAAAAAAAAGAAAAGAAAAGAAAAGAAATCCATATGAACTAGATTAAATGCAGAAAGG